TAATTGTTATTATTATGAGTACGACGCCATTTTTGATTGCCTCTTTTAATTACGGAGTTCTTGAAGCGCCAAAAGTTGTTTTATGCAGATGTAGAAATATAAGGAAATAAATTTAATTTAAGTAAATTACAATCAATTTAATTGAATTAGTGCTAATTGGTAGTTTATATTCACACACTTCAACTTAAAAATGTAAAGTAACAATGAAATTATTTAAAAGTGCAACACACAAGTTTCGTGCTCGTTCTTCATGTGATGAGACAGCTTCCCGAATGAGCGGTAGATTAAAAAAAATGTGGTGACTATTCAAAAGTGCTTGAATGTAAGTTTATTTGAATAAATGATTTTCTATTTCGTTAACAAGGCACGCTGGCGAACAGTTGCCGTTTTACAATAACACAAAAACATTATAACCGTCTTATCTGTAATGACCATATAGTGTTCACGACCTACTGGCAGCAGTCCAGGCAGATTGCACCGCAAACAGACTGCGAGTGCTGTGATTACCATTCGTTTGACATTCCGGAGTGGAAGGATATAGGTGAACTAGTACGTACAGATGTAGTAAATATGGAACTACCACAATATTAAGTTATTATACACTGGTCAAAAATGTAGCATTCATCATTAATAAAAAAAATCGGGATCAATCAATGTACATTTTTTTATTAATGATTGTATTCACACACTTAAACTTAAATTGTAAGTAAGAATAAATTATTTAAAAGAGCAACACACAAGTTTCTTGCTTGTTCTTCTTGTGATGAGACATCATTCCGAATGAGCGGTAGATTAAAAAAAAAAATGTTATGACTATTCAAAAGTGCTTCAATGTAAGTTTATTTGAATAAATGATTTTCTATTCTATTCTATTCTATACATTATTGCGGGTAATAAGGTGTTATTTATTTATTTATTTATATACTCTTTATTGCACCAGGAATATTACATTAATAAAATTAATAGAGACAACATAACACAAGCTTTAGCTAGCTTAACTTGGGTCTAGATGACGCTGTGTGAATTGTCCTGAGATTATTATTATTTTAAAACAAATATATTGATCTTATCTGTGTGGCACTGATGACGGCAATCTGCCACGCTAGCGCCGATACACCACACCCTTCGGTCAGTAGTCCTCCTTCATGAAGGTGGGCAGCATAAATCAACATAACACCATTATAAAATTGTACAATTATAAGCAATCAAATCAAATTTAATGTTTAAATGTTTCATTCTAGCAGACTTTTGGTTTAGCTCCATGTAGAGACTACAAACAATTTGGCAATACACGCATGTAGGTCATAAGCCTCGGCCAAAGGATATAGTTGGCTGGAGCCTACGAATTGGCCAGACTTATATAATGGTTCTTTGTGTTAGTAGTGAAAATTGACTCCACTATTATTAATAAACTCAATCTCTATATAGTTTGTAATGTATCTACTCTATGCACAGATCACTATTATAAAAATAAAAGTGGCATGTCATCTCTCTGTGGTAAAATCAAGACATGAAATAAACTAAGAATTATAAAAACATCAAAAACATACACAGACATGGTTGTATAGACGCAGTTCCCTTTGCCTTACCTTTAAAGGAAAAATAGAACCAAAAAAAGTCTCTGGTAAACGTTTAACTCTTTACCTGTACAAATATGAGGAATTTTAAAACTAGACTAGGCTGTATGGTCGAAGGATCTTTGCCTATTTCATCTATAAAAAAAGATGTACGAATGAGGAGAACTAAATTCTATCTTTTGAATCGTAAAATAAAAACATATACATGTTTAATGGTTGCTCCGTTCGTTTCATTTACAATAGTTGAATAATTCTAAGATCAATCCAAGACTTTGCTATATGACACAGGTATATATTACATATGTCACTTAGCAAAGTATTTATATAGTTATATGTACCTATATAGTACTAATGTTACTCATAAATGACGCAATAGTAACATTTACATCTTACTAATATTATAAACGCGAAAGTTTATGACTATGGATGGATGGACTCTTTCATGCAAAAACTGCTGAACGGATTTTGGAGAAACTTTCCAGTAATATAGCTATCAGAATAACACATCGGCTATAATTTAAAAAGATATGTAAATTGGGCAAAATGTAATATAATATATAAATGCCAAGTAAGTGTGATGCAGGCGAAGTTGAGCGGATCAGCTAGTAATTTGTAAATTAACTAGGTAATTGGTCTATCACATTATCCCCTTTTTTGCAACTTTATTCATTGCAGCGCCGCTCCTATTTTTTTTATATTTTTAATGGAATGGTGCACCTGCCTGCGCTAACGGTATACGCTCCCCCTGGAAACCATCGTGATAAATTCTTGGTGAATTTGTCACGATGGGCTAACTGACCTAACCTCATGCTCATCTTATCATCCTCCACTGGTGCCCCGCCAGCGTAAACCGTTAGCGCAGGCGGGTGCACCATTCCATTATCATCCACAAAAAAAACGGTATACGCTGTCGAGGTACCAGTGGAGGATGATAAGATAAGTATGAGGTCAGGTTAGTTAGCCCATCGTGGCGAATTCACATGAGGTTTCCAGGATGGAGGTCAACCTGACATGGTAGAATGCTAGCAATGGGGTTATTAATCCACCCTACTAACAATCCCTTCCCCCCACTTCTTCCTATTGGTCGTCATCTGATGAGAGATTTGGATACACATATAGTTCATATCCAAGAAAACATGGGATTTTTTTTGTGTTGGTTGGGCTATTATCAGATGTTTGTAGCACCTGTAGCACTGCGACCTATATAGATCTATTGTGCTCGCCCTTTTTCAAAGTTCGCTACCTAGACCCGTCAGGGACAAGAATTGAAGGATATTCTTAGGAGCGATGATTTTTATCTCTTCAGGAAAGGAGTGTAAACTTTCCAAAGGAAATATTTCGTTTATGCATGAGTGGGCTACAACCACATATCTGAATCTGCAGATTTTTGTCGTGCATAGGCCTAGTTTAGCCATATGCTTGTTTAATTTGCAGTGTGCTATGAGGGCCCTAGTCATCATGCATATGTTGTTTTTACTCAATAGCAGTAGTCTATTGGAATATTTGTTCGAGTAGCCCGATATTAGGACTTTTTAGAATGTGTCAATTCTAGCATTTCTTGCCAGTGATTCAGTGCTTCTCGTTTGGTTATTAATTCGAGATGTCCCAGTTTTAGGCAACGAGGCACACCACAGAAGGGTTCGGGGCCCAGTTGGGCGGTTTTTGCCCCTAACTTTGCCAGATGGTCGGCATTTTCATTGCCTTCGATATTTGAGTGCCCGGGGACCCATCTAAGTATAATATTATTTCTGCTTCCTACTTCATTTAGTAGCAAGTTACAGTTTCTAATAAGTTTAAATCGGATTTCATACCAGAAGTGCTAGTAGAGCAGCTTGACTGTCCGAATAAATGTATATGTTCTGATTGATGTACTTAAGGATTAGGATTACTTCCAGACATCTAATTAAGGCGTAAATTTCTAAAAGATTGAGGCGTAGTTTACTAAGCCTATGGGATACGTTTAAGATGCATTAGGATTAGAATCACACGGTCAACTCTGGGAGAAAAACTATTTACGAAATAAATAAAACAGTATTACTACTTTATTATAATAAGTTTAATTATAACTATTATATTTATAGTACTGACACACACATTAACATGTTGAGTAGAAAAACACATTACACGATTAACAAAACAACGTTATTAATGTCAATTTAACAATTCACAAGCTGTAATAAACATTACGTGATTAAATAATTATTTATCAAGATTTATATGAGTAAATTAATATTTATAATGCCTCATAGCCGGCACGTACGGTAATCAACTTTAGAACAGATTCAAAATCTTTTATTTCATATTACTTATTATAACTTAAGTTAATTTATCGGTTACAGATTTACTAATATATTTTTAATATTACTACCTAAATAAAACATAGTGAAGGACTTGAAAAATGTGTGTACATAAATACATACACATACACGGTAATTTACTAAACATACCCAGCTCAATGATGTCGTATTCCTAGGACTAAATAACAGAATACACATAAATCAGCGTATCTCAACGTGGAGCCCACGCCCCACAAGGAAGCGATTTGATTCTAAAGGGGGGCCCATTCGAAAATGGACTCTATAAAAATTACATGGAATGTGAATTTCAATTTTTCGTAATATCTTGAAAATCTACTTACTGTTTCTTTGACAATTTTCTAGTGATTTCTTCCAAAAACAATGATTTCGTTATTTTTAAACTTTCGTGTTTAATATACATTATTTATATTATTAAAATTATTATCTGCGTGGAATCCAGTCATAAATAAATTCAAGCAAAGTTCAGTAGCATCAAGAGTCAATAAGTGTACGGATACCGTGAGTGCTGTGTGTCGCGAACTTTTGTTGAACAATCTAGTGACGGTAGCTGAAAAAACTGCTGTCACCTATCTACATTGACATCGCTGTTACTCCAGTCAGCTCGTGACCACGGCTAGTGCAACCTAGTCGAAACGTCGAGAGAGGTAAATACCTTTATTTGCCATAAAATTAGTTCGTGTTAAGACCCGGTCAATAATATAAAACGTACTATTATTTAGGTTTCTTAAAGTGAACAATACAATTTTAATGTTATAAATCATGTATGTTGCAACATTGGTTGTGCATAAGAAATTTAGAAAGGCCAAGGTGGGGCATGACTCAAAAAGCTTCGAAAACACTGATATAAATGAATATTATAATGTGTATGAACAACCAGTACAAATAAGAACTAACATCTCACTAACGCCATCTCTTAGCGCTAAAGAATTACATAATACAAATGTAGTCATAAACAGCAAACTATAGATGCTTGATTTTAAACTATAATTAAACTGTAAGTTTGGTTACGAAACAATATATTAGTTTTCTCCAAATACCTAGAAAATGTATTGTATATGCATAATAATCTAAAAATAACCTAAATCGAGTTTATATGGCATAATAAAATACATATTCCCTTCGTATTTTTATTTGGTCAATTGCGAGTCCTTTCTTTCAAGCGTAAATAGGCTTTCACCTAATAATGGATAATAAGGAACATGGTGTGTAAATAATATACCTAGACAAAGAGAACGAGAGCGCATTCCCGCGTTCTTCAATCGTGAGTGCTTTCTCGCCTTTTTGTAATAATTGTCATTGCAAAATGGCGGATATCTTACTATGGAGCAGAGACAAGTATAGAGTTACTGATAATTTACCGTGTTATTCCAGAGTGAGTGTTTTCGCGCCTTTTTGTAATAATTGTCATTGCAAAATGGCGGATATCTTACTATGGAGCAGAGACAAGTATAGAGTTACTGATAATTTACCGTGTTATTCCAGAGTGAGTGTTTTCGCGCCTTTTTGTAATAATTGTCATTGCAAAATGGCGGATATCTTACTATGGAGCAGAGACAAGTATAGAGTTACTGATAATTTACCGTGTTATTCCAGAGTGAGTGTTTTCGCGCCTTTTTGTAATAATTGTCATTGCAAAATGGCGGACATCTGACTATGGAGCAGAGACAAGTATAGAGTTACTGATAATTTACCGTGTTCTTCCAGAGTGAGTGTTTTCGCGCCTTTTTATAATAGTTGTCTTTGCTAAATGGCGGATATCGGACTATGGAAGCAAAGACAATTATAGAGTTACTGATAATTTACCGCGTTCTTCCATAGTGAGTGTTTTCGCGCCTTTTTGTAATAATTAATTGTCATTTCAAAATGGCGGACATCTGACTACGGGGCAAAGAGAATAGGCTTGTTTCCACTAAGAATAAAGTAAGAGAACACAAAAAATGCAATTACTCACGATTGCGCGAGCACGCTTTCCCCCGCTTAATCAAGCGCTGCATTACAAAATTTTGAGACTTGATAAGTTATCAAGCCTCAACATTTTGTAATGCACTCTTCCTTAATCTAGTAGATCTCTTTGGAGTTGGAACCGCTTCTACTGGTATGTTAACATTGGTTTCTTGGAGCGTCTTCCGTCTCGAAGACCTGCGTTTCCCTTCTTCTTGAGCTTGTTGACTCTTACGGCGGCTCCTTGTTTGAACCGGACTCCAATCGAGCTGTACTGCATCCTGTCTTGTTAGTTTTGATTTTGAACTCTCAGTCTTCTTCTCATGGTTCTCTTTATTTACATCCACAGATGAAAGTCCACTATCCGCGGTAATGTCTCTGTTATTTTCTTTATCCTGTGCTTGTTCGTTTGCCTCTTTATTGGTGATATCCTCAGTGTCCGATTGATCAAATAGAACAACTTTGATTGATTTTTTACCGGATTTGGTAACAGTTTTTTTGGTGGACTTCAATATACTGCGGCCCGGCGTTGCGTGCAGATTTATTGGGGTCAGGGGTGTTTGCTGTAAAGAATCAAATTATACCTTAAGTAAAAGAACAAATCAAATCAAAATAAATTCACGTAGGTCATTACTGACTCTTATGATATCTCTAATCTACCGTCAGTTCAGAGTGCTTTCGAGTTAAGATAAACTGAAAAGAAATTCCGTTCTTGTCCTTTTCATATGAGCTTGTACTTGATTACAGAAATACGGATTCATTCTTAAATTCAATTGAGGAAAGTGTAATGACCACTAGCATATGCTATTGCATATTTGTCAAAGGGAAATATTTTTTTATTTTTATTTATACACTTTATTGCACCAGAACAGAAAAATATTAATTAATATAAATATATATATACAATCATAGATACAAAGGCGGTCTTTTCGCTAAGCAATCTCTTACAGGCAACCTTTAGGTAGACGGTGAAGGCATATAGGTGAAGGTGTGCAAATAACAACACAACTAATCAGTCAACAATAATCTAATCAGTGTTTGTAACCCGAGCAGACCAGTACTTTGTTTTTCTTTGGTTATGATGAAGAACATATAAAAGCTATTAAAAACAACGATCCACGTAAATCAGCCATAGCGGAACACTTGTTGGGATCGGGACCCAATCACTGGATTGAACTACACCAACCAAAAGTATTAACATCAGAACGGCATTATATTCCAAGAATGGTTAGAGAGGCCGTTGAAATACAGAAATATAAAAATTTCAATCGAGAAGACGGTTATAGGCTCTCTAATGCCTGGAATCCAGTGATTGGTTTAATTAAACAAAAACAAAAAACGCGATCGAAAAGTGTATTAAATGTACGTAAAGATACTGTGAGTACAGTTTGCCGAGATGAATATCGAGCGAGTTCCAGTAGTAGCAACAAACGAAGACGTGTGAAGGTAGACGCATATGTCTGCCCATAAAAAGATTTCATTTTCCATCTACCCGCTGCTCTTCAGTTTACCCATGATCATGGTGGTTGAAACACTACCGAAATATCGGGAACTCAGCAAATAAATATAAAACGTGGTAAGATCCCGTGATTTTTACTAATTATACGTATAAATAATGACCGCGTCAAGTTTAAAACAGTATATGATGAAGACATTTTGTTCTCTGAAAACTCGGCTCGTCTTATTGCTTTTGTTAAGATTGTTTGTCTACACTTATTGTCTTTTTATGTATGGATTGTATGAAAGATGATATGTGTGCATAACGCACCTTTTTATATGATAATTATACTTTTTATATATATATTTAAATATTTTATGTTTCATTCCTTTTTTATTGTCAAATTTGAAATATATTTTATCATCAGCGACCGTAGCTTCTTTAATAACTAAAATTAAAATATAAAGTATACAGTCCTTAGAAACATTAGTAATTAAAAATATGTATAAAAGGAGAGTAAGCTCAGATATGACGGCCGATAGGGATCAATGGAAGAGAGAACATGCGGCGACCATAAATAATGGTATAAAGACAAGGCAATGATGATATTATACTATTATATCGACGGTCTCGGTGATCTAGTGGTTAAGCACTAGATTTACTTCCGATGGTAGCGGGTTATATTCCTCGCACGATACAAACATTTTTATTCATGAGTATGATTGTTTGTATCAGTCTGGGTGTTTTCTATATATATGATGCATGTATTTACAAAAAGTATCTATGTATTTATATCATTTGTCTAGTACCCATAACACAAGCTCTGCTTATCTTTAGATGATGCTGTGTGAATTGTCCAAGAATATTATTATTATTATATAAAATATTAACTCTCACCGGCAGTGGATATACTCCATCTGACTCCAAATCCCTGCTCATTAGTGACGCACGCAACATTGCAAATGATGTTGAACTCTGAAACAAAAGAACTATGAAAACAAACGAACAGGGACAAGTTTATCTACACTTATGAATAAAATTGGAGTGTCTGTTTGTAATATTGAAATAACCGTTTTTTACTACATGCATATCAATATAAATACGGTACATACACCAAAATAACATTTTACACACAACAAATTTTACTATTTTTGTTTGTCTGTCTATCTATCTGTTTGTTCCGGCTAATCTCTGAAATGGCTGGACCGATTTTGACGGGACTTTTTTTGGCAGCTAGCTGATGTAATAAGAAGTAACTTAGGCTATTTTTATTTTAGACAAATTCTTATATTTTAGAAAAATTAAGTTAAATTCCACGCGGAGAAAGTCGCGAGAACAGCTAGTTATCAATAAAATTAAGGGTCAAAAGCAGCTATGTGACACATTCTTTCACGATCTCGCGCGAACTTCACTCCATCGAGGAAACACGTCATTCGTGACAGAGCGACGGCACTAGCCGGCCCAACGAGGACCTAACTCTTATTAGCCCCACTATTCCTTCAGCCGGTCTCACAACCTACTGAAGATGAACGACGCTGGTGTAGTTCACCCCAGCAGTATACCCAGGTAAGGAGCGTATGCTCGAGGCCCGTACCCTACAGCCCATAATGGCCCGCGAGAGACTTCAACCAACCAATATAGCGCGGAAAAGCCAGCGCGCATTCGTGATGTATTGCATATATGCATTTAACAATTCTCTTTGTACACTCTTTCGCAGTATAGCGCAGTACTTTGCATGTTATTTCACGTTCTGTTTTAATTTAATTTTGAATTACACTTTTTACATTTTCTTTTTCTATAATTAAGGTGGGTGAACCATGGATGGCCACCTCAACGAATAATTACTATTATTACTTCATTTACTGTATAAATTAAATAAACTAATTATTAATTAATACTTTGTTTCATTGTGTAACATATATACTACTTCATTTTATTCCATATGGAATCACTATTTATTATTTTTAACTTTTATTAAACTCTTACTAACGACCTTGCAAGGAACAGAGCTCCATATAAGGCCAATATTATAAATCGCTCATTGAACTTAAAACTTGAGTTTTAATAATCAAAATATCTGCTTTTTGTAACACTTAGGTATTTGCTCCATAATGAGATGTCCGCATATGTTGCAATGATAATTATTACAAAAAAACGCTATAGCACAAGCGATTGAAGAATGCAGGAATGCGCTCATTGACGGCGCGTGGGGTTTTTTCGTTCTCTTTATCTAGGTACATTTACATGCACATTCCGACATGATTCGTGATTGTACGTGTAAAGGCAGGTAATTACATGCTCAATCTTTCCTGCGTGAAAGTCTTGTAAGCTGTATTTTGGTTGTAGGATGTCGATTAGGGACAGACAGCGACAACGACTTTGTTTTATACTTTGTAATGATATGTATTTACGAAATATATATATGTATTTGTACCAGATATCTAGTACCTATAACACATGCTTTAACTAGATTAACTTGGCTCTAGATGGCGTCGTGTGAATTGTCCTGAGTTTTTACATTATTCCATTCAAAAACTTACTGGGTCTCCAAAAGAAACATACCTTAGACGCAGACTTGTTGGTCTCGCTGGAGAGAACAGTCTTCAGCAGGCTGGGTTTGGAAGGCGTGCTGAAAGCTGGCGACGAACGGACCGGCGACTGCACGCGGAAGAATCCAGCGTCGAAGGTCTTGCTATCTTCTGTGGTCGTCGTAACCTTTAGCAATTGATCCTCTTGGTCTTTTTTAGCCTTCCTTGCCGCTGCAATGATAATGGAATAGATTTCTATTCAGAATAGGAAGACAATTTGTTGAATATACTGGCTATCACCATCATTCAATAATACTGGCCATTGTATCATATATTTTTTATAACAGGGGACAGGCGAGCATGCGGCTCATCTGGTGTGATTACCGCCGCCCATGTGCACCCGCAACACCAGGGGAATAGCAAGTGCATTGTCGTCCGTTTAAAAAGGAATAAGCTCTTTTCTTGAAGGTTTCAATATCGTATCGGTTCAACATATTGCTTTCGTATTTCAGGAATTTTAACTACAATAATTTTAATGTATTGTAATATTTAATTTACTGCATAAATCTTTAAAAAGCATTTGATATCCTCTGTAATATAAGGGTAGGACATACAAAAACAATATCAAGGTATCAACAGACCAGCGATCATGTCCCGCAGGCGACTGGCTGCGGGCGGGCGGGCGGGGGGCGCGGCTCGCCTGGCGACCGCGGCGCGGCGGGGCTTCGCTGCCGGCTCGGGCGCCTCCTCCGCCCACCCACGCTGTCGTAACTCCTCCAGGCGCTTAAACCTCACGTCTATGTTCTCTATCTGCAATAGATACATAGATAACCTTTATTGATTTTAACAGATTAACAAGCATACACAAGAATAAGAAAAAGATTGTACAACCTTAATAGGTTCCGGTTTTTAGGCAGTTCCCATTATTTATATATATAAAAATTATCATCATGTACATTACGACATTACGAATGTAGCATTACGAAACACTGACTTGCGATGATGGCAATCAAGCATACGGCCCATCTGATGGTAAATGGTTACCGTAGCCTATGAGCGCCTGAAACACCAGGGGTATCACTTGCTCGTTGTCGTCCCTTAAGAAATCTTAATATACCCTTCTTGAAAAACCCCATGCTGTAGTCTCGTGGGAAAACCTCGGCAGGAAGTTCATTTCACAACCTAAGTGTACGCGGGAGGAAACTCCTCTGAAGCCGCACTGTTTGGGACCACTTAGGTTCCAGCGTGTGGGGATGAATTCCCTGTCGATGGCGAGCGGTGTGATGGTAAAAGGTGGCTGTCGGCATCATGTCAAACAATTCCTCAGAACACAGTCCGTTGTATAATCGGTAGAACACACAAAACTAGGCGAAATTTCGCCTCAAGCTAAGTGGCTTGATACCGCCAGAGAGATTCTCTGGCGGTTCTCTTCTGTTCGATGCCTTGTGCAATTTAAACGGGGATCGAAATAACGACCCGAGCCGAAGTTTGAACCCCTAGCTGTGCCCTCGGACTAAAGTCCCATGTTGTTAGTACTGTTGCACGGTGGTTATCACCTCACCACTGTAGCTTTATACATAATGTGATGAGGTGTCGCTAAATAATATATATTTTGTAGCATCTTGGTAGTTAGTATACAGGTGAAATAATTGTACTATTTATTGTACATTAGTAAGTTTGTTGGATAGTGTGCTACAAGGCTTAGTAACGTGTGTATTCGATGCGGAGTCGTAATGTACTCTGACTTTACACTGAACATAAATCTATGTTATCTGTAGAGGTCCTAATGGAAGGGTCTCAAGTGTAGACACAGTGCAATACAACTGTACAACTCGATTTTTTTTTCTAATGCTGTTGAAAGCAGCCGGCCTTTACAGCTTCGCCAGACGATAGAGGCCAGTGCAGATGCCACTCCAAGCCAAAGGTTAAATAAATACTGAGGTAGTAGATAATGGCACCTGCATGAAGACCATGTCCCAGAAGCCGTGCAGGTCTGTGGCGGTGACGAGCGCGGCGGCGGGCGGCGGGCGCGCGCAGCGCTCCACCAGCCCCGCGAACTGCTGCAGCTTGGAAGACATCAGCAGCCGCGCCTGCCCCACCGCGCCCAGCACTTCGTCCTGCGAGTACGAAACACACCAGGAGGACGTTAGTAATGTGGATTGTTGACCCCATTGCTAGCAATAAAATGGTATTCAGGTTGACCTCCAGGCAGTTCTGAACACTATGAGATAATTTCTTTTATGTTAATGGAATGGTGCACCAGTCTATGTTAACAGTTGAAGCTGGCGGAACACCAGTGGAGGATAAGATGAACATGCAGTCAGGTGAGTTAGCCGATCGTTGTTGTACACTATGTTGGAGTTACTGGCAGAGCCCCATAGTCGTATCCCATCTTGCTTTATTTACAAATATCATCACTTCCAGTTTATCGAGAGTAGTGGGGCACAAGATGGCAGCTTATGAACAGTGACTCAAACAAAAATGGAATTATGATTTGAACATTCTGTTATTCAAATATCTACGAGAGATTCATTATATGTTTCATGAATATAGAGGGGTAAAATTAATACATACTTGCACAGTTTCCACTAGCGGCGTCTGTTCCCGTATCTTTTCCCATACCTCACACATCTCTGTCAATCTGGCAATCTCTGAGTTGAGCTGTCTGCGGAAATGGTCCACACTATCTGTGTTATTTGTATCTTCATCTAATAAACCTAAAAGATAAGAAAAAAAGAACCAGTTTAGATTAAATGGACACAGAAATGAACTGGATCAGTGAGATATATTATATATGTGCTAATGATAATAGTTATAATTATATAGGGCCAGGAATCATTTTATTACCATCTCAGTTAGGTGTCATACATATATACATTACATGTTAAGTGCGGAGAAATGGGAGGACAAGGATATGCTAGAGACACAAAATTTATGTACAAAAACATTATTTCTTAAACAAAATGGCATGTTTTGTTTAAAAATTAATATTTTTATTAGTATCATTAACTATTATAACATTTTTTAATCTATTTTGTTTAAAAATAATGCTTTATAAAATAGTTAAAAAAATATTACTAGTATTCATCTGCTAAGGTTATTAGTACTTAGATATATAAGATAGATTGTATTCTAGGTGATCCAAATGTAGTTGTTTAAGACCTGTAGTAAGGTCAAGTTCAAATTCAAATTGAATTTGAATTTGAATTTGAACAGTTGAGGATATAAGGATTATTTACCTTCATCAATTTTCTTCTTGATTTCTTTCCTAGCATTATCCTTACCCCGAGACAAGGTAACACATGGGCTACTTCTCTTAAAATCCTCAATTATCTGCTGTGGGGTCAACACTACATCATCTGAAGACTCTGGTGACCTCAGTTTCTCTTCAGAGCTGGATTCACTCTTTGGAATATTGGGTTTTGGTGTAACATTTTGTGAATTCTTTGGAATCGACTTCCTCGGTGTTCTGCTGCTGGTAACTGATGATTCTGGTGAGGATTTACCGGTGTCACTACTTGAGGAACTTGTCAAAGCCTTTTCAGTAGTTTTAGGTGGTTTTGGAGTGGATTTCTTCGTAACTTTATTTTTAATAGTTGTTTTGTTCTGTTTATCTTTCTCAGTTTTATGACTGGTCGCTTTTGAAGCAGGATGTTTGTTGGAGGTTGTTTTGGATTTGATTGGCTGTGATGTATAGTTATTTAGAGCTGAATTAAATTTTAGAAGATACTTTTTTACATTTGTCTTAGCTTTTGTTACTGGTTCCAATGTTGGTAACTTTGTCAAGTTTTTTATCTGTGGAGGGTGGAAAACTACATTGTTTGGAGCAAATGATTGAAATTTGGCATCTTTCTTTGCAGCATTGTTTCTGGCCGACTGAGACCGAGTAACTCTTCCTGATGTGCTTGGGACCGTTCTCAAACTCACACTAGAAGCAGCCTTGGGTGGTGGGGGTGGAGGAACATACTTCAGTGGTGCATGTGGCAATCCAGTGATAAACGGCTTTTTTTTGTGTGCTGCCAATTCCTTCTTTCTTTTTTCTCTATCATTCTTCCATTTCTCCAATTGTTGCCGTCGCCTCTCCACTTTCAACTGAGCCTCTGATAGTGGCACTTGACTCTCATCTGGCAGTGCTGACTCGGGACTCTCACATTTCGCCAAATTCCTTATTTTATCAAAAATTGTTAATCGTGAACTTCTTCTGTTTTTCAAGTTGTTTTCAAGCCGGTTCTTCACCTAAAATTGATGATAATGATCAGTATATTGGCAGGTATATAAAGATTTTGAAGCCAAAAGGTGGTGACTTAACATGACCTACCACAGGCTCATGCATTATTAGCTAAATACTGTACAGTCTACGAAATAGTTTAAACACACGACAGTACCCCGATGGCTACGCTCAAAAATTGTGGCGGCTTTGCTTTGTGTTTCTTGTCATGATTCTTCAAGAAAGAACCTAAATCAAAACTTCTCTCTGAAAATAAATTATAAATCAAAATTAATGTCAGAGTCTATCAATCAAATATGATTACGAAGTATAAAGAATGAAATTTATTATTCTAACTGTAGTTTTGTACATAACAGAACAAATGAAACATAAGTAGTTTAATTTTATTTAATAATAATTGATATAACTTACCCATTGAACCTGAAAAAATACAAATAAAAAACTCAAATCAACATCAAACAAATTTTAAAATTAATGGCAGTTAACATATAATAGTAATTCCATAGCTAATTCACAACTACCCATAGACAAACATGGAAAATTCTACGTTCTACGCTTTTAAAAATTATAAAACTGTTAGACACCAATAAAAACAAAGTTCTAGTTCCCTTTATCGGTTTTATTGTTGTTTATGTGACTATATGTGTAAGAATATTGTAAAAAAATTAATTTTCCAATTTGAATCGCTTAGAAATACGGTAGATAGTAGAATTACTCGTACATTTGCTAAATTACTTTGTAAATATTCTCAATGAGGCAGTCCATGAAGTCCACTTTTCACTGCGTTTTGTACTTTTTGTGAGACCAAAGGCAATATTAATTTAATAATATTTTTTATGGCAATACATGTAAGTGTACTTCCGGTTGTCAGCTGATAAATTCCCTTTTGCTTTCCAAAACCTATTTCGATTTTCGCAAAAGAAAACGTCAGGCACCATTCAACATGGGCTTGAAATACGCGATCAAAAGCTAGTTATAGCTAAAATATTGCTCTAATTGTAGTGTTATTGTTATTATAGTTTCCTTTTACATGTACGTTGTGTAACTTTATAGTCGAAAATGGATACGTTTATCATAGGATACCTCGGTTATGGCGTTTGTTGATCATTAAAAAATTACGTTTGGTTCATAGTTTTCTTTATATTTGATGTCAGCTTTTCGTTTGTGATCGTCTGTTTCGTTCGTGTTTAAGTGTATTCTGAAAATGGTGAAAGAAAAACCTAATTCAATTCGGATTTACGACGATGAAGGTTTCAGACGCCGAGCGGCGTGTATTTGCGTGCGTTCGGACGCCGAAACAGAGGTTAGTGTGAAATTTTGTTGTAAATTCAACAAATTGTGTATTAAAACTGTATTGGATGCGAAACGTGACGTTGTTATGTGTTGTTGTGGTGCGTAGGTGCTTCTTGTGACGTCGTCTCGCCGCCCAGACAACTGGATAGTGCCCGGTGGCGGCGTGGAGCCGGAGGAGGAGCCCTCGGTGACGGCAATGCGGGAAGTGCTCGAGGAGGCCGGCGTCATCGGCAAACTTGGTCGTTGCCTCGGAGTGTTTGAGGTGAGCATATGTCACAGATGCTATGCTATGCTGCCTGACCTCTACTGCGCCATGTAATCAACAAGTTTTTATATCATACTTACACAAGGTGTATTTCATAAAAACCATATTGAATATACATTTTTTTTTCGGTAAATCCCACACATGCTACATGTGAGTTTGGATTTGATTGAAGACACATGTATTAGTAGTTGTCTATGGTTTACAATATTTCTATTAACAATAATCTACACATTGGGCTTAACTAGAAATATATATTACAATGAAGTATTGTTATAACAAACTTATTATAATAACAAATGTTAGACAAGGAGTAGGTAGTTGTTACATTCAAAACAGGTTAAAGGTAAATAAAAATTGGTAAGGAAAACACATTTCCTTTTCAATTAGTAAATAAATAATGATTGGTATACTCACTTGATATTTTAATATTATTGACAAATTATATATGTAACTAGATGATCCCGCAACATCGTCTGTGTGGTTTTAACTTTATTTTTCTAAAATAAAAGTAGGCTAAGTTACTCCTTATTACATCAGCTACCTGTCAAAAAAAGTCCCGTCAAAATCGGGCCAGCCATTTCAGAGATTACTCGGAACAATCAGACAGACAGACAAAAATTGTAAAAAGTGTAATTTTGGTGTATTGTATATATTATTATTCATATGCATGTTGTAAAAAACTGGTTATTTCAATATTACAAACAGACACTCCAATTTCATTTATATGTGTAGATAATTTAATTTCCAGCAATAAAGTCTATTATTATTATTAACTGAGACATTTCACATTTCTAAAGCAGGCAATACACACTTGACACATCAGGTGTCTCAGGTGTCCATAGACTATGGTAAAGTTTTATCATCGGATGAGTTGTAAGCTTATTTGCCACCCTCATAGCATAAAAAAACCATGGTATCTAGTCTCAAACTAAGTAGAGCTTTTAATATTGGTGCTAGATATCTGATAAGAGATACATACACAATTTTTTTTATTAAAGTGCATATAACCAATACCTGAAAAACAGAGGCAGGGGATTGTTCGCAATGTAATCCCATTATCCCAAGATCCCAAGATGTTATCTTCTTAGAAAGGATCTTAACCATTGCGATAAATTCTTAGTGAATTCACCACAATGGGCTAACTGACCGGGACCTTATGCTCATATACTCTTTTCCTACTGGTGCATTATCATTGTTTAAAATATATACCTGAAAAGGACTTGGATAAATACAAACAACCATACTCCTGCAGTATGTAACCCTAGACAATAGGAAGTAAATTGGTATACTAAGTTCATCAAATATAATTAAACCTGATTGCCAATTTATTTATTTGTTCATTAAATATATAATAGCTAGCTACTCGCCCCGGCTTCGCCTGGGTGTACATGTATTATACATATAAACCTTCCTCTAGAATCACTCTATCTACTATCTATTAAAAAATACCGCTTCAAAATCTCTTGCGTAGTTTTAACGATTTAAGCATACATAGAGACGGACTGACAGCAACAGCGACTTTGTTTTATACTGTGTAATAATGATGATATTATAAACGCGAAAGTTTGTGAGTATGGATCTCTGTTACTCTTTTACACAAAAACTACTGAACAGTTTTTGATGAAACTTTACAGTAATATAGATTATGCATCAGAATAACATATAAGCTATATTTTTTATAGAATAGTAATATATAATTTAATTGAAACAAACTTGTTTACTAACGATAACTTGTCATGTTAATTACAAGCAAACACGTTACGAGGTGCTAGTATAAACACGCGATACATATAGCTGTTAAATTGCATAAATATTTGTCGTCAGTCTGTCTGTAGGTGTATACAGCGCTGGCAGACGTGTTGAGAAAATGTAATTTAATGATTCTATCATAAATAAATTAATGTAAAAAAACAATAAACATCTAGTTATTGAAAGTATTTATTATACACTAAAAGAATTAAACAAATTAAATATGGACATTATGCCCTAAGTATGAACTCATTTATAGTTATTGATGTAACTAAAACACTTTGATCATGAACTCTGTAATAAATTACTTACATAATTACATTATACCTACTGATCATTTGCATGTTTCAATTAAGATTATGATATTAATTACGTCTGTTTAGATATAGTCTCTCATCAGGGGTTCTTCAAAACTTTCATACTTTACAATGGATACATCCATTGTAAAGTATGAAAATTTACAAATTTCTTGATTGTTATAATATCCCGGTACAATCTCAGATTGCCATCTAGTCCCAAGCTAAGCAGAGCTTATGTTATGGGTACTGGACAACTGATATAAACACCTAAATAAACTTTCTATATAAATACATTACATAGAAAATACCCAGATTGATAGAATCAAAGGTGTCAATACAAATATATAATTATTTATTTATTTATTTATTTCAGGCAACTAGGTCCATATTATAAATACCTTATAGACTAACATACATATAATATAATATTTAAAAACTAATACATTGATATTGTCTGTGTGATCACGGCACTGAAGACGGCAATCTGCCACGTAGCGCCGATATACCACACCTTTCGGCCAGTAGACCTCTTTCATGAAGGTGGGCAGCAAGTCGGTGGGGACCAGGGCCACAAACGCTTTGAAACTCGCGTTGTGACTCGACTTCAGCTGCGTCACGCAGCATATTCATTGCAGCATAATAATAATAATAGTAATAATAATCTCAGAACAGTTTACACAGCGCCATCTAGACCCAAATTAAGCTAGCTGAAGCTTGTGTCATGGGTACTAGATAACTGATACAAATACATAGATAATGTTTTTTTTTAATAAATAAGTACATATTACACATAGAAAACACCCAGACTGATACAAACAATCATACTCATGAATACAAATGTCTGTGCCGTGCGAGGAATCGAACCAGCGACCATCGGACGTAAAGCGGTGTGCTAATCCGCTAGACCACCGAGGTCTTCGAAATGTTTGTGCCATGTTTCTAAACATTTCACTTAACATGCCCAGTTATTTGTATATGGAATCCAATGTATTTGGCATGCTTATGTGACCTGTAATTTTATTGCCTTTTTTAACTGAAGAGAATGAGAGAAGTACAGTATTTTTATTAAGCTTTGTGTGACTTGCAGAGATCTATTGTGCTCTCTCTTTTTTAGAGTCTAGGCCAGTCAGTAACAAGAATTGAGGGATATTCTTAGTAGCAATGTTTTATATCTGCATTAGTCACCTTTCAACAGTTTACAAAGTAAGCTGAAGTCGGTGATACATAAACATACAAATAAAATTTCCTTTTAACTCTCAATTATTCATCCAAAAAGCGTATGAATCCCACTGTACTGATAATGTAGTATTAGATTTATTTTTACTATACATGACACAAATTTTGCATATGATCTATCTGTGTACAAAATCTCATGCAAATCCGTCCAGTAAATGTAGTAGTCACCTGTTGATAATTTACAAGGAATACAATAGTAACACTTTGTGTTCAGTGTAAAATTTATTTTTAACATATCTATACATATAATTTATTTATATTGGTTGTCTGTTTGTAATATTGAAATAATCGGTTTTTACTACATGCATATGAATATAAATCGGTACATACACCAAGATAACATTTTCTACAATTTTTGGCTGTCTGTCTGTTTGTTCCGGCTAATCTCTGAATTGGCTGGACCGATTTTGACGGGACTTTTATTGTCAGATAGCTGATGTAATAAGGAGTAACTTGGGCTACTTGTATTTTAGAAAAATAAGTTAAATTCCACGCGGACGAAGTCGCGAGTACAGTTAGTTAACAATAAACATGACTGTACTGTCTAGTTTGTTCGTCACGATTTTATAACCTGCGAGATTTCAAATTTACTTGTAAATGGATCAGCAAATATTTCTGTTGAAGTCAACCTTGTTTTGTGGGATTACCAGGTGACTGATTTTATGCGCGCAAGCAACATTGACGTCTATGATTATTATTGCTAAGAAAATATAATATTAAAATAACCGACATTTTTATAGCGCATATATACTGTCAATACATATAGTCAAGTCTAGAAGGAGGTAGTTATTGTACAAAGTTGTCCATATATCATCTTGATCATCTGGATAAATGGCCCTTCACCGCGCGTTTTACCAGAAACTTATTGAAACAAATCACCTTCCAGCAATGGGGAGCCTTACCATCGGGGGGATGGGGGTTGTTAGTAATGTGGACTAATGATCCCATTACCAGCAATGCACCAAGTTAGGTTGACCTCCACGTTGTTCCACCTGGAAACCATCGTGATAAATTCTTGGTGAATTTGTCAGGATGGGCTAACCGACCTGACCTCATGTTCATCTTATCATCTTCCACTGGTGCCCCGCCCGCGTAAACCGTTAGCGCAGGCGGGTGCACTATTCCATTATAATTCATAAAAAAAAAAAACACTTACCATCAGGTGAGCCGCAGCCTCGTTTGACTATGCTATAAAAATGTGTTAGTTATTTCGCAGTTATTTTTCCGCGTATCAACATCTGTACTGTATTAAGGTATAGCAGTGAAATTAGAGGGTAACACCATAGTCCTAAGAGATGGCAATACAATAGTACCATAGGCGTTATAAATTTATTTTATAATATCTATGAAAAGTGGTAATAAGCGTCACCTATAGACGGACGTCCTGTTCGTCTAAGCGTCACCTATAGACTAACAAAACGTTCGTCTACGCGTCGCCTATAGACGTACAAAACGTTCGTCTATTTGCGACTTGTAGAGTCTCTGAAATGATTTGCCGTCAAATTTATCATCCGAACACAATGTAAGTTTTACCCTTACCACAATAAAATACCAGAGTCTGTTATAAATCTGCCACAAAAAAGATTTAAATGTCAAATAAAACAGTTCCTTTGCAAAAAAGCTTACTATAAAATTGATAAATTCCTTAACGATAATAATGTTTTTATAGAAAAACTTTAAATCCATAGCACTGACAATATTATCTGATTACACTAATAATGAGTGCGTAGCGATTTCTATGTTGATTATCGCATGCCTCTTACTTGTTATACTGTAATTATTTATATAAAAAAAACATCTATTAAAAAGAGCAACACACAAGTTTCTTGCTCGTTCTTCTTGTGATGAATCTGCATTCCGAATGAGTGGTAGAATCAAAATATGACTATTCAAAAGTGCTTGTAATGAGTTTATTTGAATAAAGATTATTTCTATTTCTACTTACCGTTCCAGAACCGAGAGCACAAACACCGGACGGAGGTGTACGTGATGATGGTGACGCAGGAGCTGGCCGAGTGGGAAGACTCGCGGCTGATGGGCCGCAAGCGACAGTGGTTCTCTATAGACGACGCGCTCGCTCAGCTGGCGCTACACAAGCCCATCCAGCGGCATTACTTGCAACAACTGCGGCGCTCCAAACAGAACAAGAACGACGACCCCGGCAGTTAAGCTGTCCCGCTAACATCGAAAAGGTGTTCGCCACACGCGTCAGTCAATATCAGCTAATTAACATTTATCATCCCCCTGAAGTTAAGGAGTAGACAAATGTCCAAATAAAATATATTTCTAAAGTGACAATTCGAAAAAAAGAAATTGATTTTTTTATTGTAATGATCGAACTCAAAAAACGATTTTAACATTTGTTTTTTTAATAGGAATCAACATTATATGGGTATATGTCATTGTCAAAAACATTTGTGATCACTACAATAAGTCAGATTCCTATTTGTATAAATGTGGTTGTTTAACAATTGTTCTGCCATACCTTTAGATTATTCTAGAATATTATATAACAATTATATTCCTGAAAACATTTGTATTCTTGAATATGAGTTTATATTTTTTTTTATTTATGATAATGGAATGGTACACCTGACTGTGTTAACGGTTTACATTGACCAGGCACCAGATGGACCATGTTTGGTTGCCACCATTGTAGAATAAAAAAAATGGAGGATGATAAGATGAGAATGAGGTTATGTCAGTTAGCTCAATGTGGCAACTTTAGCAGGTAATTCTCATTATGGTTTCCAAGGGAAAGTGCGTGGAGGAAAAACCAGAAATGGTATATTGCTTGCAAGGGGGTTAATAGTCAACATTACTAACAACCCCCTTTCACCCTCACAGTTTATATTGTATTGTATTTGTGTGAAGGAGGGCTATATGAAAAACTAGTAAGAATAATACACTTTAATAATTTGTAAAATGTATTTTAAGTAAGAGCATAAAAATATAGCAAAGAAAATGTTTGAAATTAAAAAAAAAAATTCTGACCCCTAACTGCATGTTTTTATATATCATTACATAGTACTCGGCGCATAGCTACTGATAATAAAGTATTTGTGTTAATGTCGATAGAAAATTTAAAAAAAAATGACTGATTACAGTCAAAATTTAAATTAGGTATGTTTAAATTAAAGAAAGTATTATTGTGGTTCATTTCTGTAATTCTGTAATATTTTCTTTATTTCCAATACATTCCCAATATTTTATAGCAATGAGACTAAGGGAAGTAAAATATTAGAGACTAAAGGTATGGCAGTGAATAAAACATTAACTGATTTCTAAAATATGTTTTAAGTATCTAGTGCTCATACAAACAGACAATACTTTATTGACAACCGATAATATACATATTCATATACACAACAAATAAATAAATAAATAAATAAATAACAAAAAAATACAATACATTTATATATTTACACTTTTGACAAGGCACCATGAACGTAAATCTACTTAATGTTACTAGATGGCGCTATGTAATATGCCTAGAACATTTATTATTAACTGTGTAATATAAGATTAAACACTAACAATATGAAGGTATTGAAATATAAAGCGCCATCTATAAACTTCATCGGCCCATTAACGGCCATTTTGTAAACAGTGACAACTTATTAATTCATTATGGTACGGCTACATTATCTGTGGTTTCGTGTTGTTCAATCCTCCATGAAATTCAAATTGGGGATTGAAATTACCACGGCTTGAGCTGAAGTTCAAACTCTTAGCAATGCCCTCAGTCTAAAGTCGTATCCGTCAGGCAGGAGGTGGCCTTCAGGCGCTCCATAAGTCCTTCCGCGGGTTTGGAGTGCCATCTGCACTCGCCCCTTATCGTTCGGTGAAGCTGTAAAGGCCAGGTCGATCAACAGGATTAGAATGGTTCGAATAGAAGTGTACGCATTCCCAGGAATTTGGGAATTTGGTATGTATTCTACACAAAACAAGAAATATACTGCCCTAACTGTTATCTGTGAATGTTGTGGTCAACGCACATCGTGCAGTTCGCTGAGTATAATTGAAACCTAATGTGACATTGCGCAAACTTGCCGCAGTCTCTTGGATAAATTTTTGGTTTGATATTGTAATTTATACTTATGATTTTTTGCCCCGACTGCCCTACACAGGCAAATCTATCAGTTTAGAAAGCTGAAATTGAGAACACTAGTTCGAAAAATTAAATTTATTTTTAATAAATTAGATTTTAAAATTGGCATGAGCAAGGAAATTAATTGTTCCACGAAAGTAAATTAATAAAACAAATAAAAAACAATGTGAATAGACTACTTTAGATAATGTGGCCGTAGCGTAATAATGTTATGATAATTATACAAAAAAAATAATAATTTAATGTCTATGGATTTGTTTAATATTGTCTCTCTGAGTGGAGGCTTACATTGGGCCAGTTACTGACTTAAAACTCGAAACGAGTCAGTGCTAACTCGCTAGTGCCGTCGTATACATTGAAATCAAGTGGGTTTAGTCTATCGGATATTTTTGGAGTCTGTGGATTTTTCCCGCCACTTTGTCAGTGTATAATGACGTCACTAACTGTCAAAGATGTCAAGCCAAAATTCCAGAATAATTAACAGGAGATGGCTAATGGCAACACAAATCGCCAGATCCAAAAGAAGAGAAAAAAAATAACAGGCGCCAACTTTTTAGATATTTTTTATCTAAGCTAACAATAGATTAATTCATGACAAATAATCCATTCGTATCGTAATCCGGTGAAATATAAGAAAAAAGTAATCGTAGTACAAACACTGGCGCCAGTAACTGACCCAATGTAGAAACCTTTTGTGCTGATTCTGACTGAAGTGTTTGAACTTGAACGTCCGAAATGGACTGATCGGTGTATTATTACGCCGTTCAGTTTGTATTTCCATTATATATAATGTTTTAATAATTCCGTCATGACTAGTCATCCAAATCGATGTTATATATATGGAAATGAGGTTCTTCCTTTAATGAGACGAGGACGTATGGGAGACCAGCGAACGTAATCGGTGAACACCTGCAAAGCGCGGCCGCAAAAATGCTACGCAAACGCTAATACCTAACTCTGTAACTTACCTTTTTTCTACTTTATGTATATTTTTATACTACAATGGAATAAATGTTAATTTTATTTTGTTAGCATTAAAACAAAAAGACATACGAGCTCTATTTTTATTTAAGTCCTCAGTGAGTTTTGAAATAAATTTTATATTGGTCTTGTCGGGTTTTCAGTTCTGTATCCCCGTACTCCTCAGGGTACTGTTTTTTTTAAAGTTGCATCAAGAATATTAGGACTATGCGCAGATTTTATTCTGTATCTGTGGTTTAAGGAATGTAATCACTGAACTATTTTTCAGTTGCATTGTGAAGCGTATAACTTAACATAACTTGTAAAGAGAAAAGGACTGTGGGTTTTTTAAAACATAAATAAATAAATACAGTCATTATGAGAATTGCTATATTTTTCCGATCATTAAAAAATATATTTTATACAAATAACTAGATACCCACCCCGGCTTCACACGGGTGTACATGTATTATACATATAAACCGTCCTCTTGAATCACTCTATCTATTAAAAAAACTGCTTCAAATCGTTGCGTAATTTTAATGATTTAAGCATACATATGGACGGACAGACAGCGACAGCTACTTTGTTTTATACTATGTAATAATTATTTTAGTAATATTTATATTCCAATTGATATATAAACAAATTGGAATATACTTTTATTTTGTATTATGATTAGGCTTTATTTATATACCAGTTTTGTTGTATATAAGTATTTTATTGTAATAATAGTAATTTACAGACAGATAAAGTAATGAAGAACAGTATAAAAAACTTAGTAATCTTCTGATTAGAAAAATAATGATAATAATAATAATAAACTCTTTATTGTGCACATACAATACAATAAGAAAAACAGTAAATAAAAAAATTACAAACGGCTGTCTTATCGCGATAGGCAATTTCTTACAGACAACCTGCTAACAAGCAATAGGACTAACGTACATAGAAGAGGTAGATGGCAAACACAAGACACTATAATTATTAAACGAAGAAAAAGACATACATAAATAAACTTACATATATACAACATATTGGAAGATTTCAGAAATAAATAGGAAAAAATGAGCTATAGATACAGATAATGAGTTTAGACGATTTTAAAATATTGCATGAGATTGAGCAGATCCAATGGAGAGTGGTAGAAAGTTCCAGAGACGAATGGGTTGGACAGTGAAAGAGTTGGAATAATACGATTAATGATTAATAATCGTATTATTATATTGTTGGAATAATGATTAATATTTCTTCATATTATAATGTAGCATGATGGTATTACATCACCACTGTAGCGTTATACAATAATCATTACTTATTACAAAATATATTGTAGGCATAAAAATTACATAATCTAAATATATATAACTCAAAGGTGACTGAAGTGATCTATCAACGCACAGCCCAAACCACTGGACGGATCGGGCTGAAATTTGGCATGCAGGTAGATGTTATGACGTAGGCATCCGCTAAGAAAGGACTGATTAATTCTACCCCCAAGGGGATGAAACTTTGTACATTTTAAACCGATCGGGCTGAGACTGCATGCATAAAGCTATTATGACGTAGGCATCTAAGGGGATAAATTGACGCGAGCGAAGCCGCGGGCAAAGGCTAGTAAAACTATATAACACACATTATATCCTAGTAATACAAGTTAGAAACACCCATACACTAAGAACGTTGTTAGGGTAAGCGTACACTTCCACTGCAAGTCCAAATTCAGCGTTAGGGTCGTCGTTCATGTGTGCAGCCGTTGACTTCACGCGTGACACGACCGATTTTGTATTCCCGTACGGCATGTTTATCGGGAAACCGAATATCTGAAAAGGAAATTAATTTCGTGTATATTTTATATATTATATTGACGACCTCGGTGGTCTAGCGGTCAAGCACACCGCTTTACGTCCGATGGTCGCGGGTTCGATTCCTCGCACGGCACAAACATTTGTATTCATGAGTATGATTGTTTGTATCGGTCTGGGTATTTTCTATGTATAAAATGTAATATTTACGAAAAAAAAAACATATCTATGTATTTGTATCAGTTGTCAAGTATCCATAACACAAGCTTTAGGTAGCTTAATTTGGGTCTAGATGGCGCTGTGTGAATTGTACAGAGATTATTTATTTATTTATTTATTATTTATAATAGAATGGTACACCCATTTGCGCTAACGGTTTATGCTGGCGGGGCACCAGTGGGGGAAGATGCGGTTAGGTTTGTTAGCTCATGGTGACTGATTCACCAATATCACGATAGTTTGTGGGGAGAACCACGTGGAGATCAACCAATGTGGTACGTTGCTAGCAATGGTGTTATCAGTCCATGTAACAATACCCTTCCGCTATGTCTGTAGTTTGATTGGCATATTGTCGTATTTCATGAAATATAGGCATAGTAATAATTTCAGGACAATTCACACAGCGCCATCTAGATTCAAGTTAAACCAGCTAAAGCCTATGTTATGGGTACTAGATAACTGATACAAATACAGAGATATATATATCTTATATATATTTGACAGCCTCGGTGGTCTAGTGGTTTAGCACACCGCTTTACTATCCGATGATCGTGGGTTCGATTCCTCGCACGGTACAAACATTTGTATTCATGAGTATGATTGTTTGTATCGGTCTGGGTGTTTCTTATGTATAATATGTATTTATTTACAAAAAAAAGTATCCATGTATTTATATCAGTTGTCTAGTACCCATAACACAAGCTCTGCTTAGCTTGGGACTACAGACATTATTATTATTATTATATTATATATATTTCGTAAATACATAGAAAACACCTAGACCGATACAAACAATCATACTCATACTCATGAATATAAATGTTTGTGCCGGGCGAGGAATCGAACCCGCGACCATCGGAAGTGAGGCGGTGTGCTAAACCACTAGACCACCGACGCTGTCGATATATATTGTAAGTATGTACCGTATATAACATCACGGTCAATTTAAGGTGAAAAATTACGAATTACTTTTGTCATCAAAATCGGCATATTATTTACTAAGAAATCGTATGATACGCAATAAATACAGTACCTACAGACCTACAGAAACTCCTGTCTCTTGGAGTAAGTAGTATTAAAGTTGGATATCAATTATTGCATTTGACACACACACACCCACAAGTATAGTCTATGACAGTAGAACGTTGTTCAAAGTTATGATGTTAATCGAATTTCGAATCGAACCCACGACCATCAGAAGTGATTCGGTAAACTAAACCGCAAGACCACTGAGTGCGTTATGAGTATTTTTTTTGTATGGAATGGCATCCGCCTGCGCTAACGGTATACGCTGGCGGGGCACCAGTGGAGGATGATAAGATGAACATGAGGTCAGCTCAGTTAGCCCATCGTGACAAATTCACCAGGAATTTATTTATTTATTTATTTTATAAAAACTTTAATGCACATAATTGAAAGTACATATGGCGGACTTAACACCATGCGGCATTATCTACCAGTCAACCATGGGTGGTGCAGAGAATAATTGTTGGCGGTGCAAATATAAAAAATATATTAAACCATACACATAAAAATATACATGAATAAATAGCTACATATATATATATATATACATACATAAACCATACATAAAGAAATATTTAATAATCTGACAATGAAATATCATGTACTGCCACAATAATGGAAATAAAAAAAACAACACGTATACGTAAAAATAAAAAACAATGAGAAAACAGGACACAGAAAAGGTTACAAGTTTAAATAATGTTCCCGTAATTTACGTTTGAAAGAAAATCTACTCGTGACGGTTTTGATATGAAGGGACAAGTCGTTCCAAAGTTTGATTGCCTGAATGGCGAAAGAATAATGGACGAAACCAGACAAATGAGCAGAATTTATCACGATGGTTTCCAGGGGGAACCGCGTGGAGGTCAACCTGACATGGTACATTGCTAGCAATGTCCACATTACTAACAATTCCCTTCCCCAGTGCGTTATGATAGAGTTACCAGAATTCTGTTCCGCCTGTGAAGAGCAAACGCTCAAATAGGCCAAAAAATACAGGAATTTAGTTTTTTACCCGGCACAAATTATCAAAGAACAAATTGTCTTGCGTAGATCGATCGATTTAATACTAAAAACGGAGCACCATTCGAATACGGGACAAGTCAGTCCCACCGGGACATTTTAGCCTAAAATACGGGACGTGTGGTAACGCTAGTTAATAGTATGACTTACCCTATAAGTAACCATGAGCTGTTTCATCCTTTGACTGTACCCGGGCTTGGGTTCTGTGGGGTTGAAAGTCCAATACTCCCAAAAAGGTAGCAACTCGCGCAACAATCCGCTGCAGTATCTGGGATTATGGATAATACGAAGTCTATTTATTTATTTATTAAAGGAAAACCAAGGCTATTCAAGTACATTAAGATGTACTTGAATAAAGTCGATATATATGTCACAATAAGCCACTGACAGGCTTTCACTAATAACAATAGACTAATTCTTAATAAAATTACATCACTACGTATAAAGGCATTACAAAGTTAACAGAGAATATGAAATTAATTAACAAGAGTACAGTAACAAATAGTAAATTTATAGAAATATATACATATACATGATTTTCAATAATAATTAATTGTTATTTAAAGAAGGGCTCACTTAGTTGGTGTCTCGCTGATTTAATATTATTACAAAATATATCTATATTAACTGTTTTAGATAGTTTATTAAAATTGTTGCTAGCTCGCCAGGGAAATGAATTCTGCTTATAGTTCGATGACACTAGGGGAACAGATAGGAGAGGATTGTGCCTTGTTGATACTCGTGGTACATTAATGGATAATTTATCCAGGAGATTCGGGCAGTCGACAGCACCAGAGGCTATTCTCATGAGATATGTAATATCCGCGATTTCCCTACGCTGCTCTTATACTTATTTCTATTATACTTCTCACTATAATTTTGGATATATATCTACACATGACGCACTTTCAAAGTTAGTTATTATATTACTTTTTCGTTTCTTACTGTATTTATTTATATACTAGCTGTGCTCGCAGTTTCACTCGAGTTAAATTTCAATATAAAATATAGTCTGTGTTATTCTGATGCATAAGCAATATTACTGTAAAGTTTCATCAAAATCCGTTGAGTAGTTTTTGCGTGAAAGAGTAACAAACATCCATACTTACAAACTTTCGCGTTTATAATATTATTAAGATATACATAATATCTCAAGACAATTCACACAGCGCCATCTAGTCTTGGGAGTGCCCATAACACAAGCTCTGCTTGGGCAGAGCTTGTGTTATGGGCACTAGACAACTGATATAAATACTTAGATATATTTATTTGTAAATACATACATAATATACATAGAAAACACTCAGACTGATATAAACAATCATATTCATGAAGGAAAACGTTTGTACCATACCAATCGAACCCGCGACCATCTGAAGTAAACCGGTGTACTCAACCGCTAGACCACCGAGGTCGTCAATGATATATCCAGTTCTCTATACCTGTTCCAAATGGTCTTCATGTGTGGTCGCCATTTCTGTATCTTAGTTCTAATCTTATTCTCCAGAGCTTCCCTCAGTCGGGTCACATCCGGCGGAGAGCTGTACAGCATCGAGTCGTTCACTATTGGCTGTCTCATTACGAATACAGTTTTGTCAAACACCTGCGTAAATTACTTTACTGTAAGGGGCCGTTCAAGTATTACGTAAGCACTATAGGGGGGCGGGGGGGTCTTTTCTTTGCTTATTTTGGATGACATGGGGGTGGGGGAGTCTGTATGATGGTTACGTCATCGGTCGTAATTTACTTTTTTACACGAATGGCAACCCTCACATTGTCTTTGCTAAAAAAAACAATACATTAATTGAGAGATGTTTACGTAAGCATGGGGGGAGGGGGTAAGAGCTTTGCTTACTTTTGCTGACAACGGGGGATGGGGGGTAAATAATTGTGATAAATCTGCTTACGTAATACTTGAACAGCCCCTAAGCGTAGATACTTTTTATTTTTTATTATACTACGATATTGGCAAAAAGCATACGGCCCGTCTGATAATCGACTACCGTAGTCTATAGACGCCTGAAACATCAGGGGTGACACGTACGCGTTGCCGACCAAATTCAAATTCAAAATTTCTTTATTAATATAGGTCTATTACAGACTCTTATAATATGTCTTGAGATATGTCTCAAGATATATCATAAGAAATATATATGACCCTTAAGAAAGCTTAATGTTCTTTGAAAACGTCGTTCTTCTTGAAGAACTTCATGCTACAGTCTATCGAGAAAATCTCGGCAGGTATTTAATTCTATGGGTATTTTTTTATTTTTTTTTAGTTTTTATTATTATTAACCACAGACAAAGTCCGTGCTCTTATTAAGTTAATTTTTACATTTTTGTTAGACTTAAATTGATTTATTTAAGTAAATCTATTTTGATCAGGCCCCATATAACAATTTTATGGATATCAATATAATATAAAATCTAATATAAAAATAAAATAATAATACAAATTTACCAAAACTAAGTACAAATATGGGTATTTAATCTAAGTGTATACGGGAGGAAGCTCCTCTGAAACCGCACTGTCCGAAACTCCTTAGTTTCCATCATATTTCGTTCGATGTGATCACGAAAAGGTTTCAGAGGAACTTCCTCCCGCGTACACTTACATTGTGGAATGAACTACCTGCTTAGATTTTCCCGAAAGACTATAGCGTGGGGTTTTTCAAGAAGGGTATATTAAGGTTTCATAAGGGTAGAAATGCGCACGTGACATCCCTGCTATTTCGCCGTCCATAGGCTAAGATACCCATTTACCATCAGATGTGCCGTATACTTGATGGTTTCGTTGTATCATCAAAATCCGTTAAAATCGTCAAAAATAAAATCGATATTATTAAGTTCTACTCACAGCCTGCCAATTCGATGATTTTGAAAAATCAAATGATACGCTTTCACATTCTTGAGACGTTTGTACATTCACCCAAATCTGAGAATAAGAACTTATTATTAGAAATTTCGTTGTCGGTAGCAAATTTGTCATTTCGTATCGAACACAACACTTACGTTTTCGTTGTCGAACACATAATCCACAGTCTTCAGCGGACAACTGACATCTCTCAACTCGTACCTCTCCCCGCTAGTTGCGTCATGAACGTACCACAGGTACCCTTCCGTGCGATGCAGCAAACCCTTCTTAAGCAGCTGATCATTTAACAAAACAATTCTTCGATTTGTCATATCATATTTGGTAAGGACGTAACTGGTCTGGCCTCGTGGAAGACCAACTCCGATAGCTATCCAACATTTTATGCCTAGGTAGAGGAAGTAGCTGGCTAAAAGTATGCTGTGGTCAAGAGGAGAGCCGTACAAAACTTTTAGGAGTTCCTGGAAGCGAAATTATACTAATAAAAGAGCAGAACTCATAATGGCTAGTGAAGCCGATACAGTTAAGCGTGGAGTGGTGAAATATTCAGGAATGAAAACGATTGAAGTTTACAGCTGTCCGTGGCCCTTGCATATATAGAGTGAGGATAGTGGACGCGTTCGCCTGCTGTGCGAGGGAAGTGATAACTGCTATAGGTGTCGCTATCTACGCACAAGCGGTTGGATCAATTTAATTACCAAATAAGTAGGTATACAGGTATGTAACATTAAATTTTACAGATACACCCTACAAACAAACAATATATTTTAACAGTAAAGTATTTATTTATACATATATATAGTAAAAAGTAAGAATGGGTTTATATATACATTATGGTTATTTCTATATGGTTTATGTGTTTTTATTTTTATTAATATTTTAGTTTTATTTTACAGGTCCGGTTTGCAGTCGCGAGGCACGTCGGCTACAGCTAGCATTTAGATTGTAAATGATATTAACTTGTTCCGCAAAACCTTTGAAATCCTCAATCCCTCAATCCCTCAATCTATAGTCTATCAAAAACGAAGAGGAATATTGAGAAGGGTAAAATGATTTCGACTTCTAATTTTTGGCCTGACAGTCGATAAAATTGAATAATGCAGTTTACGTGAAATTAATCGTTCTGAATTTCAGGACATTCAAGATTTCGACGACATCTATAAAAGAAGCCTGTAACTACTTGGAAATAGAATCTAATAAATTTAAACATATTCAATATTCATTCAGGAATTCTTCACTTACCACTCCCAACAAAGTGACAACATGAGATTCTGTAACTTCATACGTCGGTATTAATGCTACGTATCTGACTGCAGCGTTGATCAGTCTTGTCAACTGACTATCTCCACTCCTCCAGCTCCCGTCTCTCGTGCCATAAGTGGATTCTCTCTCATCATTAACTGTTTGACTCGATCCTCTATCATCCCTCTTGTCGCCGCTATTTTTTGACGAAGAACTTTTAGAAAATCCCGAGCTCTTCGACATCGCGGATCCAGTTCTGTTCTTGGGGTTTTTAGGAAAGAACTCATAATCAGGCAATGGAATTGGTTGCAAAAACTGCGTTACACATTTATTATGTCCTGCACTGTCTACGAACGTTAGAGAAATGTTTCTTGATGGAAAATCATTCAGATATTCTGTGACAAAATTGTTCAAGTGTTTTATCAGGTAATCGTCATCAGGACCATTCGGTATCGGTTGATTGTATACCTGTAACCCACTTAAATGGGAGAGGTTTGTGGTTATTTGAAGGGATATGAAAGATGTGTCCTTTTTCATTAGTTGGGTTATTTCTGGTATCAAAGATTGTGTACGCTCTTTCGTTCGACATAGTGTTTCATACCCGAATATTGTTGGTGGAGAGTTTATTTTGAAGGTACCGCGTAGCTGAAATCGTATAAATACTATAAAGGTATAGCAGCATTAAGATCAAAAAAAAGTGAATGATTCTTAGAATCTGTAGATGGAGGCTAATGTCTAACAGTGGTCAATGAATACTTACCATGCCCATAGTGAACACAGCGTACAAAGGCACATGAAGTGTTCCCAACCATTTGTTGTAATACCGGTAGTGTACCGTCTTGCTGTGAGTGCTCTCATCTTCAGCATAGCCATCACCTATATTCGCTTTGTACTCATCGTAAATATTTATGTATATGGACGACAGTGGATCAGGTCTAGGGAGACAATAAGTACCGTATTATAAACAAACTTTTGGCATAATTAGCAAATCTGCATGTATGTTTATTCTAAGATTTGTTTTAATAGCTCATTAATAAATTCTTGAGTATAAGCGATGGTAGGAGGTAGTTAAATGAAATGTTTTAAAACAAGTTTGTTTCTCAAACACCAATTCTCTCTTTGGTTACTACTTGCCTGGCTTTGATTTTAACAGTCTGGTTCCAAGTTGGATGGCTGCCGATAGCAGTGGCAGTCTGAACCGATACGCCATGATAGCTCACCCTGACAAATGGCCTCAGAGGACGTACTTTATACCCTGAAAATTAATGCTTACCAGAAAATTTAAGTCGTACTAAAATCTGTATCGTACTAAAAATGCATTGAAATTTCTAACCACACAATTGACAGAACAACTAAAAATCAAATGCATCTTAATTTTAGAATTTGAAGTGCGCTCATCAAATTCTATAATCTAGTACAACATAAATACCTGCAATTTTATCCTCTGACTCGTTATCTTCACCGAGGATTATATTTTTCCTATCTAGTAAATTGAAAGCCCTTATCACGGTAACCTGTACCTCCTGTTCTTTGTACAATGACTCATTAAGAAACTGCTGCTTTGTGCTGCTCGATATAGTCGCTAGTGTTATAAATTTCGCTTCATTTGCAATAATGCTCCTACAATTTGAACAAAGAAGAGTTCATGAAACATCTACTAAAATACATAACAATCATGTTAAAAAAACATAAGCAGCTAACCTCAAACTAAAACTTTTGAAATCTCTAACGACATCTTTGTGTGTTTTCTTCAAAAGGTGCTCATTAAGATTTCTCAGCATGTTTTTATTTAATTTCTGTACGTACTTAGCTCCTATAAACCTTTGCATTTCAAGAGGATCCATGTCCGCATTTTTACTATGAAAATATTCAATATCAAATTCCTTCTCCTCACTTATTTGCAGACAATTCAATTGCTCTGTTGAAATCTGGCTACCATGAAGAGGAACCAATTTATTTTCCACATTAACAAATCCCCCAATGTTTCTCAAATGTAACAATTTCAATCTTACATATTCTGGTTTACTTTCTTCAGGGAAAGGAAACAGATCATCAACTTTATCATCGGGTTTGCAAACATTTCTCAGCATATTCATCATTTTGTCATCTCTCTCTATATCCTTTTCATATAATTTGCCAATGATATCTGCAAGTATGTCTATATTAGGTTTATCTATACCCTGCATTAGTCTTTTGAGCTTTCTTCCTATATCCATTGAAGATTTTATGTTTTCAGTATAGCTATTGCTTAATTTTTCATTCCAGCCAATTCTTAAATTGATTTCACAATTTGTGTACAGTTTTCCTTCGAACGTATTGCTACTTTTAAGTCTTATCATATTTTGTTTGGCTATTTCTTTTATATTAAATCCACTACCGACAGATTTAGTATTGGGTTCTACAATGTCTTTATATACAAAATTTTCTGTTACAAAATCAGTTTGAACGTAACATTTTTTAATATCTGATAACTTCTTCTTTAAATATGCAGCACCTTCGCTATTTTCTGATAAAACTATAGTCAGCGTGGTATTATCTGATATTATTTGTATAGAAAACGTTTCATTGAACTCTACACTAGAAATATCTTTACTAGCACATTGTTCTGATTCACATACAAAAACATCATCGACGAAGATTGCAAGACAGTAGGTGTAAAGCAAATTATTTTTCCCAGATTTGTTATTCAATAAAAGTTTTGCATCGTCTGTTAAATTAAATTCTATTGTCTCTCTCAATAGAACATAATTCACAATTTCTTCTGCCTGTTCTCTTAATACATCTTGGTTAACTTCTAATTTGGGTTTACTTAGATTTTTTCTCCTAGAATATTCTATGTTTTGATCTTTTTTCATTTCTTTATATTCAATATATTTACTAACATACTCATATTCCATTTTACAAAGTAAATCCGTAAATTCTATATTGAAAACTCGATCCCACTCTTCTTCATATTCCGTATCATTCATACATTTTGTTTCTATGTGCAATATATAAGGCGTAGTAATACTTTCAGTTTTTTCTCGGATCATTTCTATATCCGACCATAGAACTATAATATTATGAATCAATTGTTTTCTAGTCTTTAATGTGTCTAAATATTTCTCTTTAGATATTAGCAACTTAGCTGTATATTTCCTGACAGTGTCGTCGAATCGTATGTCTGCATTTTTATTTGGACTAACTTTTATAAGATCTAGCTTAAGATTGTCTTTTGTCTCTCTGTTAATTCTAATCTCTTTCGCTAATTCCTCTATTAATTTCTGTTTTGCATTATATTCATCTAAAGTTTCGAGAAGTTTAACACTGAGTAATTTTTCTATAGAATATGTGTGATGGTGTTTAAATTTTAAACTTTCAATGGTTATGTCTAAAAATTTTGGCGCCGTTTCGGTGTCTTTGTTTATATTATTTGAAATAAAATTTTTGAACAATATTGGCTCAGTATATTGTACAGGTATATTCGTTGTTTTGGAGACAGCGCTATCGAGGACTCTTGGGAATACGGGACATAGATTTACCATGTTAGATTTTCGCCCCCATCTAAAATTATAAAAAAAGCAATGTGCTTAATTATTAGTAAAAATATGTTGTTAGTAATTAGTATTAATAGTTTTCGTAATTAATATAAGTTTTATAATCTTAATTAGGAATTCATCAGCGTCATAAATTAGCTTGTGGAAATTAACAATTTAACAGCTACCCTCAAACGAGGGTAAAATGAGTTAATTACAGGCAATGCCCTATATTATTATTACCGTTAGTAGATTTTGTAACAAGTCGTCTGCATACACACCTGTGTCCACCTATTTTGTCCCCAAGTAGCTTGCTTTGTAAGCTGTGTCGGTGGAAGAGTGAGATATTGCAGTGAAATTATGGGGTAAGGAGGTATGATACCCAAATTGCCTAAAAGGCGATATATGAGGGGGCAATGTAAGATGACGAGAAACAGATAACCTTCCGTTTATTTGCTAGTTTTTATAGAATAGCTAACAAATGAGCTTGCAGCACATCTGATGCGAAGTGATAAATGTGCGCCCATGAAAACCCGCAACTCCAGGAGAATGGCAAGTGAGTTCCCAGCCTTTTAGGAAGGGGAAGGTGAGGCAAGGATTTATGAAAAGGATACGTGGGAGGAGGATGTGTCTCTAGAGGTGTATTTCCTTTACTTCCAGATGGAGAAAGCCTATTCGTGCTGCACAACCACGAGAAGTCATCATTCTTCTTAACTGAAGTAGCCGACAGTAGGGATAGCAATAAAAATATAGAGTAACCGAAAAGACCGTGTATGCTATCCTACCACATAAAAAAAATTAAGAAATGGGTCCTGCAAGCTAACCTGTATTCAGAAACTGAGTGCAGCGGCTGGAAGGGTTTATGTAGCTTCTGGTTCCAAGGAATTCTTAATAAGCAATTACTTTGTTGTTCCGCAATATTATCAACAAAAGTCATAATATTTGAAGATATGGGCACTGCTGTCGACGCCAATTCAAAAGTTATGATATCCATTAGATTCGTTGTTTTATCTTTTTTATCTTTACCTCTATTTTCGTTACTCTGATTACCGGTATTTACATCGACTTGTGTAAAAAAGTCGTCGTGTTTTAATGTTTTTGCTGAATATTCCGTCAAGTCTGTTCCTTTTTTACCTTTTTGATTTATTTCATGGTATTCTTCAATCTCACTATCTACTGTGGAATTAATAGAAAAAGAATATAGTTCTATATTTTCCGACATAATATTTTTAAATAAGTAACAATAATGTATGATTTCAAATTAAGTTTTAATATTATCAACGAAATATGAAAACAAGCTTTTGTATTGTTCCGCCAAAAGTTGTCATGGCAATTAAGAAGCGTTCCTGGCAACCGGAATTTCTTTAAACTTATATTTTTCTAATATAATTACAGAATAATATTTCTATCTTTATAAATACTTTTTATTGGCAAGTAGGTATGAGGTAGTTTTGCTTTTTTACAAATGTATACCTTTTCATTAATTTATATACGTAATATAAAAAATATGACATACGCAAGTTACCTAAAAAATTATTTTAACGTAATTATGTCTTTCAAATTCATTTTACTGGTTTGTTTCTGCAATGTTTACAAATTTTATAATAATAAACAATTTTACCTCGGCAATAACATTCAAATTCCATTCATAATGTATTAGTGAATCCACTCAATAGATGCGCATGAACGTAATTTCCTTAACATTGTTGAGTCTTACAAGAAAGAAAAAAAATGTTAAGCCAGATGTCACTGTCATTGTCATCTGCTATCAATTCATTTGTGACTGTCAACTTTTCCAATCTATTGTTGATTTGTTGAACACAAGTTTGTTATTGCATTTTATTCTGCTCATTTTTTTGTAAACATTATTCTAAATTTGTAATTATTCTTTGTTTTAGCTTAAAAACGTGGTTTAATGATACTATTAAAATTGATTAGCTAATGTCTAAACAAATTGAAATTGCTAACAGAAAGTAAACAAAGTGCAGTTTTGGTGTACAACTTAGAATTTATATCATTTAAGTTTTAATGTGAAACATGTCTAATTTTTGCTTAAAAGACACAGAGGGATTCTACTTGGCCCTCTCTGATCAGCCGAAAAGATTTGATGCTGACAGTCCTGTGACAAATGTGTTTTTTGACGATACTAATGGACAGGTAAACTATATTTTTATTATAGGAAATAAACAAAATGTGTTGTATAATATAAACAATGGAAGCGCCATAGCGTTGTCGTGACTTCGAATTTGACAGACACTAAAACAAAAACTGTGAGTCTACTACTTGTGACCAGGATGTAGGTTTAAGTGGACTCACTGAAGTTTGTCAACACTCACCTTTACTGCTCGTATTTGTCTCCCAGCCCATCCAAATCTGATAAGAGCCTGCTAGTGCATCTTTAGATACCTGTTCTAATATAGAACTTACTGCACTTCTAGACAGGCCAAGATTTTTTAGAAGATTGTAGAGAGATTTCTCTAGTTTAGTAGTCTTTAGATTGTAGAGAGATTTACGTCCTGCTCCCACTTTGACTGCATATAAATTAACTACATACCCTCATTTATTCATTTTAAATTAGTTGTCTTTAAGCATATTTGTTTCGGACACATTTTTATTTAATAATAAAATATAATTCTTTCTAGGTATTTACAGTTAGATCTGGGGGTGTGACAGGGGTCACAGTCAATGGAATGGATGAATCCAAGTGTACATCCTTCAGGATGGAGGACCGAGGCCCAATAATATCAATAAAATTCTCGCCCGATCACAAAATACTGGCCATCCAACGTAACCATGACAATCAGAATGCAGTCGTGGAGTTCGTGAACTTTCTAGACTTAGCGCCGACAAATGTGGAGTACTCCCATACGTGTAAATGGAAGAATGCTAAGATATTAGGATTTGTGTGGCCTAAAATAAATGAGATAGCGTTCATTACGGATCACGGTATTGAATTGTTGCAAGTGTTTCCTGAGAAGAAGCAGTTGAAAAATTTGAAAAGTACATCATTTAGGTATTGTAAAATTAATTTAATTAATTTGATCTTTTTTGCATTAATTAATGTGTCTTTACACCTTTTGTGTACTTTGTGATTTTAACACATTACATAGTTACAAGTAAAATATAGTCTTTATTGCATTAATTAATGTGTCTTTACACATGATTTTAATACCTTCTACAGAATTAAAAGTAAAATTTGGTCTTTGTTGCATTAATTAATGTATCTATACACCTGCTTTTAATACCTTCTACAGAATTAAAAGTACAATTTGGTCTTTGTTGCATTAATTAATGTATCTATACACCTGCTTTTAATACCTTCTACAGAATTAAAAGTAAAATTTGGTCTTTGTTGCATTAATTAATGTATCTATACACCTGCTTTTAATACCTTCTACAGAATTAAAAGTAAAATTTGATCTTTGTTGCATTAATTGATGTGTCTACACCTGATTTTAACACTTTTTACAGAGTTACAAGTTAATTTTGGTCTTTATTGCATTAATTAATGTGTCGTTACACCTGACGTTAACACTTTTTACAGAGTTACAAGTAACAATAAGATACAGTTTCACTTTTTAATACAGTCAATTGTTTTAAAAATAGTATATTACTCGGTATAAAGGTGGATTAGATTAAACATTGCACCTTCCAACTAATGCCAACATTTGAAACCATAACTGTTTGCATTCGTCTGGCTGATTTTCTATTTACAATATTTTTTTTTCTGTATACTATATATGACTTTTATGTATTATATTGTAACATAATTTACTTATTATATTCACCCTGTCCTGTTCATTTATTACTTTAGCTCTGACCTGTTTAATTGTATCATTTTGAATTAATCAACTTATTTTCCTTTGTTTTATATTACATTGTTAAATTTTCATGATTCATGAGGTATCTGTTATTGGCTTTACTAAATATCTAGTACTATATAATGTGTATAATTGTATAAGCTGTTGAATCACTACATAGTATAAAACAAAGTTGCTGTCCCTGTCGGTCCATCCCTATGTATGCTTAAATCTTTAAAACTACGCAACGGATTTTGAAGTGGGTTTTTTTAATAGATAGAGTGATTCAAGAGGAAGGTTTATATATATAATATATGTACACCCGTGCGAAGCCGGGGCGAGTAACTAGTACCTAAATAAATAAAATAATAAGCACTTTCAATCTTATTACAAAGTATAAAATTCAATCGATTCGTGGATAGCTTCAAAAGATGACCAGTTTTTTTCAACATGGGATTCACACGATGCCTAAAAGATGAGAGAAAGTAGTGGCCAATACTTTGAATTATAAATAAATAACCAGTTTTTTACAATAAAGCCTCGAATTTCGGAAAAAACGGCGGAAGCAAAGTTGTTAACCTATTATATACACAAAACATTTACCTAAGTATGTCTTATATTATATAGGTACAAAAGATGATTAATGTATGATACGCCTATGAAATAAGTCTCTCTCTCTCGGTAAGTCCTGCTAATCCCAAAGACTGATGCTACTTAGATATCCCAATATTTTAATAAACTGAGATCTGCATTATTGTTTCATTTCAGCGGTGCCTGGTTTTCGTGGTGTTCACAAAGTAACATGGTGCTGCTGGCTGGCAACAATGGTGCATTACTACAGCCATTCCTGTTGAATAACTCCACCATCACTAAATTACAGAAACTTGAATGTTAGTACACTTTTATTCTATTCAAATACTTTTCTAGATGCTAAACATTAAGTCTTAGTCTACCAATCAGGCCCTGACACGAGCCTGGGGGCAACATGTGTATTGTTAAACTGATGCATTGGACCTATGAAATGGTGTTTCAAAAACGTCACGAATATACAATAATTTAATATGCAATTGAGTATGATGTAGTAGATGAAGTAGATGTAAATAATTGATTCGGCAGGGGTTCATCGCGCTGAGATTGTTTGCCATTTTATTACATAAAAAATATAGTAATACATTTTTTACACATGTACGGTGTGACATTTTTACAGTAGAAACATCCAAACCAGTGGTGGAGCGAGATGTGTGCGTCTTGCGACTGTGTGATGCAACGTGGTGTGCTATATTCCGCCACAGTACATCTGCTGTCTCGTCGCCGGGTCCTACCGAGGTAAATCTTAGTAATAAATAAATAATCCTGGACAATTAACACAGTCCCATGGTAAGTAGAGCTTGTGTTATGGGTACTAGACTACTACATACATAGTATACAAAGAAAACACCTAGACCGATACATACAATCATACTGATGAATACAAATGTTTGCACCATGCGAGGAATCGAACCAGTGACCATTGGAAGTAAAGCGGTGTGCTTAACCGCTAGACCACCGAGGCCGTATATATCAATAGTTGCCCCGTGTGGAATACTGACCTTAATGAAACAAAGAAAAATGTTTAATAATCCAACCCAAAAAAGCCAAATAGTATTTCATCGTTCTAGCTTCATAAATAACTAATTTCCATACAAACTTTCATCCCATATTTATTTTAACCCCTTAAGGGTAAATTTTTTACAAACTTTGAATGTTATATTATATAAATTAATTTAAACTTATTTTTATGCCAATTGATCAAATATAAACATATATTTAATCATATAAGTTTCAAGCTTCTAGCTACAACCTTTCATCCCCTTCTTCGCATTAAAAAGTAGCGTATTGTTCTTTATCAGGGTTGAGAGTATCCAGTATTCCAAATTTCATTTAAATAGGTTCAGTAGTTTTGGTGTGAAAGCGCAACAGACATACAGACAGTGTTATTACCGCATTTATAATATTAGTAAGGATTGCCTTGTCTTTAAACGTCAGTCTTCATATAATAATAATAACCATGAACAATCCATACAGCGCAGGGGGAAGAGACAAGTCAGTAATAAGGCTTGTCATTAAAAAAACTTACACTCTATTAACCCGATTCCTTGTGTTAGAATTCACATCAATATTGTATAAAAAATCCGATTTTTTAAATATATATTAAAACAAGGTAGTTTGTGTTTAGTACTAATGAAGTAACCAATGTGAAGATTATTACAAATATTGTAAATAGCGCCATCTAGTATTTATGGACCGAACTAAGTTGCTTACCATAAGATAACCGTTACCCCCGCCTTTACCCTACTACACTGACTTCGGTCTGTAAATACGGAGGTCGGTAGTTGAATAATCCTCTTTCGTTGGGTGAGCCGCGGCATTCAGCGACGAGCGCAGAGCGTACCGGTTGTGTTTTGGATACTAAAGCGAATTCTATTAGAAATGGGTTTATCCCGGTCTTAGTTGGGCCTGGGGGGAAGCTGCAAGTAGTGAAGGTGAGTGTTAATACATTCTAAAGGGGCCTCTTAAACCTACACCCGTGTCACAAGTCACGGGCGCTACTTGGGATTTCCCTTGAGGTAGCCGGCTTCAAAGCCTAAGTCGACATTATTATTAGTGGATCTTACAATCGTCACGAAGATTCATCCGGTATCAATACCCGCTCTTACAGTTGTAATCCAAAGAAAAAAAATAGAAATATGTCATTGCCATATAGCATTAAGCTCGCCAAATTGTACAATATTTAAGTGCAATAAATAATAAATAAATAAAATACATGAATGTTTCCAGGTGTGGCTGATGCCGTTGACCGGCCCCAATGGATACCACCACACGCATATCCTGAAAACGGGACTAGTGGGCAGGTTCGCGGTGCACGTAGTGGATGATCTTATTGTAGTTCACCACCAGGTTAGTACCTTTCTTCACTATTCTTCTCAGTTCTTTTGTCTGAACTGTTAGTAGGGGGAAAGGGTCGACAAATTTTGTAAAAAGTACTGTTAGTAATGGTTGGAACCCAGACATAATATAATAATATAATATAATAATCTCAGGACAATTCACATAGCGCCATCTAGACCCAAGTTAAGCTAACTAAAGCTTGTGTTATGGGTACTAGACAACTGATACAAATACATAGATATTTTTTTTTCGTAAATACATACATATTATACATAGAAAATACACAGACCGATACAAACAATCATACTCATGAATACAAATGTTTGTGCCGTGCGAGGAATTGAACCCGCGACCATCAGACGTAAAGCGGTGTGCTAGACCGCTAGACCACCGAGGCCGTCAAGACATAAGGGAAAGTACTCGCAAAACGGATTACCCTAACATTATAAAATCGACCCTTAATATTGTAAGGATGGTGAGGGTTTCCAAGCAGTATCTCTTTGCCCAATCGTTTGAAGATAAAACATAATTGGAAGCTTTTTAGGGGCAGGTTGCGTTCTTTTCTATTGGAGCAATCTTTTCACAGTGTTGATGATTTTGACGGGACTTTTACTGGCAGGCAGCAGATGTAATAAGGAGTAAACTTAGCCTACTTTTAGATGTAGATAGGGGGCGAGTGCAGATGGCACAAACCAGCGGAAGGACTTATGGAACGGGTGAAGGTTACCTCCTGCCTGACAGATACGACTCTAGTCTGAGGGCACCACTAGGGGTTCGAACCTCGGCTCAGGCCGTCCTAATTTCGATCCCCGTTTGAATTAGACGGGGATCGAAATTACATTTATTTTAGAAAAATAAAGTTAAATTCCACGCGGACGAAGTCGTGGGAACAACTAGTATTGAATAAAATTGCAATATATCGCACACTAGGGATGGGGGAGTCTCACAAACTTGACTAGGTGTGATTATAACGGGATCAGGGTTAAAATCATATTATCTATGATGGTGGCAAACAAGCATAACACATTTCTCATGGTCAAAACGGTTACCGTAGCCTATGGACTGCTTGAAACACCAGGAGTGCCACATATGCGTTGCCAACTCTTAAGAAACCTTTGAAAAGTTAGCCACTAATTATAACTTAGTAGTTACCGACCCCGGCTTCGCACCGGTGTATATGTATTATACATATAAAACTTCCTCTTGAATCTCTCTATCTATTAAAAAAACTGCTTCAAATCCGTTGTAGTTTTAAAGATTTAAGCATATATAGGGACGAACAGACAGCGACAGCGACTTTGTTTTGTAATATATATAGTAGCTTTTAAAATAAAAAATAAATGTTGTACATATTCAATTTTCAGTCAAGCCAGACTTCTCAGCTGTTTGATATAATGGAGGAGTCAAAGGTGGAAAATAATGCAGCAATACATATACCGATTGTGCCTGGTAACACCATGAAGCCGGCGAGATTCGGGGACCAGCTCTGTCCTATGTGTATCCTTTTATTATATAATAGTTGTTACGAAAACAGCTAACATATAATTTTGAATGCAGCTGTCTTTAGTGGATTGTATTTACGACAATAGGATTTGAGCAAGAAATTGATAATTTGGAAGGCACTCACCTTGTACTGCGAGGATTGCCGGTTCGGTTTCAGCAAGGCTTCCCAGAACTCCGGGCTTGTCCGAACGGGTTACCTTTTTACCGCCAAAACCGACAATAGGTGCTTTCCAGTATCAACTCTTGCGTTCCTTTATTATTTCGTACTTAACCTAATAATATTCACGAATTTAGTTAACTAATCTATATAAAATATCGACAATTACGACAGCGATAATGAGAACACTTTTTTCGACAACGACAAAGGCGAAACGAAAATCAATATAGACGTCATACTAAGCAACTGACAGGCTTTACAACAGCTACCAACTAACTAATAACAACAGCTAATTCTAAAAAATTCCATCACTACGTATAAAGGCAGCAACACATAAAGTTAACAGAGAATATGAAATTAATTAACATGAGTACAGTAACAAATAGTGAATTTATACAAATATATACATATATATGATCTTCAATAATAACTAATTGTTATTTAAAGAAGGGCTCACTTAGTTGGTGTCTCGCTGATTTAATATTATTACAAAATATATCTATATTAACTGTTTTAGATAATTTATTAAAATTGTTGCTAGCTCGCCAGAGAAACGAATTAATCTTAGAAATATTTAACCGATATAGGTATTGTAGAAATATCAGTAATGTATATGTATATGTTTTATTTTCGTTTGCACACTTTTAATCACATTTAATATCGTACTTCTATAATTTATAGAAGTACGATATTGCGGGCTCGAATAGTCTTGAAATATATTCCTCAACAAACTATTAGATTCAGGTAATTGGGTGGTGTTCCAACCGGACTATATAATCGACGCCCGGCTCGGCTGTTTGTGGCGCGTTCGGCTTCTACCTTCGGGTTTAGCGCATTCGGTGAGTGTAAGCAGCCCCTTATTGTTCTCTTATTATAATAAACGATTTGACGACCTTGGTGGTATAGCGGTCCAGCACACCGCTTTACATCCAATGGTCGCGGGTTCGTTTCCTCGCACGGCACAAACATTTGTATTCACGAGTATGATTGTTTGTATCAGTCTGGGTATTTTCTATGTATAATATGTATGTATTTACGAAAAAAAAATATATCTATGTATTTGTATCAGTTATCTAGTACCCATAACACAAGCTTTAGCTAGCTTAACTTGGGACTAGATGGCGTTGTGTGAATTGTCCTGAGATTATTATTATTATTATTACATATATATATATTATATCTCCCTTTTTACGGGGGTAATATATTCAAACATGCGGGCCTTAGCCAAGCATGGATGAGTTATGTGATGAAGATTATTATTATTATAATAAACAATAATTAATAATAAATAGCCCTGGACAATTAACACAGCATCACTACTTAATGGATTTATATTATTTTGTTTAATTCCGCTACAATTAACTTGTGTGAGATCACAAATATTCAGTGTAGAAACTTGACTACCGTTACGACCTTCTAGTGATAATCGTAACAGAATAAATATATATTTATATATAAATCCATTAAGTAGTGGACTTCCACAAAATAACACCTAATTATATTAAATTTCGTTATCTGCTTGTATCATGGATACTAGACAACTTATATAAAAACTTTAATATTTTTTTTAAATACATACATAGATAACACCCAGACCGGTACAAAAAATTATTCAAAAATACAAATTTTGCACCGTGCGAGGAATCGAACCCGCGACTATTGGAAGTAAAGCGGAATGCTAGGGCGATAGATCTGGGTGTTTTCTATGTATATTACGTATTTATAAAAAGAATTTAATTATTTGTATCAGTTGTCTATTAGGTTATGTCTAATAGACAACTGAAGCTGAACAAGCTCTGCTTAGCTTATGACTAGATGGCGCTATACAAAATGTCCAATATTATTATTATTTCATTTTAAAGGTTTAATCTATTATTAAAAAATGTGTAAATAATTTATAATGTTATATTGTAGGTGGTTAAAGACGAAATCCCCAAGATAGTGGCTGTACTACTGAGGCGGACGGATGGTAGAGACACCATATACAGGATCCTGCATCAACTGATCACGCACGCTGATATTTATCTCGTAGAACTTAATAAGGCGTTTGATGAAATCCATACTGTATACAGGTAATAATAATTTTATTGTGTATTTATTAGTACTCTTATAATTTTATCTTTCGAAATATCCTAATGTAGATATATTTTATTGTTTTATTTTCTTTTCTCCATTTGTGTTTTATTTTTTACTAGCTACTCGCCCCGGCTTGTGTACATGTATTATATATATAAAGCTTCCTCTTGAATCACTCTATCTATTAAAAAGACCGCTTCAAAATCTGTTGCGTAGTTTTAAAGATTTAAGCATACATGGGGACGGACAGACAGCGACAGCAACTTGGTTATAATGTTTTGTGATTAATATATCTGGTACCCATAACACAAGCTTTAGCTAGCTTAACTTGTGTCTAGATGGCGCTGTGTGAATTGTCCTGAGTTTTTTTTATTGTAATTTGTGTGCGTCATTGCCCAACTGAAAATCAGCGAAAGAACCAAAAGAAACATTACGCTGAGTTGTGGTCTACATTGACTCTATTTTTTAATATGTAATGTTGTGGGTCGTAATTGGCCATTACAGATTCTTCGCAGAAAAAACGGGAAAGTGCCCTCTGCACTCGCCAGGCAAAGGGGGATAAGTACAGCCCCATTTTTCAACAAGTCTGATGTATGCGATTTCAGTCTGAGGGCATTGCTAGAGGTTCGAACCACTTAGGCCGTAATAGGTCATTCTTGAACAAGTGAATACTGATGTATCCGATTTCAGACTGAGGGCACCATAAGGGTTTCGAACCGCTTAGGGCGTAATAGGTCGCCCTAACAACGAGATGGGACCTGCCCTACACTATCTATCTACAGCGCGGGCCTTCATTGCTATTACAATTATATAAAAAAATTCCAGGAAATGGGCGGACTTGGAAGTAGCTCGGAACACAGCCGGACAGACTGCGGACAGCACGAGGACTCCGCACAAGTTTCCGGTACTCATCACTCAGGTGGAAATGTGCAGTTACGTGTTAGAAGCGCACATGGAAGACAAGTATATCGTGCAGGTGCGTGGGCTAGTTGAAGGAGAGGTTTTGATAGTGATCAATATAAAATTATAGGGTACTAGCAGTGCCCGCGGTTTCACTCGCGCTAAATTTATAGCCTACTAGCTTTTACCCGCGGCTTAGCTCTCATAATTTCATTAGTGGCTGCTAGATGGCGCCGAGGTAGCAAAATGTTATTTTATTTTTTGTTTTTTTTTTTATATAAAAAAAAAGATCATTTTTTAAATAAAAAGTATCCTATGTTCATTCTTATACATCCAATAACATATGTATACAATTTCATGTTGATCGGTTCAGTAATTTTTGTGTGAAAGCGAAACAAACATCCCTACATTCAAATTTAAAATATTATATGTATATATATATATATTGCTGTAAAGTTTAATCAAAATCCGTTCTGTAGTTTTTGCGTGAAAGAGTAACAAACATCCATCCATACTCACAAATTTTCGCGTTTATAATATTAGTAAGTGAACATAATCCTAAGTAACTATTCATAATGCTGTTGGCCGTTGGCCTTTGCAGCTGTACCTCAGCGGGTGTGTGCAGATGGTACTCCAAACCCGCGGAAGGACTTGTGGAGCGGTTAAAGGCCAATTTCTGTAACCGTATAACTGATCCACCCTATGCATGGTTGTACAGGGTGGGCCGGTGTATAGACAACTGTCGCGTACGTTAGGGAATCAATATTCTAGTTCGTACAATTGAGCGTCACGTGGAATAGAAACGGATGTAACAGTTCGTACAACCGAGTGTCGCATCGGGTAATAGTGTGGTAGGTCGTGCGACGGCGTGTCACGTGTAGTATAGAAGCAGATGTGGTAGGTCGTGCGACGGAGTGTCACGTGTAGTATAGAAGCGGATGTGGTAGGTCGTGCGACGGCGTGTCACGTGTAGTATAGAAGCAGATGTGGTAGGTCGTGCGACGGAGTATCACGTGTAGTATAGAAGCGGATGTGGTAGGTCGTGCGATGGAGTGTCACGTGTAGTATAGAAGCGGATGTGGTAGGTCGTGCGACGGAGTGTCACGTGTAGTATAGAAGCGGATGTGGTAGGTCGTGCGATGGAGTGTCACGTGTAGTATAGAAGCGGATGTGGTAGGTCGTGCGATGGAGTGTCACGTGTAGTATAGAAGCGGATGTGGTAGGTCGTGCGACGGAGTGTCACGTGTAGTATAGAAGCGGATGTGGTAGGTCGTGCGACGGAGTGTCACGTGTAGTATAGAAGCGGATGTGGTAGGTCGTGCGACGGAGTGTCACGTGTAGTATAGAAGCGGATGTGGTAGGTCGTGCGACAGAGTGTCACGTGTAGTATAGAAGCGGATGTGGTAGGTCGTGCGATAGAGTGTCACGTGTAGTATAGAAACGGATGTGGTAGGTCGTGCGACGGAGTGTCACGTGTAATATAGAAGCGGATGTGGTAGGTCGTGCGATAGCTTGACATCTGGGGTAGAAACGGATATGATAATTCATAAATTAATAAGTGATGAGTGTAACGTGGGGTAACGGTGTATGTGGTAGTTCATGCAACGATTTGACATATGGGATAGAAGCGGATGTAGTAGGTCGTGCAACAGCTTGTCACGTGGGGTTAAAACGGATGTACTGGTTCGTACACTGAGTGTTACGTGGGGCAACGGCATATGTGGTAGTTACGTGGGGTAGAGATGGATCTGATAGTTCGTACAACCGAGTGTCACGTAGGGTAACGGCGTATATGGTAGCGCAACGGAGCGGCGTGCGGTACACGGGCGGCGCAGTACGGACGCGACGCGGGTAGAGACGGACGTGAGAGTGGTGCGGCCGTAGGCGGTGACGGCGTACGTGCGCTCGCTGGCGCGGCGCGCGCTGGGCGTGCAGGCGGCGGCGGGGGAGGCGGCGGTGCGCGCGCTGGTGCGGGGCGGGGCGCGCGGCCGGCTGCGGGCGAGGCGGCGCAGTACGGACGCGACGCGGGTAGAGACGGACGTGAGAGTGGTGCGGCCGTAGGCGGTGACGGCGTACGTGCGCTCGCTGGCGCGGCGCGCGCTGGGCGTGCAGGCGGCGGCGGGGGAGGCGGCGGTGCGCGCGCTGGTGCGGGGCGGGGCGCGCGGCCGGCTGCGGGCGAGGCGGCGCAGTACGGACGCGACGCGGGTAGAGACGGACGTGAGAGTGGTGCGGCCGTAGGCGGTGACGGCGTACGTGCGCTCGCTGGCGCGGCGCGCGCTGGGCGTGCAGGCGGCGGCGGGGGAGGCGGCGGTGCGCGCGCTGGTGCGGGGCGGGGCGCGCGGCCGGCTGCGGGCGAGGCGGCGCAGTACGGACGCGACGCGGGTAGAGACGGACGTGAGAGTGGTGCGGCCGTAGGCGGTGACGGCGTACGTGCGCTCGCTGGCGCGGCGCGCGCTGGGCGTGCAGGCGGCGGCGGGGGAGGCGGCGGTGCGCGCGCTGGTGCGGGGCGGGGCGCGCGGCCGGCTGCGGGCGAGGCGGCGCAGTACGGACGCGACGCGGGTAGAGACGGACGTGAGAGTGGTGCGGCCGTAGGCGGTGACGGCGTACGTGCGCTCGCTGGCGCGGCGCGCGCTGGGCGTGCAGGCGGCGGCGGGGGAGGCGGCGGTGCGCGCGCTGGTGCGGGGCGGGGCGCGCGGCCGGCTGCGGGCGAGGCGGCGCAGTACGGACGCGACGCGGGTAGAGACGGACGTGAGAGTGGTGCGGCCGTAGGCGGTGACGGCGTACGTGCGCTCGCTGGCGCGGCGCGCGCTGGGCGTGCAGGCGGCGGCGGGGGAGGCGGCGGTGCGCGCGCTGGTGCGGGGCGGGGCGCGCGGCCGGCTGCGGGCGAGGCGGCGCAGTACGGACGCGACGCGGGTAGAGACGGACGTGAGAGTGGTGCGGCCGTAGGCGGTGACGGCGTACGTGCGCTCGCTGGCGCGGCGCGCGCTGGGCGTGCAGGCGGCGGCGGGGGAGGCGGCGGTGCGCGCGCTGGTGCGGGGCGGGGCGCGCGGCCGGCTGCGGGCGAGGCGGCGCAGTACGGACGCGACGCGGGTAGAGACGGACGTGAGAGTGGTGCGGCCGTAGGCGGTGACGGCGTACGTGCGCTCGCTGGCGCGGCGCGCGCTGGGCGTGCAGGCGGCGGCGGGGGAGGCGGCGGTGCGCGCGCTGGTGCGGGGCGGGGCGCGCGGCCGGCTGCGGGCGAGGCGGCGCAGTACGGACGCGACGCGGGTAGAGACGGACGTGAGAGTGGTGCGGCCGTAGGCGGTGACGGCGTACGTGCGCTCGCTGGCGCGGCGCGCGCTGGGCGTGCAGGCGGCGGCGGGGGAGGCGGCGGTGCGCGCGCTGGTGCGGGGCGGGGCGCGCGGCCGGCTGCGGGCGCTGGCGGCGCGCGGCTGCCTGGGGGAGGCTCGCCCGCTGGCGTGTCAGCTGCTGTCGCTGGGTCGCCTGGACCCGGCCGCCGCGCAGCTCGCACTCGACATGCTCGCCCGGCTGCGGGCCAAGGAGGTCAGTGCGCCACTCCTGTTCTTTACATTGTACGAAACTATTTTATATTTATTGTTAAGTCATTATGTGTATTATTTAGTATATTTAGAAGTCATTCGCGGGTTCGACCCCTCGCTCGATCAAACATTTATATTCATGAGTGTGAATGTTTCTATCGATCGATGTATAGTCTATTATTCTATATGTTGTCTACTACCTATAATACAAGCTCCGCTTAACTTGCGACTAGATGGCGCTGTGTGAATAGTCCAGGGATATTATTATTAAGCAGTCTAAATGAAATGATCGGAATCGAACCCTACTATTGATGCAGGAGATAATCGAAGTTTTGCTGAGTTGGGACGAGCCTATCAGCGCCGTGGGGGTCGCCAAACAAGCTGGCAGCACCACGTGGCACACGATGTCTCCGAGGAAGCTGCTGGCGGCCGCCCACCAGCACGCGGAGGAACACTCAGAGCCGACGGCATTCCTCGCCGTCTACCACATGCTGATCAACAGGAACGAGAAGCTCAGAGGGTCGCCGCATTTCTTGAGAGGTAAAACATCTCACTACCAAGTTTTTCATTTATTGACGGCGTCGGTGGTCTAGTGGTTTAGCACACCGCCTTACATCTGATGGTCGCGGGTTCGATTCCTCGCACGGTCCGGTGAAGCTGTAAAGGCCAGCTGCGGCCAACAGCATTAGAGTAGTCCGAAAAAAAAAACGGCAAATATTAATGAGCATGATTGTTTGTATCAGTCTGGTGTGTTTTCTATCTATAATATGTATATATTTACGAAAAAGAGATATCTATGTATTTGTATTTGTAGTCTAGTACCCATAATACAGGCTCTGCTTAGCTTGGGACTAGATGACGCTGTGAGAATTGTCTACGGATATTATTATTATTGTGTACGTTAGTTTGACCATAGTGTATGAGGTGTAGCTAAGTTTATTTAAAAAAAAATATTTTTAGACCTATTTCATTTGTCCAGTTTTGTCCACTATTCTTTCGCCAATCAAACTTTGGAACGCCTTAGTTCTTTGATATCAAGACCGCCACAAGTGGATTTTCTTCTAAGCGTAAATTACGGGATTATTATCTCTTGTCGGGATTAATTCAATGTTTTCGCGCTAGATGGCGCTGCCTGTACCTTTTTTAATAGTTTCCTAGTTTCAGTGGTGTTTCATTTTATAATTAAAAAAACCAGTACTTAGGTAATCATAATGGTCCTTCGAGCCGGATGTTCTTATGTGATTAATTAAAAATCTCCTGTACTCAAGGAAGTGTCAGTCGTAATTAGTGTCAAAGAGAAAAAACAATATGGAACACGTAATTTTTGTATTATAAATAATGTATATTGCGTACAATAGAATGTATATGTATTACATTTTTTTTCTTTTCTTCGTGACTCTATTTTCATCAATTACTTTATAATTTTCTGAAATTTTCTTTTAGCGATTCGTAGCTTCTTTGTTACATCTGTGGGCTGTTTTCCCTATTTCATACGATTACTACATCCAGACAGAAATAAGAGCGACCTATATACCTAATTACTTATAATAAATATTAAATAGTCAACTTATATGATAACTTGCATGACACTAGCGTATATTCACAGATTAATAAACTGCCACAAGCACGATTACGTAATCTTTATTATTACATAGTATAAAACAAAGTCAACGCCGAGGTCTGTTCGTATATATCTTTTAAATTACGCAACGAATTTTAATACTAATATATACGTAATACTATTATATTACGTTATCTGCATAATTAGCAGCCTATTTGTAACCCGCGGTTGTTATGGCTTTGTACCGCGGTTTTACTCGCGTTTTGTTTATTATATTACAATGTCAAATAAACTGGCGGCCTACCAGTGGGCAGTTGGAAAGGGCATTGTTAGCATTCTCCATTGGTACCCCGCTAGCGTAAATCGTTAGCGCGGGTGGAAGCACCATTTCATTATCATCTACTAGAAAAAAACCGTCGCATATATACATGAACAGCATTGCAGACTCATTATCATGGGACACGTTGTATAGTGTATAGTGATCGGAGGGAAAATGTAGGGAGGGGGGTCTCATACCTTTGTACCGTGCGAGGAATCAAACCCGCGACCGTAAAACCGTGTGCTAAACCGCTAGACCACCGAGGCCATCGTATCTCTAAAATCTTTGCATGCTGTATTTTTGAGCAGATGAAAAAGTTATTATTTTTACATATAAAACAAAATTGCCTCCACTGTCTATTCGCTGATATCTTTTAAATTTGCACAACGGAATTTGATGCAGTTTTCTGGAATAGATAGCGATTCAAGAGGAAGGTTTATATATATAATATATGCATTTTATAGTATAAAAGAAGACGAGAAATTCAAATATTTTTAATGCCTGTGTGCTACGCCGGGATGGGTAGCTGGTACTGTTCAAATCAAATCAAATCAAAATATCTTTATTTATGTAGGTCTATTACAGACTCTTATGATATGTCAAATCTACCGTCAGTTCCGAATGATTTCGAGCTGAAAAGAACTGACAAGAAACTCAGCTCGTATTCTTTTCAAATATTGTTTACAACAATATAGACTCATTTTAAATTCAAATTTGGGAGAATAGTGACCACCAGCATATTTGCAATTTTGTCAAAAGCAAATAGTGTAATCAGGGTTGGTAACCCGAACAACATAGCATATTACGTTACCTACATAATTAGCAGCCTAAAACTGACCAGATTTGCCATAGCATAAGATATGACAAATCTAATCAATTCGGAATGCTTTCGAGCTAAGAAACTCGGCTCGTATTTTTTTCAAATATTCTTTACAATCGCTATTTATACCATAAATTGAAGTAGTTGCATTATCTCTATTTGTCTGTGGTTTAAACCATTATAATGATGGTGTTAATGGCGTATACATACTTTTATGATAAACTGATAACCGTTTGACACCATGATAAATAATAAGATACAGACATTGTTACATACAGTGGTAATGATAAGTTGTTTATGGTAGCAGCATCATGGGTTTGATAACCCTTGTTGTTATGTTGGAATTACAACGATCATGAGGTTTACGACTGATTATAAACTGTTATTTTCATCATATTGTCAGTTAATGATGGTATATGTGTTTTTAGACATACTAATCTATTACCCACGACTTTGCTATTTTTTTATGGTTGATAATGGAATGGTGCACCCGGCTGCGTTAACGGTTTACGCTGGCAGGGCACCAGTGGAATAGAATAGAATAGAAAGTCATTTAGTCAAATATACTTACATTGAAGCACTTTTGAATAGTCATCACATTTTCACAGGCGAAATTGCGCTGGTGTAATAATAATAACCCTGGACAAATCTAGTCCCAAGTTAAGCTAAGTTTGTATTATACAATGCATACATAATATACATAGAAAACACACAGACCTATAAAACAATGTGTAATAAACAAATGTATTCTCGTGCCTATTTTATTAGAATAGAAAATTTATTCAAATAAACTTAATTTAAGCACTTTTGAATAGTCATCACATTTTTTTTAATCTATCACTCGTTCGGAAAGCTGTCTCATCACAAGAAGAACGAGGAACAAACTTGCGTGTTGCAATTTTAAATATTTTTTTTCTTACTTCACATTTTTAAGTTTAAGTGTGTGAATACATACTACCAATTAGCACTAATTCAATTAAATACTCAAATGGAGGATGAAAAGATGAATATCTCAAGTCAACTAGCCTATCATGACAAATTCAGCATGAATTTGTCTTGACTGCTTCCAGGAAGAACCGCGTGGAGATCAACCTGACTTGGGATATTGCTAGCAATCGGGTCATCAGTCCACATCACTAACAATCACTGTTAGGGAAAATACTATATTGTGGAAGCGTCTATCTTGTACCTGTAAGGGTTTCTTGGGCTTCTTAACGTCTCGACGAGGTTTTCGCCACCTTTCAGTTTACACAGTAGGTTTAGGTTTAGTACACACTAAATTTTTCATTAATTTTAATATAGGAATAATGCGCGCGCGTTTTGGCGGCGGTACAGGCTGTTATGTCATAGGTAAGGGGGGAAAGCGCGGGAACAGAAACTAACGGGCTCTAATATAATAGTCTGTGCTTTTTGGACGAATATGGGAAAAAAAAGTCTGTTCAAAATCTACCCTGTACCCATTGTGCACAATCATCTTTCCTTGGTCTTTATTGATAATTTACTGAACATTTACAAGAAACCGGAAATAATCCCGCGCGACATCCAAGACATGCTAACTAATTTTGAAACATATATACCTATATATTTATACGTTCTCTATTTCGATAGAACTTTAAATAATTGATACAAGGATATGGACTATGGATAACACTTAAATTTTGAACACGAATGAAAGCATAATGAGTAAACTAACATAAGAATTAGCCTTTGGCCTCATCAGTTGTACAAATATGAAGAAGTTTAAACGTAGACTAGGCTGTACGGTCTAAGGATCTTTGCCTGTTCCATTATTGAAAAGGAGATAGACGAATATGGAAAAAAAAAACAATCACCTTTCCTCTCTCTTCTGGGTGCCCATGTTTATAATATTGAATGTAGACTACCTATTGTAATGTCTTGTTTTGATTATCATGTTGCTCTCTCTTTGCAGGTGAACAATGCGACAGTTACGTGGAGTATTACAATCGCTTAATGTCTGAACAATGAACATTGCAACCTGAATACCTATCAATTTTCATATAAATATAATACACTTTTATTTGCATTATACATTAAAGGAGAATAGTTGCATTTAAATTAGGTTTGCCCAAATTTGAAAAAAAAATGATTTTAATTTGGAATGACCAGGAGAATTCAGTTAAAAAAAAAAGAAGTAATGGAGTTGCAATTGTTGAATTAATATAAATTAAAAATAGGTAAAATGAAATTCAAATAAATAAATAATCATATTTTTTTAATGAAAGTAATTGAATGAAATTAATTATAAAAATATTTTATAATTTAAAAACCCAGGACGCTGCTTAAAAATTATTCATTGGGAAAACAGGATAGTTATAACTCTAAATCAAACATTCATCTGTAGAAATACAATAAGGCCGCCTTATTGCCAAAGCCAATTTATAAGGCAACCTTAGGGTAATGTAAATAACTGTGTAATTTATAAAAGATATGCAAATAAAGGAATATATTAAAATAATATTAAGTTAATTGTTGTAATTCGATATTTTATTGTTCCTTGTATTTTAAATAGTTATATATAACTTCTCAGTAGTGGATATTGTAAATAATAAAAAATATATATTTTGTTATAAATGTAATAAAGTTATTTTTTTAAATGTGTTATTTCCTTTACCTATCCTGGGTGTTTAGAATTAGAAAAGTTATTCGAAACACTGAGAACCAGACTACACTGTATAAGCTGCTTGGGGGTTAATATGAGCGCCCCATTAATTAACGCACAAGCACTATTAATAATCAATAGAAAATCTATTACAGTCGCCAAGCAACTTGCTATGTAATCTGTTTCAGTTGTAAGGAAAAGCAGTGAAATTACAGGATAAGAAGCATAAGATAAATATTGATGAATAAAAAAACATGCCAATGAGCAGTATTCAAACGGAAAAAAATATATATTTCTGAAGACTATCCGGTGATGAAAGCAATGAGAATGTGCCTACACTTGTAATATTTCTGTCGACACTTCAGACCCTTCCATTAGTTTACGTTTCCACTAACATAGATTTAAGTTAAGTGTAAAATCAGTCCACGTCCCGACTCCGCGTCGACTGTACGCGTTATTAATAAACCATGTAGCACACTATGTATAAACTTAATAATGTACTAAATAATCGTGCAATCATTTTACCGATATACTCACTACCTATATACTACAATAAATAATATATTATGTAGCGCCACCTCATCACAACATATATAACGCTACAGTGATGAGGATAACCACCACGCTACAGGAACAACCCAACTTAATCCCAAAGACGGCAGTAGTGGATTTCAATTACCATAACATCAACAGTTATTTAGTTCAGACATTTATATTAAATAAAACCTGTAAAAATAGATGTAAGTGTGGAAAAATAAATAAATAAATAAATAAATAAATAAATAAATGCATAAAAATCTTATATATAAAATTCTCGTGTCACAGTTTTCGTTCCCATACTCCTCCGAAACGGCTTGACTGATTCTCATGAAATTTTGTGAGCGTATTGAGTAGGTCTGAGAATCGGCCAACATCTATTTTTCATCCCCCTAAATGTTCGGGGTAGTCCACCCCTAATTTTTTTTTATTTTAAGGCAAAACAACGTTTGTCGGGACAGCTAGTGATGATATAAAAATATAACTACAATGTCACTTAAGAACCGTTAATACATTGTTACTTATTTCCACTTTTCTTTTTTAAATCAAATATCACATTTATACAAAACAAGTTCAGCTTACTTTAAACAATTCTTTTGTAGTTTATTTATACTGGCTTTTACTCATGGGTTCGTTTATATTGTTACTTTTGAGATTTAGGTAAACTTTAAAAATATAAATACACTAATTTTACTAACATATTGTTTGATCATTATTATTACTGATTACTGATTTATTCTATTTATTTTCTACTAGCTTTGCCTGCGACTTCATCCGCGTGGAATAGTGACCTCGGATAGTGTTTTGTTTTACCCCCTTAAGGGTAAAATTTTTACAAACTTTGAACCAACATCCTACGAAATAAATTTCATTTTCCATACAACCTTAGCCCAACAACCATTTTTCACATTAAAAAGTAGCCTATGTCCTTTATCAGGGTCTAGACTATTTGTGTAAAAGATTTCATTTAAATAGGTACAGTAGTTTTGACGTGAAAGCACGACAGACAGAGTTAGTCACATTTATAATACTAGTAAGGATTGTGTGAGCTGAGGATGTAAATAAAATATTTATCTATCTAATCTATACATAAATGATATTAACATACCTAAAAAAAACTTGTTTACATTATTTTTCTAAAAGTAGTGTGTCAATTCAACTCGTATTAAATTTATTATTAATATGAATAACTACTTCATTGAGTTTGACCTTGTTACTCATTAACCTCTTACATAATGGAGGACATGAATGATTGTTTAAATAATATATTAATATTGTCACTTTCTTGATATGTCTGTCCCAGCCACGATGCAACACCTATTGTATATATGGTTGTTACTACTGTTGAGGATTATAAGCAACTTGGGGGAAAAGGGGATTGTTAGTAATGTGGACTCATGACCCCATTACTAGCAATGTACCATGGCAGGTTGACCTCCATGCGGTTCCCCTTGAAAACCATCATGAAATTCCTGGTGAATTTGTCACAATGTGCTAACCGACCTGACCTCATGCTCAACTTATCATCCTCCACTGGTGACCCGCCAGCGTAAACCGTTAGCGCAGGCGGGAGCACCATTCCATTATCATGAAAAAAAAAATTATAAACATGAAATACCTTTTGTACCTGTTTTAATAGACAATAAATCATAAATTCACGGACAAGAAATAATTCTATCAGGACTGTCACAGCCAAAACTACAGTTTCTGAATGTATAGGTTGAGAATGATATGTAACAGATAACAGGAAACACATTTTGTAACTGTGTTAATGTACAATTAAGCATTATATGATTAACAAATGAGCTGAAGTTATAAGATTATCTGATAATTAATCTATATTTATATGATAAATAAAAGTCATTTTATGGTAATAATTTTATATTTGTATTAAAAATATTATACCAAACTTTTATAGTTAGTAACATTATATAAATAGAAATATATTTAAACTTAGAAATGTACCACAGCTCGTATTGATTTTCCGGTATGCATTAAATGGAATGCCTCATTGATTTCCTTGAGGGGAACGTCATGTGTTACAAAGTCATCGATGGGCAACTTTTTGCTGATATACTCTTTAACCAGTTTAGGCACACTGTCACGACTCTTGTAGCCACCAAACGCTGTCCCCTTCCAGGTACGGCCAGTGACAAGTTGGAATGGACGAGTGCTAATCTCTTCACCTGCAGCAGCCACTCCGATAATGACAGACACCCCCCAACCCTTGTGGCAAGCTTCCAACGCAGCGCGCATGGTGTTCACGTTACCAATACATTCAAATGTGTAATCTAAACCACCATCCGTCAAGTCAACCAACACTTGTTGGATCGGTCTGTCATGATCCTTGGGGTTCACAAACTCATTGACACCAAACTTTTTTGCAATCTCATACTTATCAGGGTTGATGTCCACACCAATAATGCGTTTAGCACCAGCAGCCTTGCATCCTAGAGCCACAGCCAGGCCAACTGCTCCTAGACCAAAGATGGCGCAGTTTGAGCCAGGGTCAACTTTAGCTGTGTTTAAAGCTGCTCCATAGCCCGTTGGAATACCGCAACCGAGCAGGCACACCTTATCCAAGGGCGCTGCATCGTCGACTTTGCAAATGGAAATTTCTAGAACCACAGTGTACTCACTAAAAGTCGAACATCCCATGAAGTGGTACAGTTCCTGCCCTCTGCAGCGAAACCGTCTCGTACCATCTGGCATCAAACCTTGACCTTGTGTCACTCGTACTTTTTGACACAGGTTAGTTTTTGGGTTGAGGCAGAATTTACATGTGTTGCACTGAGGAACGTACAGTGGCACGACGTGATCGCCTGGTTTGACTGACGTGACACCTTCCCCGATACTTTCAACAATACCGCCGCCCTCATGGCCCAAAATAACTGGGAAAACTCCTTCTGGATCTTTTCCGGAGAGGGTATACGAATCAGTATGACAAACTCCGGTGGCTGTTATTTTTACACGGACTTCGCCAGCTTTGGGTGGGTCTACTTCGATTTCTTCTATAGATAGCGGCTTTCCGGCTTCCCAGGCGACGGCCGCTTGGCATTTTATTACTTTGCCGGCTGTAGACATTTTCGCACTAATAGTACAAACGACTGCCAGCGACGAACTAAATCTTAGTTTACACTTTACACTACTATAAATCGATTTGTGCAAAAAAGGAAGTGCTAATGATACGCCGCGGCGCCGTATCAGTAATTTGATGATATAACAAACTGATTGAATACAAAATTATTACGTCAAACGAACGTGAACGCACGAGACGGCGCGCGGCGGGAGTGAAATAATAATAAAGTAACAATGATATTAGATGCCGGAGCCAGAAGGAAAAAAAAAGAAAAAATATTTTACATATTTAACCATTACCATTCAAAGACAATTACTATTTCCTATGAAAATACGTTATGATTTACGCTAAGTACATATACTTTTTGTATGCGCATTATATTATATTTGTGTGTTATATATACATAGGTATACATTAATAATACATATATATATATATACCTAACTATTATACGCTAGGACCGTGTGTATATTTTTAACTATATGACTGACAGCACTGAACTGACATTTTATTGTGATAAGATTGACTCAGTAATTGACAGTACTGTAATAGCGCATGGTTGGATGTTATCGAAAGTAAATAAGACAATAAGTAATCTGAATCTGAATTTAATTTGAATAATGGCAAAATTTCATAATTATTATGTGTTATGTCCACTGATAGACCAAAATAGTTTTCTTGGTGTCTCAAAGGATAAAGATTCAAGCAATGTAATTGTCACGCTCGGAAAAAATGTTGTAAATAAATACCGGGTAAGAATTTCATACCAACAACATGAATAGAGGAAACATTAAATGTAACGTGTTGTTTATAATTCATTAAAGCTTTTAGTCAATAGGTACTAACTAATATATCACTGTGGAATATTTGACTTTATTTTGTTACAACTTTTAGGTTATATTTTTATAAACATGTTTAGCTCTACTAATTTTTGTATGTAGTAATGGAGATTTGAAGCCCGTTTTTACCAATATACCCAGTCATATCAACTTCCACGCGATTCCCCCTGGAAACGGTAGAGGTAAATGCCTTGTGAATTCTCTATAATGAGCTAAATGACCCGACTTAATATCATGCTCTACTGCTCCAGCTCCAGCGTATAGGTAGCGAGTACACCATTAGAATGGTGTCTCTATTAATCTGAAATAAAAAAACTAGTGTTGTTTATTAGGGAATCTTCTATAATAACAATGAAAAGTGTAATCACTAAACATACAATATCTTTATTAGCTTTAAATAAACATGTACTCCCAACCTACATCACTTCAAAACTGTTATAATATATTTAAATTAAATATGACAATATATATATTTGCTCTAAAGTTCCCTTCAATCTCTATAATATTATGTTTTTTAAAATTTAGTTTTTATATTTTGGCGCCAATATATTTTTATTTTTATATGGATTTATGAACACAAAAGAACATCCTATACAGCTATATTGGTATTATAAACTCTTATTATTTTTATTTATCAATATATAAATCATAGGATATTTAACAAGTGTTGTTATTTTTTTTTCTCTCGTCAGCTCTCAGATCAAAAGCAAGTCGGCGGATGGACTTCCAAGGATCATATAACGGCAGCAGTTATTTACGACAAAGAACAAGATTCCTATGTTGGAGTGTTTAATAACAACACAATCAAAAATTGGAATGAAGATTCAGAAAATCTTGATAAAATAAAAAAGCACAAGGTAGGGTAGAACTTTTTTTTGTAAATAAATATAATATAGTAATATCAATTACCAGTTTAGAATGAACACTATAACTTATTTTGTGAATTATAAATATATAATTGATATTAAATTATTATATCATTATTATTACATAGCATAAAACAAAGTCGCTGTAGTTGTCTGTCCGTTCCTATGCATGCTTAAATCTATAAAACTATGTGACAGATTTTGAAGCGGTATTTTTTTAATAGATAGAATGATTTCAGAGGAAGGTTTATATATATAATACATGTACAACCATGGTAAGTCGGGCCAAGTAGCTAGTATATGTATAAAATACATATTTCTTGAAAGGAATTACACTGGCCAGAATCATCTCTAGACTACTTTTTCACAAAGTACCCACTATAGTACATAACATAAATCAAATTGCAATTTTGTATAAAGCAGAGAAATAATAGTATAAGAAAATAGAAGTGGTAGCACATAGATCATAATGAATAAGACTTAGGATTTGTCCTCAGTCAGTGCAGTATGTACTGGCTGGAGTTTAAAATAAATAAGTAGAAGGAACCAATAAATTTGAGAAGTTATCCAGTCACTTAACATCTCACTAGTCAATGATTTTCTAAAAACATCTTTAAAACCAGTGATTAGACAGGTGAATATGTAATAATTTTAATCTATACTTGCCCCGGCTTCAAAATCCGTTGCACAGTTTTAAAGATTTAGCATACATAGGCATGGTCAGACGGCGACTTTGTTTTATACTATGTGATTATATGTTTGCTGACCACCAACACCATGATAAATCAATTGATAAAATTAGACTTAAAGACCTGTCTTAAAGAAACTCATAAATAGTAAATCCACTGAGGGGCCGCTCAAGTATTATGTAAGCAGACTTATTAAAAAAGTAAATAACTACCTATGACGTAATAATCATCTAAACTCCCCCCCATGTCATCCAAAATAAGCAAAGTAAAAAAATAGTGCTTACGTATTACTTGAACGGCCCCTAATGATTAGAAGGAAATGTTATGCTATATTTACATTCAGCCGTTTCCCCTGCCACTCGCGCTGCCGGAAATATTGCCGGACGACAACTAAGTGAGAGGGCTGATGTAAAAACACGCTGCCAATCGCGCTGCCAGTCATTTGACTCGCGCACGAAAAACTGACAATCGAGCGCCGGGCAGCGCGAGTGGCAGCGCCGATGGCATGGGAAGTGTCCATTCGTGTTTACACTCTCGCGCTGCTCACTTCCCTGCCCACTCGGGCTGAGTGTAAATTGGACATTACTGTGTAGTATAGAAATATAGGGAATAATTATTATCTATTATGAAATATATCACACATATAGATCACCTCTATAGTTGTATACAAAAATATATTGTCTTATTTTTTTTGGATCAAACTGTTAATTTTATAATAACTGAACTAAAAATATCCATTCACTGTTAAAAATTATGTAAGTTCGTAATATGTTAATAAGTTTGTTGACTGATTTGCAGTTTCCGCTGAATATTTTGAAATTAATAACAAGACGAAATCAAGCTCCACTTATTATATTCTCCAATGGGAACTGTGCATCATTACCATACGCCATTGAAAATAGGAAGACTTACGAAGGGAAGTCTATATTGAAAGAGGGTGAAGAAATTGTAGATATTGCTTCCTGGTCTGAAAAAAAAACTGATTTCATATGTTATGTGACAAAGTACAAAAAAGATGATGAAGATAAATATGGAATTATTAACTGTCAGCTTCGAGATGAACTTGGTGATATAGACAAGTTTAAACTGAGTAAAATCAAGGTGACAAGACCTGATAATGTTTACGTTGTAGGGGAACTGATAGTAGTAACAGCTGTAAAACATGTTATATATTTTTTATGTAAGTTACATTATATATTTATAATAATTAATACTATTGTTTAGTTAAAAAATAACATGTACATTTCTAAAATTTCTAATAAACAATACCTAATTAATAATAAATTTAACATTTCAGGGAGTGATTCAAAAATGACTATGTACGACATTCAAACAAAACAGTGGGATTCTGTTGGAACAGTGCCTTGGATTTGCACTCTCAAGAAAGTTTCACTTGCATTCATGGGAGAAGATCACCTTATAATATTTGGTAACAATTCGAACAAAGATGGTGCTGTAATTCTAGTATATAATGTACTTCTTGGCATTGTATCATACCGGTATCCCATGAAAATGTACTCAGATGATGCAAAATTATATTGTATAAAGAAACGGATAATATTAGAAGCTACCAATCACATTGGCACGCTACCTTACGTATTAGAAACAAAAAGAAATCTATCCAGTCTTTTGGGATCCCATGAAATTGGACAAAATGAATACACAACAGTTGCAGATTGGGATGCGGCTGAAGAACCCAAATTTGGAGCTACCAATGAAATAAAGGAGCTGTTGAAACATGGATTTACAGAAAGAAGAATCTGTTCACAATTAATAACACCACTTGTAGAACAAAAATCAGTCGGTAAAATAAAACATCTCTTGACTCATTTCAAAGATATACCTGAATCAATACTATCAGTTCTTCTAAAGCATGCTGTTAAAATATTTAATGTAAATGAGTTTGATATAACTGACAGGGAAAAGAGTGTAGCGCTTTTTAATGATATGGTATATAACGAAAAAAATATGGGAAGTGGACTTCTGAATTATGTTTTAGGGATCTCCTTTAGTGATGCATTATTAATACCACATTTGAGAGAGATGCTAACATTGAACGACACACTCTTTGTTATAAGTTATATCTCATATTTACTAAGTCATCCCATTATTCCAATGAGCGTGGAAAGGGAGGATAGGCTTTGTGATTGGTGTATTATGTTAATGGATGCATTCTATCAACAATTTCTAATGACAAAAGATGAAAGAGTCACTCAAGTGTTACAAAATACATTGAATACTGTATTGGAACTGACGAACCAATTGATCAAAATAGATAAGTTTCTACCTGTTTTAAACAAACTCTTAAATAGTAACTCTACTGATGATGTGAAGGAAAAATTGCCGTATAGTATAGAAATGATGGAAATATAATGTGAATGATGAACAATTTGATTTAATTTGCCTATCACCCAACTTTAGTCTCTTTACTCTTCTTACTATTTTAATATGACCTGAATACTAAGACCTATTCTTAGTATTCAGGTCATATTAAAATAGTTACACTTTGAAACTGTCAAATAAGTATTTTATATATTGTACTGACTGTATAGTTTTTTTTTATTGATGATAATCGAATGAGGCAACCGGCTGTGTTAACGGTTTACGCTGGCGGTACAACAGTGGAGGATGATAAGATGAATATGATTCCAGGTCAGTTAACCCATCATGACAAATTCACCAGAAATTTGTCACTACGGTTTCTAGGGGAACCGCGTGGGGGTCAACCCGACATGGTACATTGCTAGTAAAGTGGTCGTTAGTCCACATTACCAGATAATATAATATTACATAACATTACTAACAATCTTTTTTTTTATGGATGATAATGGAATGGTGCACTCACCTGCGCTAACGGTTTACGCTGGCGGGGCACCAGTGGAGGATGATAAGATGAACATGAAGTCAGTTCAGTTAGCCCAACGTGACAAATTCACCGGGAATGTATCACGATGGTTTCCAGGGGTAACCGCGTGGAGGTCGATCTGACATGGTACATTGCTAGCAATGGGATCATTAGTCCACATTACTAGCTCCACTGGTGCCCCGCCAGCGTAAACCGTTAGCGCAGGCGGGTGCACCATACCATTTTCATCCATAAAAAAACTTCGATGGTCTATCGGTTTAGTACACCACTTTACTTTCGATGGTTGCAGGTTCGACTCCTCATATGGTGCAAACATTTGTATTCATGATGATGATTGTATCGGTCTGAGTGTTTTCTATGTATATTATGTATTTATTTACAAAAAAAATCTTAAGTATTTATATCAGTGGTCTTACTAGATAACTGATATAAATACTTGAAGATTTTCTATTGAAACACAAACACAAGTTGCAGTGGGACTAGATGGCACTGTGTACAGTATTTGTTTTACTACAAATTACTAGTTGTCTATTATGCTGTATTTCAATGTTGATGTTTTATATAGAGGATATTTTTATAATAACAAGTCTCAATAAGTTATATTAAAGTAAAACAAAAACATATTATTCTATACTTTTTTTATTAGCAGCTCTGGCAAACTGTACGACCATTGGTTTATCTTTTAACATGTAACCATTTGTTTCATTTAATGCTTTTTCCGCTGTACTAACAGAAGGAAATGTCACAAATGCTTGCCCTTTCATTTTACCTTCCTGCATGACCCTCACATCAAAACACAACTGTTCTTCATCTGTGAGATCTTCCACATAACGCTTATATATTCTCTTAACATCTAATTCGGTAACAGTTTTTGCTAAATTTTTAATGTACAACCTCATCGAAGGTTGGCCAGGGTGATAGTTTTTAAATATGGGTAGTACTTTCATATCTCTATATGATAGTCTGTTGCGTAATAACTCCTTTTTAGTAATAGTGGGTTGTTCGGGCTCCATTACAGCTTCTGGAGTGTGCGTAGGTTGTTCTTCTTTCTCGAATTTACCAAGCTCTCCAATAACTTCAGGCTCTTCGGATGGCTTCTGTAGAGCGTCTTGATGGACGACGAGCGATATTTTCTTTGCTTCCTGTATCGGTGTGATATTTTCAAATACTTCCTCTTGGTTAATATGAACCCTTTTCGCTTTGGGTAATGTTGCCGTAGACAAAATAGCAGCGACACGTTTTCTAGTCTTTGGAAGAGTCTGCTGCCGTCTTTTTACTGATTTAGGTATAGACTGCTGTTGTTTTTCAACTTCGTCACTTGATATTTCTGATTCTGGCTCGCTAACAGGTAGGGGTGGTATCACACTTACTTCACTAACCAAATACTCTTGAAATGTTTCTTTGAAAAATTCTATAGCTCTCTCATTGTCTTTGAATGGTGTATCAAGGCACATTCTATTCATCAAATGTAATACTTGTATATAAAAAGGTTTATGTTTACATATCGCATATAAAATGTTAATAAGAGTCGTGGTACTCGCATCTGGATATTTATACCGCAAGTGCACTGGGGGCGGCTGATAAAAGTCCACAGACGGGTTCCAAGCGTTCAAGAGCCTAAGGAAGTCCTTCAAATGTTTAGTTGACGCAGAAGTTTCGATTTCTTGGTTATCATTTTTAATTAATTCTTTCTCAAAGGAATACTCTACAACTAGTCTTCTTTGTGCTATTTTAAGCTGGTGAAGTCTTATTAGTGACGCCTTCGCTTTTTCTGCGCTAGAAAATGATGCAAATATATAGTTCCGTTTGGCGGAGGTCTCCCACACTTTTTCAGCACCAAAATGTTTTAAAAGTTGCTCCTTGTCTTGGAAAGACAAGAAATTTGGCAAATGTCTAATGAGTAACACATTGGACATGTTTACAATTTTAAAAACATAAAAAACACCAAGTACTGAATAATTTGTTTCTTCTTCTTTTCTTCTATGGCAATCGGTCGTTATTTTTACGAACAAATAATTTGTTTTGGTTTTTGTATTTGTTGTTTTTTTTTTTCATACGTCAATTTTCCTTTTTAATGATAGATCAGGCAAAGACCCTCAGATCGTACAGCCTATTTCGAATTTGAATAAATTTATTATGATTTTTACCATGGCAAAAATGACAATAAAATTTTTGATAATTGACATAATTGTTCATGTTTTCACAATTTATCCTTTTACAATGACTTTATTGACAAGCCGTTTTTAGTATTTTAATAGGGTTTGGCTTTGCGCCAAGGACACGATCTACGAAAAAATGTAGTTAAAGGTAAAATTGTAGAGTACTAGTTTTGTAATATAAAACAAGTAATGAATTGGAATTCATTTTGGTTTTTTGTAGATAGACCATATCCAAATAGTTGACAGCTATCATTGTCAATCAGTGACAAGACAACAGACGTAAGTCTTTTTGCTCTGTGCGACAAACAACTGACATTTGTTTATCAGCGGTTTATTATTCGGTTTATTTATTATCAAAACCTCAAATTTTATGTACTTATATTAATCTAAAAAGAAATCATGGTATTTCATATATAAATAGCTATTTAAAAGCTTATTACAATGGTAGAACACGCGCGAAAATCAGCAAAAGTTGTGGTACTGGGAGATATAGGTAGAAGTCCCCGAATGCAATACCATGCATTATCTCTTGCTAACAGCGGCCTTAAAGTCAATATTATAGCTTACGTGGATTCTGAACCTCTCGCTGAGATATTAGAGAATCATAATATTAGTATTACTAAGCTGAAACCCTTAGTTTTGGAGAGAGGGCCCAAATTATTGCAATATGCTTTAAAAGCACTATGGCAGTCGATAAGTCTGTTGATTGCTTTATTTTTTACTGGGAAATATGATTACTTACTGTGCCAGAACCCACCGGCGGTCCCAACTTTACCAGTATGTCGATTTTATTGCTTAGTCACAAGGACAAAATTCATAATAGACTGGCACAACTATGCCTTTTCAATAATGGCCATGTCACTACCCTCAAAGCATCCATTGTTGAGGATATCTGAATATATTGAGAGATATTTTGGTCAATCATCAGATAACAATCTCTGTGTTACATATGCCATGAAAGCAGACTTGTTAGAAAATTGGAATTTAACGTAAGTACTCATTAAGTTGATAATGCAATAATAGTAGTCCTTTTTTCGACAGTACAGTATTTCATTTATGCAAAGACTTCCTATAATAGCCTCCATTGTATTGTATATTGGACTCCAGTCTCCGCAATTAGCTTCTAATTTGGGCCGGTGTGTGTGCAGAGCCAGACTACTAAAGTAGCCAGCCAAGCTCCTCCCAGAAGTGCAGAAGTCTGAGGCTCCTGATGTCTTCACAGGCTTTACGGAGCGACCTCACCATTCCGAGGATTTGTTTTCGTTGTGTGGCCACTGCTGCAATAATAGTAGTCCTTTTTTCGACAGTACAATATTTCATTTATGCAAAGACTTCTTATAATAGACCCCATATCTCTCTATCATTAGCTATGTCTAATTGCCATTTGCTACAGCTTTAACTGTCGACTGTTGAGCAATATTATAGAAAAGATGGCTGTTGTAAATTGTATGTCTAAAATTATTGCACAGTTGTTATTAATTGCACAGTAAGTGTGGTGACCACTGCCTTGTAGGTACACACAGGGGCGGATCGTGAATTTGTAGGGCCCGGTGCTAAAACTTAAGGGCCTACTTAATTATATTACTCAACTAAAAAAATACACAGACCAAAAAAAGCGAAGTTAATTCCCTGTTCCATTGGATAGATGCACACATCCATGGGTTGACTAATCTCAGGGTTGTTAACCTTATGATAGGTTTCTTAATATTATAGATCTTTTAATCTAAATATGGCCTATTGTTTTCAGTGGGGGCTGGGGGCCCTGGGATGCAGCCCATAAAGCCTATAGGTAGATCCGCCCCTGGGTACACACAACTATATAAAAACTGTCTTCAATCTACCTTTTATTAGTCTCTTTCATTACTTATACCTGTTTTTGTACCTTGTGAACCATTTCATATCAAATTTAGACTGTCTTACTGTCTATGTAGTTGAACTAGTAGACAAATATTAGGGCTGCTCATTTCGATGATTCAAAATGTTTCAGAGCCACAGTTCTTTATGATCGACCACCAAAAATATTTCATCCCATAACACTGGAGGAGAAACATGAGTTTTTGATGAAAATAGGACAACACTACCCTCAGTTTCTTGGAGATAATTCAAACAAATCAGATGGTATTACAACTGCTGTTACTCGTTCGGTGGGAAATGGTGTGGAGTTAAGAGCAGATAGGCAGATAGGGATTTTGTTCAGTAGCACTAGTTGGACACCTGATGAAGACTTTGGTATTCTAATGGCTGCCCTACAAGGTGAGTATCTGAGTGCATCTAGACTTGCAGGATCCCTTTCAGTATACCTACTTATTTGTATATATGTACCTGAAAGTTACTGAAAATAATAGTTTTTTTTTTGTCTGTCTATTCTTGCTAATATCTGAAATTTTGACGGAAACCTTCACTTGTAGATAGCTAATATTATAAGGAATAACTTTGGATACTTTTATTATAGAAATGTTATTTTTAAAAAGAAAAATTTTCATGCAGACAAAGTCACGTAACAGCTAATATTTTTATTAATATTGTTGCAGTTTATGAAACAACATACAATCTTACAAAAAAGCTTCCAAAATTAGTATGTGTCATAACTGGCAAAGGTCCAATGAAGCAGCATTACATTGAGGTACTGGAAGCAAAGAGATGGCAACATGTGACTGTGGTCACTCCATGGCTGGAAGCTGTCGACTATCCCACTATGGTTGCCAGTGCCGATCTGGGTGTCTGTCTCCACACCAGTTCATCTGGTCTAGACCTCCCTATGAAAGTGGTTGATATGTTTGGAGCAGGCCTACCAGTCTGTGCATATGATTACAATTGGTAAATAGTTTTATTTCATAAACTATATGACACTACAACTATGTTAATATCTTGATGTATTAATATTAGGTACTTATTGACAGCTCCCGTGGTCTAACGGTTTAGACACTGTCTCACTTTCGATGGTCCCGAGTTCGATTTCTCACACAGTATAGACATTTCTATAAATGAGTATAATATGTATTTACAAACAAATGTATTTGTATGAGCATACATAGTTGTATAGTTAGCTCTCTCTTCTTAGCTTGTGACTAGATAGTGCTGTGTGAAATGTCCTGGGTTATTATTACTTATAGCTATGTATATTATTAGCTCTTAGTAGTTATATTCTTCTAACTACTAAGAGCTAATAATGAGTCAATGAACACAGTAATCATTTTAACTGTAATAATATTCTTTCTGTAAAATTTAAAACAAATAATACTATTTCAGCCTGAATGAACTAGTTGAAAATGGAAAAAATGGATATACCTTCAAGAACAGTGATGAGTTATCTAAGCTAATAGTGACATGGTTTGAGGACTTTCCAAATAATGACAAACAAAATAGAATAGCAGAAAGTATGAAAAGCAAGTTAAATGAATTCCAAAAATCGAGATGGGAAGACAATTGGAATTTAAGAGCTAAGAAGTTTTTTGAATCCTGACACAGCTCTATGAATGAGAATTTATTTAAATTAATTATATTTACAATTGATAACCATTTGTATGAAATACAGACATTCCTTTAAATTTAAAAAATAAATGAAAACAATTATAAGAATGTAATTATTTTACACATTATCATGAACACTTATCTATTCATTATTTTACTAATATTATAAATGTGAAAGTTTCAAATATGGATGGATGGAAGTTTGTACTCTTTCATGTAAAAAGTACTGACTATGGAATTTATACAGGACTATAAGTTTCATGTGGGTGAAAACAAATACTCTGAATAACATTTATTTAAAATAACATATTGCATTGTTCAATGTTGTTAAAAAAATCATGTTGCATGGTTAATATTTCTCTCATGAGTCTGTGTTCTGAATGAGTGGTAGAATTAAAAAAAATGTGAGTATTGAAAAGCACTTATATTGAGTTTATTTATAAAAGATTTCTTTCTATTGGACCTTACTATATTATTTCTGTAGTTTATATAATTTTTGGATTAATTTCTACACATATATACTAAATTACATGTCTTCTCTATAAGACAATTAAGTATATGTCATCTATACATATAAATAAAATTGGAGTGTCTGTTTGTAATATCCAAATAACCGTTTTTCACTATGTGCATATGAATACAAATATGGTACATACACCAAAATAACATTTTTTTTTAATTTTTCAGACAGACTGACGTCTGTTTGTTCCGGCTAATCTCTAAAATGTTTGACCGATTTTTTTTTAGCAGGTATGTGATGTAATAAGGAGTAACTTAGGCTACTTTTATTTTAGAAAACTAAAGTTAAATTCCACGCAGACAAAGCCACGAGAACAGCTACTATATCATATAATACTTTATGGTAAGAATGAAATAATTGAACATAATAAATAAAATACATTTGTCAACTTGTATAATTCACACTGTATTTATAAAAATAACATCCTGCATTCATACATAATTCAGAGTCAACATCACTTAAACTAAGAGTCTTTCAATTTCTTGCTGAATACTTTGAATCTGTGGTTTAAGCTGGCTACCTTCGTTAATGGTAATTGAACAAGCGATGATGGGCCGGGAGACGCCGCAAGCACGCCCCAACGCTTGTTTCGACCTCACAAACACATATGGCACGTTTTTGTCCTCACAAAGGATTGGAATGTGTAACACAATCTCTAAAGGTTCAGCATCAGCGGACATTATAACGAACTCAGATAGACCGCGGTTCAAGGTTTTCGTAGCTTCATTGGCGCCTTTTCGCAACTGCTTATAATTGGCGGCTTGTTGCACCAAGTTGAGTATTTTAGCGGTAAGAGCAGCGTCCGCTAAAGGATACGCTTTCGGATTTACTGCAGCTTCTGTTTCAGCCTAGAAGAAAATATGGTCTATTAGAATGAGTAAACGAAATTCAAGGTTAAGCACTGGTAACATAACCTTACTAATTTTAAAAAATATTTCATATTAATATTACATTTGTATCTACAAAAAAAATATTAATTTCATTAGCATTAATATGTTATAAAACAGGAATTTAGGTGGTAGGCATTATTAATAATGTAGTAAATAATATATAGAAACACGTGTTTACCATTGCGTTTTGCCGCGAGTGTTGATATAATTTCAACCTCTCGGCGATTGCTCGCTTCACTGAGGAAACTGTTAAATTAATGAATTGCTTTAAAAAAACAAACTATTAACCCGTTTATTTATAATAATACGGAGAAATTATTCAATTTTAAACAATAATAATTGTACAGATTCAATCAAACGCCGGTGAGTAGATGAGTGTTGCCAATCACATTGTCAAATTTACCAATTGACACGGACAGAATTACTTTATCTGTGGACAGAATACATCATTCACAGAACACTAAATTACTTAAATATGGGAATGGTTAATTCAAATGGAAATGGAAGTTTAATTAATAGTGAATGGCATTCATTTTTAGAAGATGAATTAAAGACTTGTATTAGTTGGTCGGAACAAATAACTAACTGTCAGAAGGTTTTTATATGTAAAAAGGGGAGATTTTAAAAACCGAGAGAATTCGGGCAAAAAATTCACAAATGTGGAGTTTTTATTATTGACTAACTGTACCCGAGACCGTAGCACCGCTAGGTCAACTTACATTGCTAGCAATAGGATTATTCACCTTACTAAAAATCTTTTTCCTCTAGTCGTCATATAGTTAGAATAGAATCTAAAAACATAATTCTTCTTGTACAGATAGTGATTACCTGAGTCGTGGTGAATTCGTCACGATGAGCTAACTATCCTAACCTCATACTCATTTTCCTCCACTAGTGCCCCGCCAGTGATACCGTTAATTCAGGAGTGTGCATCACTTCATTATCATTCATTAAAAAAATCTATTTATAATCATATTAGCTTTACTATTAACTATTTTCAATAAATGTGTTGATAATGGCGTGTTTCCTCAATTAATGAAATTTAGCAAATTAATTCCACTCTTTAAATCTGGAGATAGATTTGAGCTAGGCAACTATAGACCAATTTCTATTTTGCCAGTTCTAAGTAAAGTATTTGAAAAGATTATGTTTAACCAAATGTTAAAATACTTCAGGGATAACGGACTGCTTCACAGTCAGCAATATGGTTTCACTGCCGGCAAGTCTACTACTGATGCAGGTGTAGCGCTTATTACACATATATTCGAATCATGGGAAAACTCACAGGATGCTCTCGGCGTTTTTTGTGACTTGTCGAAGGCGTTTGATTGCGTAGATCATGAAACCCTTTTGTACAAGCTCAAATATTATGGTATTAGAGATAATGACCTAAGTCTAATGAAAACTTATCTAGAGGATAGAGTGCAAACTGTAGATATTGATGGTGTAAAGTCTAAGGGAATATAAAAATGGGCGTTCCTCAAGGTTCAATATTAGGCCCATTTCTCTTTTTAATTTATATAAATGACCTTCCCTACATGGTAGAGAAAGTTGCAGATATAGTGTTATTTGCGGATGATACTTCGTTAGTGTTTAAAATTGGTCGCCAATGTAATCAATTAGACGATGTAAATTATGCTATCTCTGCTATACTAAATTGGTTCACATGTAATAATTTATTATTGAACTCCAACAAAACTAAGTGCATTAAATTCACGCTGCCTAATGTAAAACAAGTAAATACGCAGCTATTGCTTAATGATGAAATAGTAAATTTTGTTAATGATACAGTTTTTTTAGGAATAACAGTGGACTCGAAGTTACAATGGGGGCCCCATATTTCAAAATTAGCCAGTAGACTTAGTTCTGCTGCTTATGCAATTAGAAGGATAAGGCAATTAACAGACGTGGCGACGGCAAAACTTGTATATTTTAGTTATTTCCATAGCATTATGTCATATGGCATACTGCTATGGGGTAAAGCTGCCGATATAAATACTATATTTATTTTACAAAAGAGAGCCATACGTTCTATTTATGGTATGGGTTCTAGAGAATCATTACGTCAATGCTTTAAACAATCAAATATCCTCACCGTTGCCTCACAGTACATTTATGAAAATATTATGTATACAAGGAAAAACTTAGATAGTTTCAAGAAACTTAAAGACTGTACAAGTAGAAACTTACGCAATAAAAATAAGCTAATTTTACTTAAATGCCGTCTACACAAAGTTAGTAATTCATTTTATGGTAATTGCGTAAGATTCTATAATAAACTGCCAGTCTACGCTAAATCTTACAGAGAGGCAATTCAAATCTTATATTAAACAAATGTTATGTAAAAAAGCCTATTATAAGATAGATGAATTTATAGATGATAGCAATATATAGCAAGAATAAGTTTATTTGCGGACAACGTTATAATTTTGATTTTCATACTGCTTTCTTGATATATGATAGCGTAGCGGCTTTTGTATTGATTGCCGCATGCATCCTTATGTAAAGTGCGAATACTGTAACTACCTATAGTGTTCACTTATTTGTTATTTATGTCTTCTTGTATGTAAGTTGTTATCGACGTAATATCGGCTCGTTAGCCATAGCTCCACGTCTTTACTCCGCGGCGCTTGCGCAGGGAATCCCTTCCCTCTTGCGCACGGCGGTCCGTGTACGCTCGGCTCGAGACGATAGATAATAAACTGCTAGTGTTTCCACATACACTACATCTCTCTCCTTTTTAAGTTTATTTTCTTTTCAAGCATGAATCAATCCACTCTATTAGGTATTTGTTCCTTGGAGGCATGTGTGCTACGTTACACCGATGGTGGACTCATTTTGACACTATACTGCCACACATAAGCCGAATGCCTCTAGTGCGATTGGCCTTTCCAGCGTAACCAGCACCGTGATTTTTCCTCCTCTTTCGAATATAAATTACATTTATATATTAACTCCAATTTACTCTGTGTTTCACATACTTCACCTTTCTTCTTTTATATTTGTTTTCATATAATCGTTATTCCACTTTGTTATTGTGTAATATTATGTAAGATTAGTATAAAGCACTTCTGAAAAAATGTTGTATGTTTATGACCAGAATATCTCTATCATAGTAGTCACTACTTTATATTTTGTAGGTTTAAGGTAAATACTTATATTTTTTTTCATTCTATCTGTCTCATGCAATGTGTTATTTACATGTAGTATTTTTCTTTATCATGTACATTTGAAAACTGATTATCTAAAACACAATCTGGAATTTCTTCAAAACTCCCCACTATTTATTATTATCATTCCATAAAATATTGATGGGTCCTGTGGTGGTATATCAGAATATTATTATTATATCAAGAGTTGCATCAACAATTGCAAACGACTTTCCACTATATTCTGTCTACACATCTGATATCAGTCCATATAGTATTAATTGGGTATAACTATAACCATTCTTCATCGTACCAAAATTATCTCTCTTATCACCTGCATTAATTCAGTGCTAAAATATTAGGAAAGGTTGTCAGACCAGTCTTTGAGCGATCGACATATACCACATATACCACATATATCACCACAGCGACTCTACGTACTCCAGCAATCGTCAATTATATTAGTTATAGAAATTATATTTTCGACCAAAATTAATGTGTGTCCTATGACTTTTGATTTATTATATTTTACTGAATCCGCTCCATTTCACTCCGATAATTAATATGCATTAAAACTGGCAATTTTTTATTACTTATATTCAACCGCAATTTAATGCAACATTCTATCAATTTACCTTTAATGAATAGGACACCATTCATCAATACACAATACAATGCTTGATGACCCCGCCAAAGACAATTTAACACAAACTGGACGTTAATACGCAATTGAATGCTTAACGACCCAGCCAACGCAATTTAATGCAACCTGTCCGCCAATACGCAATTTAATGCTTGACGGCCCAGTCCAACGCAATTTAATGCAATCTGTCCATCAGTTCGCAATTTAATGCCTGATGGCCCAGCCAACGCAATTTAATGCAATCTGTCCATCAGTTCGCAATTTAATGCCTGATGGCCCAGCCAACGCAATTTAATGCAATCTGTCCATCAGTTCGCAATTTAATGCCTGATGGCCCAGCCAACGCAATTTAATGCAACCTGTCCGTCAATACGCAATTTAATGCTTGACGGCCCAGTCTACCTTACCTCTGTAGCTCCTTTTTTAGAATATCAATGCCATTGTCACCGTCATTATAACTCCATTGAACTTCTTAATTCATCCTCTTTAAGTATTGGTTATTAGTATTATGCTCATTGTTTTTCTTCCTTTGCTAATTTCTTTAAGGTCATCCGAGCCAATAGTCAATTTATAAGCAAATCATGGACTCCTGCAAAACACCAAATTTTATAATTATAAGACAATTAAACGCCACTCTTATCCATTTAATTTTCACAATATATACATTTATGACTACTAATTAAACATATTTCAGATTTATTTACTCCACAAGAATGTCCAGTAAATAATTCTAATCTAAAGTATAGGAATACTAATAGTATCCTCAGAACCACTTTTTTTCCAATAATGTATCGTTAGTAATTGTTACTGTCATGCATCATGGTTTACATTATTATCTAGTAATAATAATAATAATAATTGTGCAGCCATAATATAACGCACCTCATTCACAATAATATACCTCGTATATAACGACTTCCTTGATTTAACTAATTCTTTGTAATCCCTTGGATTTTCCATAAGAATCGATGTAAAATATACCTTTACATTGCGACATTATTATTATTATTTTTTTTTAATTTGGAAAAACACCTCTTTCTAAGGAATTTTCTTAACCCAAAACCTTTATATTTTTTTTCGATTTGTTTTATCGAGGTTGCACTGTAGTACGTATGTAAAAGTTAAAACACGCTAATTTGTCTAAGCTACCCTGCAATGCGGCCAAAGTATTTAGAGAGCGACCAACACCAGTACTATGACGATAAACAAATACATGTATATATTTTACAACTACTTTTTTTTTTTTTTTATACTACTATGGTGGCAAACAAGCCTACGGCCCATTTGATGGTAAATGGTTACCGTAGCCTATGGACGCCTGAAGCATCAGGGGTGTCACGTGCGCGTTGCCGACACTTAAGAAACCTTAATATACCCTTTTTGAAAAACCCCATGCTGTAGTCTCGTGAGAAAACCTCGGCAGGAAGTTCATTCCACGATTTAAGTGTACGCGGGAGGAAGCAGGTATCATTTCCTATTAGCTATCTCAAAACTCAAAACCACATTAATACACTTATTTCGCGTATCGCGACACTACACAACTCCAGCCGCAACTGGATTAACTGTCAATTAAAAATGACTCCCCATCGCTCCAACATCCCCGTCACATTCATATAAAACAGCTGTCAGCGCTGTCTGCATGTGATCACAAAACAAATTCTAACTCCATTCCACAGCTACTAAATGCGGTACATTAATGCAATTATGGCTATTATTCCTATTATTTATTCAAGCTTCTTTAAATAAAGAATATTCATATTCTATTCCATGTTCCCGAAACTTCAAAGAATGTAAAAAACATTTTTTTTTCCACTCTAATAACCCCTTCACTCATCCGCATAATGCATTAGGCGAGTAGGTACAATAATTCAGAACTTAATAGTAGTTCTATTTCATGTAACCATTATTGTGCAATTTCTAATTTACTGGTATTTTTAAATTAGAGAGAATCTTAAATATGATTCCATAAAGACATACTCACCACCACTGTACTATACTATAGCTTATTATTAAAAGTTAATCACTGTCATTGCTGTAAAAATAATAGAATAATTCTATATACATAATTAGGTATCATTTTTCTCGTTCCAGTGTTACTGACTATAGAAACCACACACCGCATACAGAAACAGCACTCCTGTACCTTACATCCGACCATAACTAGCGACACACTTCCTCGCAATATAATAGTCGGCATCTCAACCTCTTGACTACGTTGTTTTTTGTTTTTCTTCAACAAATTCATTAGACACTAAATTCACCAAACCAAAAGATTGCCTTCTAGGTCGCAAGTGTAGATGCGCGCTTCATTTTAACACAAAGCACAAATTGGTAAAAATATGCCAGACAAGTAGATAGGCACCTTGCACTATACGACATGTATAGTAGACCCCAACATAATATATCAAACTAATAATTAATCTACATTTAAAACCTTCCTATGCAAAACAATTGCAATTCCCACCGGCATCCATTGGAATGCTCACTAATAATTATTATTTATAAATTATATAATCCAAAAGCCAAATCCAATCCAAATAAAAACATTTTAACCACACTACTTCGCGGCTCTGCTCGAATACCAGAATAAAATAGTCTGCAGGTATTCCGAACAACTCATCCGCATCGAAATGTATGGGACACTGTTACCCAGATACTTCAACACTTGCAATCAATTAAGGCAAATATAAATATTGTTCACCAAGTACTGCTCAAACCGTGTGTGTCACCCCACCTTAGATTTTACTATTGTTGTTTTGTATATAATACCCAACATCAGTACTATAATGCAGGTACAATTGTCAGCTCACCATCATTTGTAATAATATCGTATCACCCGACAACATCGTAATATTTTTTTTTTTATTTACATCGTAATATAATATATTGTACAAAATGTAATATTAGGTTATCATGTGATCATTACAGTTAGAAAGAGGAACTTTAGACCACTTCCATTTGCAGCAATACTCTAAAAGAAAATAGTGACATTTGAACACTAGTCACCACCTCTGTATAAATACAATAAGGCGGCCCTATTGCCAAAAGTAATTAAAGTGCATCGACACCTAGAAAAGATAAAGCAAAACAAACGTGTCGCCCGCACAGTGCTCTATTATACTTCATACCCACAGGTCTATTGCATCACGTAATATGATGTCCCACTAAACATCTCACCGTCACCGTCCCCTTATGAAACGAACATGCAGCGGCAACAACAATCATTACCGATTTTTTTATTTCAACACGGAAATACGGAAGGGGGAATGGGATTGTTAAAATAATCCCACTGCTAACAATATATGACGCCAGAGGGACCTCCACGCGGCTCCCCCCAGAAACCATCGCGACAAATTAACACGAACCCACCACGACGGGCCAACCGATCCTATCCCCCCCGCTCATTCTACCATACTCCATCAGTGCCACGCCAGCGCAGGCAGTACACCATTATCATACATTAAAAATAATAAATCACGGATATACGTAAACATATTACTATAATGATTATTAATACGACTATTCCTACCAGCTAGAGACACTATAGGTATAGCAAGTACAATTTATAATTAGGTACCTACTTACTTGGCGCAAATCGATCGTAAACCGATGTTACCCAGCTATTGTTTTTTCTGTATAGGTCTATATAATTCGCTCCCCGTGCGGCCCCACCATAATCCTTCTAAATTTGTAATTACTCCGTACCCGTAGGTATATGTATATCTTATTAAATGATTTTGTACTTATCTTTATTTATATCCATTTTGCCTCGTCGCCACATATAGTGTTCACTTATTTGTTATTTATGTCTTCTTGTATGTAAGTTGTTATCGACGTAATATCGGCTCGTTAGCCATAGCTCCACGTCTTTACTCCGCGGCGCTTGCGCAGGGAATCCCTTCCCTCTTGCGCACGGCGGTCCGTGTACGCTCGGCTCGAGACGATAGATAATAAACTGCTAGTGTTTCCACATACACTACACTACCATATAGTAATTTTTGTAGCTGTGACGTGGTCGTGTGGAATGAGTAGTCATGCTCACTAAAACGTCCAGACATGTGGCGGCGTGGTGGGCCGGGTCAATGGGCTCCCTAAAATATGGTCGAGCGCAGTGATGGCTGGCTCATCCGTCATACTCGTGAACGAGTGCTGCTTGTAGGGACTGGTCTGCTCTTATCACTACGACTGATTTAATCTTATTGCATGATTATATTTGACCCAAAAAATTAGTGCTTGTTGGTAGTTTGTATTCACACGTTTCGACTTGTAAATGTAAACTTACAAGGATTATTTAAAAGAGCAACACACAAGTTTCTTGCTCGTTCTTCTTGTGATGAGACAGCTTTCCGAACGAATGGTAGATAAAAAACAAATTGTTATGACTATTCAAAAGTGCTTAAATTAAGTTTATTTGAATAAATGATTTTCTATTCTATTCTTTTACCCGCGGATTCGCTAGCATACTTCATTACTGGCTGCTAGATGGCGTTGAAGTAGTAAAATGTTGATATTTAAGTTTTTGTTTTTTATAAAATCTTGTATCTCCCGTTCACGGGTAAGTTATCATTGCGGTCATACATATATTAAAAAATAAATAAAAAAGTAGGGGAATTAGGGAATAAAAAACAAGATTTATAATTTATTTTGTTTACTAAAATATTACTTATATATTTTTACTTATTTTTAAGAGCTAGTCGTCGATTATTGGAGCAGTTACTTAAACAAATAACTGTATGTTATTTAACCATGACTGCAAAATGAGGATTTCTTATTTTTGCATTTCATGGCTAAATTTATAATTTATTAAGGAAGCGTCGTGATCTACCGCTTTATTACACGACTTATGACACAGAAAGAGCGTCAGTTCATATCTGGTTCAATTTATATATTCTGTATACCCAATGATGGGAAAAAACGATGAACTTATTTGATTAGATGAACTGTGGTAGACACTTTTCCTGCCGCATTTGGTTTATATAAATATACCTTATTAATATAATCCAACAGGTTTTTAACACGAATATTTTTTTGGCAAATAAAGGTATTTACGTCTCTCGACGTTTCGACTATATAGCATTTGCCATGTTTCGAGATACCTGTTAAATACCTATTTTTGGCATACAATTATTCATGGTAAAACTTTATTTATATTAATAATGTGTATTAAACAAGAAAGTTTAAATATAGCTGAAGAAATGTGGTCAGGTTAAGTCTCGCGTTTATAATGGCTCTAACTGACTGATCTGGGTTAACAGTTCTGAAGATAAATATTACTTATATTGTTAACCAGGTGTTAAGAGGGCTAATTTTATGATATACTAGCTGTACACGAGACTTCGTCCGCATGAAATTTAACTTTATTTTTCTAAAATAAAAGTACTCCTAATAATAAGTACTATAAAACTTCCGTCACAATCGGTCCAGCCATTTTAGAGATTAGCCGGAACAAACAGACAAAACTTGTGAAAATAAATATTTTGGTGTATGTACCGTATTTATATTCATATGCATGTAGTAAAAAATAATTATTACAATATTACAAACAGACACTCCAATTTTATTTATATGTATAGATTATTTGTATTGTAACCACGCGGACGAAGTCGCGGGAACAGCTAGTGTATAATAAAAATGAAGTTATAATCTTATAATTAATGAGTTTTAATCACAACTGGAGTCCTGAAGCCTGTCATATATACATGTGGCTTCATATATTAATACTAGTTAGGTTTTTTATAATTATTCTGATTATTTTGGTTTGCTTGGCTGGATAGGAAGGCCAAGTGACCTTTGGGACATTTGTTAGCATAGTGTCCTTTCGTCCCACATTTAAAGCAGGTAACTTCCTCGAGGGGTTTATGCATGATCCTTGGAAGACCTCTGTTGTTGGTGTCTTCGTTCTCACTGACAGGTTTCACATAACCAAGGGCACGGAATCTTGCTTCCTCTTGCCTTTGAGCTGCTTCTTTTTGCTAAAAATATATTTTTTTATTAATGACACATGTATTTAACTCTCACATATAATGAGAACTTATATTGTACTTATGTTTTGCATCTAATAAAATAAATAACTTTATATGTAACACTACCTAGCTCCTAAGTAGAGTTTGAACTATTAGATAACTTATAAAAAATTGAAGAACTTGTTAATGACAATAACGTTTCTAAAGAAAAAATTAAAATCCATAGCACTGACAATATTATCTGTTTACAGTAATAATGAGTGTGTAGCGATTTCTATGTTGATTATCGCATGCCTCTTACTTGTTATACTGTAATTATTATATAAAAAAAACATCTATTCACACACAAACACACAAGTTTCTTGCTCATTCTTCTTGTGATGCTTCTTCAGATGTTCTGCATTCCGAATGAGTGGTAGAATCAAAATATGACTATTCAAAAGTACTTGTAATGAGTTTATTTGAATATAGATTATTTCTATTTTAGTTTTTTTTTAAACAATATACATTTTTGTATACTTATATACCTTGTAGATAAGCAAGAGAGTTAATTTGCATAACCATCAGTAGTTATTTGGACGTAATATTTTCTGTATACAATAAAATTAATTCCTGACACCTAAAGCCTTACAGCCTCGCTGGTCTAGTGGTATAGCATACCGTTTTAGTATCGGATGGTCGCGGTTTCGATTCCTCGCATGGTACAGTTGCATTCTATGTATTTATTTACAAAAACAAAAAAAAAATATCCATTTATTTATATCAGTTGTCTAGTCCGTCTGTCCATGAAAAACGCTTTACTTAGCTTGGAACTAGCGGGCGCTGTGTGAATTGTCCTGAGATATTATTATATAGCTTTAACATCTATAACATATTAGACATGATATTTCTTCAGAAACATCAATGTATACATTCCTTAGGATTAATGTCATTCCGCATTACTGGGAAATTTTTATGTATTAAAATTACATGTCACATTGTTTGTCCATGATGGACTCCTAAACTACTGAACTGATTGCAAATTTGATTTGCACATTGTGTGCAATTTGATGCAACTTGAAAGATAGGATCTGCTAGTTTAATATCAATAATTATTAATAGAGAAAAATATATAATTTTTTCTCTATTAATATTGAAAATAAAATACAAAACAACTCACTTCAGGGGGTATTTTGTTACAACTGGAAGCTTTATGACCAACTTCGAAGCAATAATGACAAACTGGGAGACGTTTTGCATCTTTCGTTTGTTCAGGGGGTGCGGGCAGTTGGAAACGTGGATGCATGTACTTGCAACTGCCTCCGTCCGGACAGAAGCCAGCGAGGTAGTTCATGCACAGCACACGTCTCACGTGACGGTGGCGACAGTGTGGACCGTGTCTGCAAAACCCACGATCGTACCTGCAAGTTTTTTAAATTGTAATAAAATAAGTTTAGTCTTAAAAGTTTTCCTATAACTAACAAATGACAAATCAGCACATGTTTTTATATTCTTCAATTGGATATAGGTTAATAGATTAGGGAAAGTGTTTATTTCTTCTATAAAATTGCTAGTAGGAGGTAGGTTGATAACATAATTAGTAATTGAAGAGGGAAAAGATTGAATTCTACATGCGATAGATGGAGAGGAGCGAAAGAGGGTGAAAGAAGGACATAAATTTCTGTGATTTTCAAAAGTATATCAAAGTTTAAATGAATAAAGAGTATTTCTATTCTATTTTATAATCTAATTCATTCTATAATAATTATATATTTAATTCTAAATAAAAATAAACAGACATGTAAATAGACACACCTTCACAATAATAATTTAATATATAAAATAATAAGAATCAAAACACATTCGTTTGGCAAAAATGAGTTTGTTTCTAATACATTAAATTTTGCAAATATCACAGATATGTGGTACATACCAAGGGCAGTCTTTAATTTTACTCTCAGGGTCTATGTGTAAGAATGGACACTCCTTATTGTGGCACGCATTAAATCTGGCATAAAAGTAACATTCAGGCATCTTCGACATATCATATTCGTGAAGAAATTCACACTGGTCACCCTTTTTGCAGAGTCCTCTGAGCCAATGTTTACATACTACTGTGCGGTCACCCCGGACGTGTCTGTATGGACACTGCGGGCCATTACCACAGCCTCCAGGCTGCCCGAAAAACTCGCAGACTGCCGCAGTCGATTCTATAAAAGTTAGGTTATATCAATTGGAATGACAGCTTTAATAATAATAGCATTTAGAATTAATTATACCTTTAATAATAGTTTACTATCTTATAATAATCGATCAAAAAGTAAATAAATAAGAACACAACAAAATTAAGAACTTACTGTCCATTCCTGGAAACGGTAAAGGAAGAGCTCCATATTGTTCTTCTAAAGCGTAATCTATGTCAAATTTGATATGATCAACATTTGCAACTATAACTTCCATTTTTAATGGATGATTAGTGTTTTATTAAACCAATTTCTACAATAATAAAATATGTTTTACAGATGTACAAGAAAGTTTTTGCATTTCTGTCGATTTGACAGTTCCACAGATGCAATTTTTTTTGATTCGATTTTTCCCGAGCACAGATAAAAATTGATGCGTGTCACATCTGTGATACCTGAAAGTGACACATGTCACGCTCGCCGAACAATGGAAAAGTGTAGTTGTGGATCTTAGGGCGACCCATCGAAGGTGGAATTTTACTGGAGACACGGTGATAAAAAGAAACTGCTACAATACTTTTATTTTAAATACTTAAAAACAAAATTGAATAAAAACCGATTCTCACCGATTGCATGCCCATGTTGATCTGTGCCCTAGTCTCTGTCGGGTTTTTCGGTACTGATCTGTGCAGTGCAGTATGTAAATAAAAAAACTGTTTATAATTTACATAAATTATTAAATTTATTATTATATGTAGTCTTAATGATCTGTGATTATATTTTTAAAAGTACTTCGTATAATTCAAAGTTAATATTTGAATATTACGTATTAAATATATTCTATTACAAGAAAATAACCCTGTTTTAAAAATGTCTGTGTCCGATATTAAACATGCAATAAAAAAGTATGAATTTCCAGCGAGTGCTAAGGAAGCACTTATTCGAACAGGTTTGTATAAAAATTCTTATTAATAATATACTAACAGACTGATAAAATATTTCGATACTATTCTGCCCTAACCTCCCTGGTTTTCTCATTAAGAAAAGGATGTCCAACTCGGTCTATGATTTTTTCATTTATATGTAATCACAGTTATAATTTTTTTTGTGTGTCATTGGACCATCCTCTATCACCCTACTCACGTTTTGCCAGTAGGTCCTAGCCATTTTGTTAATTGGTAAGCCTACCTTTTGTCTTTGTACCTACCTGTGTGACCAGACCATTTCCATTTCTGTCTTAAAATGGGCTGAAGTGCATCTATACTTTTAGACCAAGGGTCTTCAACGAGCAGCTCGCGGGCCACTTGCTGCCCGCCATTATGTTTTCTGCGGCCCGCCATCATCATGTCAGTAACGACAACAATGAAGTAATAAAGAGTATCTTTAATATAAAATAAATTAAATCTTTATAAAAAAGCTATGCCTATAACTAAGCTTATGGTGCAGCCCGCTACACAGAATAAAATTTTTTGGCTTTCGATTTGTAAAACATTGTTTTTTTTTATTATTATTATTTTATGCAATCCGTTTTTCCAGAGTAGAAGCAGATTTGTTGATTATATTATATCGTGAGATATGATTCTCCATTGAGAATCCAGCCTCAGATATTCCAGCTTATGCCATGTTGTTGAAGTCTAGTATTTTACGTCTCTTAAGACATACCATCAGGCAATGTCCATTGAACAGCAAGTTTATTTGGATGTCTCTGTCTGTTTAGACCATTGTTAAGATAAAGACAAAGAAGCCTTTATACTGTACTTTTTAATACATTTTAGATTTTTTTGTTACATATGCTGGTTGTTCAAATTATTATACCAAACAATATATTTATTTTTAATATTATTATTAGAGCTCTGGGGATCGGCAAGTCATTCCAATATCGAAATAATACAGCGTTACCAAAGTAAGGTGTTAAAGACCATAACCAATGCACCTTGGTATGTAAAAAACCGGGAGGTGCATGACTACACAGAGATCACAACGGTGCATGAAGAGATAAAACACTCCTGTAAGGCTTACTGGCAAAGACTTCAACACCATACCAACCCTTTAGCAACAACTCTCTTGGACTCTAGGAATTACGTATGCAGGCTGAAAAGGTCACATCTGGCTATTTAAAACAGAAGATGTATATAAAAGGAGGACCACATTGTTGGATGTGGTAACTCAAAGCGACAGATAACGAAAGCTATAAAATCTGATAAAAGCTAATAGGCTGATCACAGATAGATAAGAAAAAAAAAATATTATTAGTAGTTGCACAATTTCTCCTTAAATAGATTTTAATTTTTTTTTATAAATTAAATTATATCCAGCAGTACAGAGTGCCTTGCCGCAATGGTCTCCTCTAATTCCTTCCAGCTGTTCTCCAATAGAGGCAGCTGTTAGCTTACCATAGTTAGTAAATTCCTCTCCGATCGATCCCTCGTCGAATTCAAACGAGGATCGATATTATGACGGCCTGAGCCGAGGTTTGAACCCCTAGTGGTGCCCTCAGACTAAAGTCATATTCGTCAGGCAGGAGTTGGCCTTCAGCCGCTCCATAAGTCCTTCTGCGGGTTTGGAGTGCCATCTGCACTCGCCCCCTGACGTCCGGTGAAGCTGTAAAGGCCAGCTGCGACCAACAGCACTAGAGTAGTCCGGAAAAAAAGTTAGTAACTTATAAATAATGGAAATTAAATATTTTTTTACAGAACAAATACTGGCCGGCCGTTCCAGTCCATCAAATAAGTTGATGGATGCAGCAATGGAGATAATATCTGAATTTGTATTCTGCGAGACGGACCGCCGTAGCGGGCGCCGTAGCAGCGGCCTCACTCCACTACAGCAGCTGCAACTTATCGATGTCATCTGTGACTATCTCTCAACTTGCGCTAATGAAACCACAAAGAATACTATATTTTTATCACTCTTTGGAGGCATGGAGAGTCAAAGGAGGTTGAAAGTATTGAGCATACTTGCTAGTATGGCTGTCTCTGCTTCTAGTACTTCTGTAAGTCTTATATATATATTTTTTAATTTAAAATATATATTCAATCCATCATCAACTTATTCAAGTGTATTGTATGAATTGAACGACTCATTTTGCCACAAAAATTATTATTGTTGCTTGTCAAAAATTTCTGTATTATAATTATTATTAAAGATCATCATCATTATCATCATTACAGCCCTAAAGATGTCCATTGCTGAACAAAGGGCACCCCAAAAAAAAAGTTACACCTGTAATAAAACATACCACAGAACATACACACTAACATAGTCTGTGGTAAATTATTATTGAGGAAAAAAGTTTTTTGTGTTATCTGCAATTAGTAACATTGCAATTATGTCTGTATATGTCAGTATGAGTCTGCACTCCATTGAGTGCACAATTTTTAATTTATATAATGTCTGAGCTAGCTAATTGAGTCAGGCAGTCAGTTGAGCTATATACTTCAAGCATGTAGTTAGAAGCTAGCTGGCTTAATTTAAATAGAAATAGACATAATCTTTATTCAAATAAACTTAATATAAGCACTTTTGAATAGTCAAGTTTTTTTATTCTACCATTCATTCGGAATGCAGACTCATCACAAAAAGAATGAGCAAGAAACCTGTGTGTTGCTCTTTTAAATAAATATTGGTTTAATTATATTTACATTAATAAGGATTAGGCATGCGACAATCAACATAGAAACCACTACGCACCTAATCTCTGTTCAATCAGATAACATTGTCAGCGCTATGAATTTAAAGTTAGATATTTTCTACAAAAACATTATTATCATTTATAAATGCTTTAATTTTATAATAAGCTTTTTTACAAAGAAAATATTTTATAACACATTTGAATTTTTTTCTGGCAAGTTGAGTACAGACTCTGGCAGTTTATTGCAAAACCTTACGCAATTTCCATAAAACGAATTACTAACTTTCGTCAAACGGCACTTAGGTTAAACTAGTTTGTTGATATTACGTAAGCTTTTACTAGTGTAATCACCTATTTTTTTAAGAATATTGCCTAATGAATAAATGTGTAAGTGCTATGTTATTACTATTCTTAGTTAGTTAACAGAATATTTGGTATATAAAGCAAATGTGGTTAAAAACAGTCAAACTGTTGCCATCTACTTTCTTTTTATTAATACTTCCTTTTCTAAGGTTGTGTAGAAAAGATTGCAATTACGGTAAAACCTCCTTTTATAACTGTTTTTTTCTTCAATCTTTTGTTTCTTCCCTTGTGTCTACTTTAATATTGGTGTAATAAAACATTAAAAAAATTGTAGGTCCTATTGGCAGTTGGTGTATGGTTACAACAAATGGGTTGCTCATCACCTCAGTCGCTGCAACTGGTGGAGAATGTAATTCGAGACCACTTCTGCCTGAACACGTCCAATCAGATGATGCTCAAGGCGCTCGCCACCACAGCGCCGCAGTTCGTGGCGAACTTCATTACGGCGGTTACTGAGTTGTATCTGCACGATGTACAGGGAGTGAATAAGCTTCCACCGAAAAACCTTTTAGAAATCATCACATCCTGGGTATTAACTTGCATTTTTTTTTATATATATCTATACATATAAATAAAATTGGAGTGTCTGTTTGTAATTTACTGAGCAAAGCCTATTACTCACTAAACGATTACTTGAATGACCAGTGTGCATGGCAATAGTTGTTCATGCACTGAATTTTCATTTAATGTTAGTTTCATTTAATATAGACACCTATATAAATATACATTGTAAATAAACTGGCTTTAAAAAAAAAAAAAGTAATTCAATTGAGTTTCTTGCCAGTTCTTCTCAATTGGATCTATATACCGAACTGGACGGTAGGGAAAAAAATAAAATTATAATGTAAAAATTTGACGTTCATAAGCGGCTAAAATGTCCTACATGAATAAATGATTTTTGAATTTGAATTTGTAATATTGAAATAACCGTTTTTTACTACATGCATATGAATATAAATACGGTGCACCAAAATAACATTTTTTACTATTTTTGTCTGTTTGTCTGTCTGTTTGTTCCTGCTGATCTCTGAAATGGCTGGACCGATTTTGACGGGACTTTTTGGTAGGTAGCTGATGCAGTAAGGAGTAACTTATGCTACTTTTATTTTAGAAAAATTCTCTAAATTTCTTTTTTGTTAAATTCCACGCGGACGAAGTCGCGGGTACAGCTAGTTTTTAAATAAATTACTAAGACTAGCAGAGGGAGGATATGATGATAATATCCCTGGACAATTCACACAACGCCATCTAGTTCCAAGTTAAGCAAAGCTTGTGTTATGGGTGCTAGACAATTAAATTAAATTAGGGATGAAATGGATATCTGGCATTGTTTTCGCTATCCGGCCTGATACCAGATGGATGGTAAAATTGAAAATATTCTCTTTTTTGTACCGTTCAAAGCATCGAACCTGTTTTTTTAATGGATGATTATGAAATAGTGCACCCGCCTGCACTAACAGTTTACACTGGCGGGGCACCAGTGGAGGATGATATAATGAGCATGAGGTCAGGTCTGTTGGTCCATCGTGATAAATTCACTAAGAATTTATCACGATGACTTCCAGGGAGTAACGCGTGGAGATCAACCTGACTTGGCACATTGCTAGCGTTGGAGTATCACGTACGTAGTATGGAGTTCACATTGCTAACAATCCTATTCACCCTGCATCGAACTCATTACCATCGGAGGGGTTGTAAGCGACGCGTACTGTGCCGCAAAACACAAAATAATTAAAATAATGTTTGTCTATGTTATTGTCTCTGCATGCGGTGTCGTGGTCGTTTTTAAAAACTTATAACCGGCGCAACGGACGCCTCGCAGTCTTTACCTAGATGCGATCGACACCACACGTCTTATCTCTAATTAACTTTTATAATATTACTGTGTCGAAAAAAAATCTTAAATCAATTGTCTAAAAGTCTTCGTTTTTTGCCATCACCGTGACCTATCGTATTCTATATCATACATTTGGATCCGGCTCGAAGGACCAAATTTACTGTGTCTAAAATAAATCCAATTGTCTAAAAGTCTCGTTTTTTGGCAGCACCGTGACCTATCATATTCTATACCATACATTTGGATCCGGCTCGAAGGACCAAATGTATGATATAGAATATGGTAGGTCTAATTTAAGAGGTAGGTAGAATTTTATTATTTTGTTTTTTGCGGCACAGAACGCGTCGCTTACAGGACTGTTAAACAGCTACACCACTGAGGCTATTGTATGTAATAAATTTTAATTGCTGTTTCAGGTTTATACAAATCCATCATTGTGCATGTCGGCGCAACTGAATCCGGCCGCACTGCCGAATGGCGCAATACCAATGGCGGCCGTAACGCCACTCGCAGGCCTCATACACTGGTGTTCTTTAGCACCACTCTACATTGATACTGGTACATGCACATTTATTTATTTATTTTCGGAAAACCAAAGCTATTTAGGAATAGAAATAAAAATATAAATAATCTTTATTCAAATAAACTCATTACAAGCACTTTTGAATAGTCATATTTTGATTCTACCACTCATTCGGAATGCAGATTCATCACAAGAAGAACGAGCAAGAAACTTGTGAATTTTGAAACATAGTGATAAATAAAATTGAATCAGACAGGTCACTTACAAGTTTTTACAGATACAAACGTAATCTATACATCTATACATATAAATAAAATTGGATTGTCTGTTTGTAATATTGAAATAACCGCTTTTTACTACATGCATATGAATATAAATACGGTACATACACCAAAATAACATTTTTTAAAATATTTGTTTGTCTGTCTGTCTGTTTGTTTCGGCTAATCACTGAAATGGCTGGACCGATTTTGACGGAACTTTTTTTGGCAGGTAGCTGATGTAAGAATTAAAAATGCTTTACAAGCTCACTATTCCACGCAGATGAAGTCGCGGATACAGCTGGTTAATTAATATATGATGTTCATAATCATCTGCTTCTTCCTTATCCATTTTATTTGGGGTCGGCGTAATATAAAGTTAATTAATATATATGGCAAATATAATATTATTTACCTTTAATAGTATTTTTCAGATTCAGAAATGGTAGAAGTGACAATACCGTTCAAGAAAATAAAAATAGAAGGCCAGAAAGAACAGTCGGTTGTCAAGAATTTCGTCAATAAATCATTGACGGAGTCTGAATTGTATATCAAGCTGCATCTAGGCGTGCTGCACAGTTTGAGAGCTGGAAGGAGAACACACGGTCCCCCAACTGCTGTCAATGCTCAGCATCTGGCGGGACTGACGCCACTGGTGCAGGGGTACGCACACCAGCTGTTGAAGAGAGGTGTCAAACTGCACACAGATGACAAGCTGCAGGTATAACTGTTTGATTTGTTTTTCAACCGACTCCTATAAAGTAGGAGGTTCTCAAGGTCCCCGTTCATTAAGTCACTCTTTAAAATAATATTTGTTATGAAAACAGCTAACATATAATTTTGAATGCAGCTGTCTTTAGGGGACTGTATTTACGACAATAGGATTTGAGCAAGAAATTGATAATTTGGAAGGCACTCACCTTGTACTGCGAGGATTGCCGGTTCGGTTTCAGCAAGGCTTCCCAGAACTCCGGGCTTGTCCGAACTTTTGAACGGGTTACCTGTTTACCGCCAAAACCGACAATAGGTGCTTTCCAGTATCAACTCTTGCGTTCCTTTATTATTTCGTACTTAAACTAATAATATTCACGAATTTAGTTAACAAATCTATATAAAATATCGACAATTACGACAGCGATAATCAGAACACTTTTTTCGACAACGACAAAGGCGAAACGACTCCCGCCCTCGTAATCTCTTTTTATTTTTTTACTTTTTTTTATTATTTACGGCATTGGATATCGCGATAATGTTGCCGTGCGTATTATTGTGAATAGTGAACAATATTTATTGTACAGTTTTTTTTTTTTGATAATTGTATGGTGTATCTGCCTGCGGGGCACCAGTGGAGAATGATTAGATGAACATGAGGTCAGGTCAGCTAGCCCATCGTGACAAATTCATCAGGAATTTGTCATACTGATGAATTTGTCACAATCGGCTAGCTGACATGTGGAGGTGACATGGTGCATTGTTAGCAATGTAGTTATTTACATTACTAACATACTAACAACCCTCATTATTGTTCTGTTTGATACCTACATTGATATATTTAATGGTTTATATATATAATAAATAAATTTAAATTAATATATAATAGATTGATATATAATATACCTACTTAATATAACCATAAACTGGAACTTTCAGGGGGGAAGGGAACTGTTAGTGATGAATTATAAATCCCATTGGAAGAAATCGTAATAAATTCCTGAATGGTGATTTTTCCGCTAACTTACCTGACCTCATGCTCATCTTATCCTCCGCTGGTGCCCCGCCAGCGTAAATCGTTAGTGCAGCCGTGCATTATTCCATTATCATCCGTAACAACCATAAATTGGATTACTGTCATGTGCGTTTGTTTTCAGGACTGTCTGGACAGAATAGGACAAGCAGTTCAAGTGGCACTAGCTAATGGATGTGTGTATGGCAACATTAGTAATCTACTCACCTCATTGGACACATTGCCAGAGAACCGGCTACTGAGGATTATCATCAAAACTCATCAGCAAGCGATCTGACGTGTACTATAAAATTGTGGTTACATGTTATTGAGATTGTGGGACTGTAAGTGTGATGGTTGGTGCATTCAACAATAATTATGGCAACATTAGTAATCTACTTACCTCATTGGACACATTGCCAGAGAACCGGCTATTGAGCATCATCATCAAAACTCATCAGCAAGCCTTCTGATGCTTATAACGAAAATGTGATATATTATAGTCATACTATCAAAGTCTGGTCGCTGAACAGTCAACAGTAGGCTTCCAAACTATATCGGCGGCCTCGGTGGTCTATCGGTTTAGTAGACCGCCTTACTTCCAATCGTGGTTCGATTCCTTGCACGGTACAAACATTTGTATTCATGATTATGATTATTTGTATCGGTCTGATAGTTTTCTACAAATATTAGGTATGTATTTTAAAAAAACTTTGTATTTATATCAGTTGTCTAATACCTATAACACTACCTCTGCTTAACTTGGAACTAGTTGCTGTGTAAATTGTCCTGAGATATTATATCTAAACTCCTCATTGTCTAAAGCTCTAAACAGTTAGAGAAATGAGTCAGCCACAGTAACTCCGTTGCTAGATAGCTTTTAGTACAGTCATTTCTGCGACTTGTGACTGAATTTTGTATATAATTAAGTACATAGAAATAGCAAGACAGATAATAACAGAGACATATATTATTAATTGGAAATTTACAATTATAAGTTGTAATTTTTCAAAATTAGGAGCAATTTTGAAAAATTTGGCTCCATGTGTAAGGTAACAGGCAATAAAAAATATTATGAATTGCGTATGTATATTTTTATTTATTTAAATAACTTTAATGCACGTCATACACAGGTAAAAAGTACATATGGCGGACTTAACACCTAATGGCATTTTCTACCAGTCAACCATGAGTATGTTGAAACATGTAACATTTTTTAATTACCTATGGAGGTTCAGAGGGAGTGAAAATATATATTATTCCTGACTATAATGCTTTTGGCCGCAATTACCCTTTACTTAGAGAAGCTATCTCTGACTCTGGCCGCCGTAATTTCGATGCCCGTTTCAATTTGGAGGGCGGATCGATCGGAGAGGAGTGTAAATATATTGTAGAAATCATATAAACTAATATGGTGGATTTTGTTTTGGCGAAAGTAAAATTCGGAAACAGAAATCATTACAAAAATGTACTTTATTTAAACAATATATTTATTAAACTAAACTCACAAAGTTATGAGCACTCGGGTGAAGTACTACACTATTAGTAGTTGGTTATTATTATTATTTTTATACCACGTAGGTGGCAAACATGCATACGGCCCATCTGATGGTAAACGGTTACCGTAGCCTATGGACGCCTGAAACACCAGGGGTGTCACATGCGCGTTGCCGACCCTTAAGAAACCTTAATAATACCTTCTTGAAAAAACTCCTGCTGTAGTCTCTCGAGAAAACCTCGGCAGGTAGTTCATACCACAATCTAAGTCTACGCGGGAGGAAGCTCCTCTGAAACCGCACTGTCCGAGACCACTTAGGTTCCAGCGTGTGGGGATGAATTCCCTGTCGATGGCGAGCGGTGCGATGGTAAAAGGTGGCCGTAGGCATCATGTCAAACAATTCATTAGAACACAGTTCGTTATATATTCGGTAGAACATACAAAGCGATGCGAGGTCTCGCCTCAAGCTAAGTGGTTCGATACCGTTTGAGAGATTGGGATCATCGACAATTCTCATAGCACGTCTTTGAACCAGGTTAAAAGGACCGAGCTGGTATCCAGGTGCTCTTGCCCAAAGGTGAGAGCAGTACTATAGTTTATTGCTATAGTGGTAGTGTAGTAGGGCTGTGTGGATGCGGCGGTCTTTTGCGTGCATCCTCGCGAATATCCCTGGGTAATACCTGAAAATCAGTTGTTTGCTGCTCGAGCAAACTGAGATGCCTTTTTGAGTATAACCTAAACATTATATTTTTTTTGCACATCCAACAATTATTCTCAGCATTAGCTATGATTGACTAGTAGAATGGAGGAAATACCGCATTATGTTAAGTCTGCCAAATGTACTGTGTGCTTAATGCACAATAGTTAAATAAAAATTACTTATATGTTGTTTGTACTTATATTGTATTTGTTAACTGACCAATATAGTTGTATTTACTTTGTATCTTTTTCTTAATATTACTGTACCTTATGTTCTTTAACGTAAATAAAAGTTCTATCTATTATTATCTAATATTTTTGGAGTCATGGCGGAGTTGTAAATAATAAGCAGGAACTGATTGTATAACTGTTGGGATTCATAATTTTAGTTCTATATTATATAGTTTTTTAATGAATTGTTTTATTATTTAATGCACATCCTATAATATGAGTTTTTATTGGATGAGCATGTAAGTGAAGACCTTTCTGTTTACTAGCGCATGACATCAGTTAGCCTAATTTATCCGAAATTATCCATGTGCAATGTGCTCATCCATCACGGGCACTTGCTAATAACGTTAAATTATTTAAGGATTGAGTAATATTTGGAACTTTGTACCTATCTGAATATCAAGGATATATTACTAAATTATTACTTGAAGTTGTAGTTATAAATACAAAATGCCAATGTTTTAACTAAAATTTATTTCAAAATGGCTTAAATCTACGGCTCTGTTTGATTTGCGCTATTTTCTTTTTGTCTTCTTCGAACTTCTGTCTCAGTGCAACAATGTGTTTCATTTTAGATTCCCTAATTTGGAATGTATAAAAGTTCTTCAATTCCTTTCTCTTTTTATTCCTCTCTTCTTTTGCCATTATTTTGTTTTCCACTTTCTCTGTCCTAGCAAAACTTTGAACTTTCCCTCTCTTGGTGACAGTGATCCAGCCTTCACTGTCTTCCTGTTCTAATTGTTTTTCCTTCTTCTCATTAATATTTGCCTCTTTATCATGGAGTTTCATAAATTCTTCTAACTTTTCTTTAAGAACTTTAGGCAATAAGACGCTGCTATTATATTCTTCAATCCATTTATTCATGCCAAGTTTTATTTTATACTCTTCTGAATTCAGTGGATGTAAACACTTTAGTTTTAATGCTTTATCTAATTCAGACACTTTCTTGAATACTACATAAGCCACTCTAAAAGAGGGGCTGGCTACATCCTCAATGAATTTCCTTGTACTTTTATTGTCTGCTCCACTAGGTTTCAATAAAAATTGCACTGATTCTATATCACCAGCTTCTTTAAAAGCGTTCTCAATACCCTTTTCATCAGCGTACGGTGGTATATTTAGGATAAGTAAAGTTCTTCCTGAAGGCTTGTCTTTCGTGTGATCTCGCACTGCATGCTCCTTCAAATATATTGTATGTGGCGATGTTGAATCTTCTGTCAGTTTTAGCTCCAAAGCTGAAATAAAAACCATATAATAATTTTACGATGTTTTGTTATTCATATATATTTTCAATATAAAAATACAAACCCTTAAATTCGTGTTTAATATGTTTTGGGGTTTTCATTGTTTTTATTTTATTCCTATTTTCTATATTTAATTTCATTTTGACTGACTATTGAGCTCACATGAATAGATAAAAACATAAATTTAAAGAATGTTTACACATTATTTCATTTGAGGTTATATTTAATTGCTTTTTAAAAATGTACAGATTAGATCAAAGCAAAAGCTCAAATGTATACAGCCAACATAATTTTTTTTTCTTAAAACGTATCGTCACTATGATTATTGGAACGAACCATAACCAAAAAGTAAAATATACATTTGCGTTTGATGTTGAGTACTGACACTGACAATTCAACATGACAGTAAGTCTGATTGACAGTTTTTTAAGTGAATTTTGTCTATGCTACTTTCCTGTTGACTGTTGGCGAAGTTCTTTCTGTTTTGTCCGTATTTTAACTTAATTTTACGGCCATGTGTGGTAATAAATACGTATTTAATCAAAGTTCTAGTGATGCTATCCACCACTGCAAATAGTAAATTAAAAAATCCAAAGGGTTCGGAGAACTCCGAGGCCCAAGAGCGGGACGAAATAGGACAAGAAAACACAACGGATGATAAGGTCAGAGGTTATGTTAGTCCATACGATACATCATCGTCGTTCGGAGGCCCTTCCAGAGATGGCCGGATCCGATTCCGAGGACGGGTTACCGAGTTCCGGCATTCCCGAGGGGGTGGTCGTGGCGGCAGGGGCCGAGGAGGATTCCCGCCCAGAGGTGATCGTGATCCTCTCGACGGTTCCTATAAATACAACGAATCGTTAGGCCAGTCGAACAGTGACTCTTGGTCCCAGGGAAACAGTAACAAATATTATGAGAGATCGGAACTGGTAATGAATCTTCCTGAAGATCCACGCATATCTAAACTGTTGCGCCGCCTTTGCGCTGAAGTGGACGTTGAGAAGTCTCTTGTAATATGTAGTAAATTGCAGGATGCTATAATGTTACCAGAAAATGCTCGATACATAAGAAGAGCTTATGAAATCTTAGTGGAGTCCTTATTGGATGTATTCTATGATGCTCCTGGTCCTGAAACAAAAGAGGGAGCTGCAGTTGTTCTCGGCAGAATCGGCTATGTTATGGGCCCAGATTTTAAGAAACATCTTGACTGGTTTGTATCTACATATGCAGTACATAACATCTCTGTAAAACATTTGTTGACACTCTCCTTCTCGGAGACATTTCAGTTGGATTATGAGACCCTTAATTTGTCTGATTTTGCAGACTTAACATTGAATAAACTACAGACTATCATTGAAGGCACAGACTCAGCGGATGTGTTCATTGCTGCTATAAATGTAATGATTATGATGTCAAATTCTTATCCAGAGCATTTTGCTAATCATTTTGTTGACATTGTTGACATTCTAGTGGGCTGGCATGTGGACAATGCTCAGCCAAGGAAAATAAAAGATTTTGCTCTCCAGTCACTCCTGAAACTGAGCCGGCATTGGCAGGCAGATGTTGGGTTTTCAGTCAACATGCTTTATCAATTTGTCGAAGACATGGTGGCATATTCAACAGCTCTAGATTCTGATAAAAGTGACGATGATGCTGAAATGGCATCCCAAGATGACTCCCTGCAAAAAATTACATCATTTCTGAATGTCTTCAATACTGTTGTGAAGAGTTTGGGTACTCTTCTTAGTCCAAATATTTCACAAACAGCTACATGGTCATTTCTAACTGAATCATTTACAAAAATTCTACAAGTGTTGACAAAAATTCTCAATGAAGAGGCCGATTCGGACATAATATTGTCAGGTAATGAATGCATTATTTTGTTACTTAAACTTTTACAAACAAAAACTTCTTGTTACACCCCTGCCCTGTACACATTGATCTACATGGAAATGACAAAATTCCTGCAAGGTGATGAAAGTGTTTGTCTTAGTGTTGTAAATTTAATATCAAATACTATAAGAGAGATTGCATCAAACCTACCAATCAAATTTATTATGCAGACAATAGGCCCTGAATCACTTTTACGTCCTTTGCGTTATTCAGAAAGCTCTCAAATACTGCATGGTGTTCTCTCAGTATATAGCAATCTTTTGAATTTGAAGAATATTCCACTTTTGCAAGAAACATACAAGTTTGTTTTGATGGACATTCAGAATTCCTACTCTATTATTATACCAGATATACAAATAGTAAAGCCTGAGTATGTTGAAGAAGTTACAATGGAAGATGCTGAAAAAAATGTGATATTTTACCTACAATGTTTATCAGAGCTTGCAAATGCAAGTAATTCTATAATTGGAATGTGGGCTCTACAGCCTAGTATACTAGAATTGCTAGCTATTAAAATGTGTCCCCATAACAAAATCTTGATGAGGCAAAAACCTGCACTCCAGTATTCTGTATTGTACTTACTTTACTCTCACTGCAAGAAAAATAACCACTTCATTGCTTCTAGTGATTTGGTGACAAACACACAGCAAAGGACTGGGGATATATTTGGACTGTCTAATCTTAATTTGGGGGAAGTATCAGGCTCAAGTCCTACATCGGGACACCTTGCTGTAATATTGAACACATTAAGTGTGATATTAGATGAAGAGGTTCCCAAAGAAACTTTACTGTTGGTATTAAACTGGATATCGGATATATTTGTTCAACTGGACAAATATCTACCAAATGTGAGCATAGCAAAAGGATTTGTTGTACTAATAACAAATATGCTATCCCTGGCATACAACTTTGATGATGATATTGTTTTGTTGGTTATGAAGAACTGCCAACATTTATTGAAAAATAAATCTCTATCATGGAATCTCATAGTGGTGAAGACCATAGTTACACTCTGTATGTTACATATTGATAATCAAAACAAAGCTTTATCGAATGTATCAAAAGAGGTGTTATTTGAATTACCATGGGACATAGTGCAGCAGGAATTAGACAAACAGGTTGTGAAAGTGTTTGTTAGCAGGAAATTGATTCTGAATATATTAAATAATGACACAAAAGCTAATTCCTTCAAGGAGTACCTCATGAATGGATCATTCTCAATGCTATCCAATCAACACTTCAAAGCTATCATGAATAGTATATTACAAGTATCTTTTGAGAATAACAGTTTTTTTGTTGATGTCTTCCTGGCAACATGGCCATTGCAAAGTCATGATGTTGATGAGAATAATCTTCTATTTTTTAGACAGTGTGCTACATCTTTTTCGTCTATATGTATTGGTTGGGCTTTATCGGAATTAGCTCAGACTTGTGTCTCTTTGAAGCTGAGAACTATATTAGGTAAACCCCAAGAAACATTTATGAAAATTGAAGGGGTCTTGAAAAGTATAGCTAGAGATATATCGTCATTGGAAACAAAATATACAGTCACTAACCAGCAACAATTAGTAGACATTGTTGCTGCAGAAGAAACCAGATCACGTCTCATTACTGATTTCATGACGTTTTTAGAAAAGTACATTTACAATGCTGCTGAAGGAACTGCAATAGTATTGCCAGCTGTACAAAAACCAGTCAGAACATTTTTCCATACTAACTGGTCTACTTGCCGTGAATGGCTTACCAGAGTACGGCCTGCGGCACTCGCTGTAAGTCTTTATGCTGGAAATTTTGGTGCGGCCATATACCATGCATCACTTATATTACAGACTGCTGCGAAGTCTAATACAAATATTGACATAGAAGCAATTACAATGAGTGTAGCAAGAGCTTTAATAAAAATTGAAGAACCTGAAGTTTTACATGGTCTCTACATTTGGGTAAAGCAAACATTTGATAAAAAAATTCCTTGGTTAAAAGGAGCTGCAGAGCAAGCTAATGCTAAATATGAATCGGCAGTTGAGTATTACAAAAAACTTAACACCAATATCGCATGTGACAATGAAACAGAAGGAGAAGAAAATTCTCAGATAGATACAAGAGTTTCCAGATTCATAGATGAACAGGTTATGGACAGTTACAAACAAATACAAAGCTGGGAGGATATGCAAAAATGGAAAGAGAGTCAACAAAAGCATGCACAGAATTCTCAGTGGAATTCATTTTCAGTATTGAGCATGTTTGACGAGGGTAGTGAATTATCTCAGAATTTAAGCAACTGGGACATACTTGATACTGATGCTACTGATATTTCAAAGAACACTTGTTCCTATCAAGGTTTGCTAAACAAAATTGAATCTACATTAGTATGTACTGCTGTTAACATTTGCTATTCTGACTATTCTAATAAATACGAAAAATTATTAAAAGACTGTGAATTACTCCTTAATGCAAGCATGGAAGAATTTTCAAGAACTAATACTATACATTTTCTAAAAGAAATTGCGGTATTACAATTAGCAAATAAGGGATTGAAGAATGTTATAACAAATGGAAAAGCAATATCCAATCCATTTAAACCATCTGTTATTAAGGAGAATAAGTATGTCACTGAACTCAGGAATCTTAGCAGAATCTTGTGGTGGAATCAATATTTTACGAAATTAAATATGACTGATGAGAATATTTTCTATTCTGAATGTCTTCGACTGGATGTCGTAAAAAGTGCGAGGAAAAACTCTAACTTGATCATGGCTAAAAGAGAACTTTTAAAGTATTTTAAACAGAACTCTGCTTTCCAAATTTGTCTAGGAAATATAAATAACTTGGCTGAATTAGGTGACGTTTTGCTAATGTCAACTAATACCTACGACTTAGATATTTGGACGTTAAATAATACAACGGCGTTGGTGGAACTCTGCAAAATCACGTATGCGAAAGAAGATACTAAAACAAGGGCTATAAATTTGTGTGCCAGCATCTCTCTAGGATTTTCCCAAAGGCTTGCAATGGGTGAACAAAATTATGAACTCAGAGAAAAAGGTACTAGAATGTTATTAACTCTTTCCAAATGGGTGCAAAATGATAGTGACAACATTTTAGAAGTTGATTCGCCTTTATTGAAACTAGTGTCTGCACTGCCTGAAATTGGTTTAGTCGATAACAACATATCAGAAAATGTTATACCTGTGTCAGATTCTGCTGTAGGAAAGTTATTACAGTTTGGAGTTAATCAGTGTCCTGGTCTGGCAAAGGCTTGGGCAAACTTTGCAGGTTGGTGTTTTAGATGGGGTCGGAAAATGGTTGAATTTAGTTCTAAGACCGGGGAACAGTTAACAGAAAATGATAAATTACAAATAGAGAGTGTAATGATTGGTTGCTCTCCTCAAGATTTTGATGCAGTTTGTGAAATATTGTCTAAAACAAAGGCCACATGTGACGATGAAGATATTGATTGGAATGAGATTAACACATCTGAGATGATAGAAAGTCAGTTACGTACTGTTCCATCTTTGAGTAAAGCTTTTCCTGAACACCTCGCTTTACTGGTGGACATTTGGCGTCAAGCACAGAAAAGAGTCTTTTCCTATTTTGAATTATCAGCTGACGCATATTTTAAATTCTTACAACTTATTTGTGCCGCGGACTATATTAATCATAGTGGCGAAAACGCTGTTGTCAATGCTACATTACGATTATTGCGTTTGATTGTAAAGCACGCTATGGAATTACAAACTGTTCTCGAATCTGGCTTAGCTAATACACCGACGCAGCCTTGGAAAGTCATCATTCCACAACTCTTTTCGAGACTTAATCATCCTGAAACATATGTAAGGAAATGCGTTTCCGATCTATTGTGCAGGCTTGCTGAAGATACTCCACACCTAATCACATTTCCAGCCGTTGTGGGCGCGGTGGAAAATGAACAGAATAGTATAACAGAACTGAATACTAGATCTTTCTTGTCTAATGATTCAAACAGTGGAGAAGACAATTGTGATTTGGAAGATGCTGCAAGTGACAAAGTAGTCAATAACGAACTAAACTCTTGTTTCTTAGACATGGTGGAAACGCTGTCTAAACAAGCTCCAAAAACTATCCTACAAGTTAAATTATTGGTAAAGGAGCTACAGAGAATTAATTTACTGTGGGATGAATTATGCTTGGGTACTTTGGCACAACATCATTCTGATTTTAGTAAACGACTGTCACAACTAGAAGCCGAAGTCATTAAAGTGAAGAATAATGAAAACCTCTCCTCAGAAGATAAAGAAAAACTAATTCAAGAAAAACATCGCATAATATTCGAACCCATAGTCTTCGTATTAGAAAATTTGAATCAGATTATCTCTGCAAAACCTGAAACGCCTCATGAAACTGCGTTCCAGAATAAATTCCAGAGTATTATGAAAGACGTCATTGATAAATTAAAACATCCTGTTAATCCTGAGAAACCTCAAGAGTCTTGGGCTCCGCTTAAGCAACTTCAGATAACACTGCAGCAGAAGGTAAATAAAAGGACTTCGTATATTTTGAAAATGTCCGATATAAGCCCAATTTTAGCAGAATTGAAAAATACAGTTATAACTATGCCAGGAGTACATACCAACCAAAGAACTGTCAGAGTTACTATAAAATCAATAGAAAATAACGTGTCTATTTTACCAACAAAAACGAGACCGAAAAAATTAATATTCTATGGTTCCGACGGCAAGGCTTACACTTATCTTTTCAAAGGTTTGGAAGATTTACACTTGGATGAGAGAATAATGCAACTATTATCAATAACAAATACAATGATGGCGCGTGATTCTGAGAGTAATGACAATCAAACATACAGAGCGCGTCACTATTCGGTAATACCGTTAGGGCCTCGTTCTGGGCTCATCAGCTGGGTGGACAACGTAACTCCACTCTTCGCTTTATATAAGCGGTGGCAGAACCGTGAAGCTGCAATTTTATCTGCTAAAACGAACAAAACCGTCAATGTGTTACGACCATCCGAGCTGTTTTATAATAAACTTAATCCACTTCTCAAAGAGGCTGGCGTATCGACTGAGAACAGAAAGGAGTGGCCTGTATCGATATTGAAACAAGTACTACAGGAGTTATCTGCAGAGACCCCTCGGGATCTTTTATGGAGGGAACTGTGGTGCGGGAGTGTGACCTCTGAGCAGTGGTGGCAGATGGTGCGGCGTTACAGTTACTCTGTCGCGGTGATGAGCACAATCGGTTATATTATAGGCCTTGGCGATAGGCACTTGGACAATGTTCTTGTTGACCTCACATCCGGTGAACTAGTGCATATAGACTATAACGTGTGCTTCGAGAAAGGCAAGACTCTTCGCGTACCAGAGAAGGTGCCGTTCAGGATGACTCCGAACTTGGTGACGGCTCTTGGTGTGACCGGCGTTGAGGTGAGTGTATTTCCTTTCTATATTTGATTAGTGATCACATTTGGGATAAGTTATTTAAGTATCAATCTAAACTATAGGTATATGTAGTGAAAACGCCAAATAAATTCTGTTTATATATGTAAGGTGTTTTATATAAATATCTGTAAGCCATTTGTTGGCCGTCTGGTTGTTTGCCATTCTTAGACCCAGTAGATTAATAATCAATTATTATTGGTTACTGAAATTGTAAATATGATTTCGATTCGTTCGTCATTATCGTTATTAGTCATTGATTTATTTCTTATCTCACTACACAAATATTACTCGATATTTATTTTTGGAGTACCTAATTTTAAAAAGTGTGGTGCAATATGACGCAATGTAATTTGTCTGGATGACATTTACACCTTTATGCTAATTTTAATATTCAGCCATTTAAAATAACGAAGTGACAGACTTCCGATTCTGTACCGAACCGGCGCGGCGGTCCGATTCTGTACCGAAGCCGCAACAGTGTCTAGTATGAACATGTTGTCTTGTTTACAATTGATTTGATATAATCTAATAAAATGAAGACGAATTCTGATTTTCAAGATATACCCTCTAAGTTAAGGCAGTGAATGAAGTAGATTAGATTGGATACAACAAAGTTAATAGTTGTAGCTAATAAATGAAATTACAACCCGTAACTTTATTTTCTTCACTCTCAACGAAATGATGAAAAATGTATTAATTGTTTGGTACAATGATGTTAATGAATAAGATTTTCTCTGACTGGTGTGTGACATAGACGTTGTGCACATACATAATCCTTTTTTCTGTTTATTTTATATTTTTACTTCATAAAACGCCATCTATCTTTTCTTCTTTGCGTTTGAAGAAAATCTCGTGCTAAATATTTGCCTAGTTGAAATAAGCAAGTAGGAAGATTTGGGAATTGTGTTTTCATGTAGGCATCTTCTCGTAGATGGCGTTATCAGTCTATAGAAGGAAAAAGCTAAATGAAAGTCGAAGCACGTTGATTAGGTATTTTTATTATTACATCGAACATTTTAATTACATTTATACTTTAAACATCTCAATTTATTTGACATAGAACTTTTTTATTTATCCATATTTCTTTATGGCGGGGAACGCATTAGAATCTCTCAATAAATTTCAACAATAAAGCCTTCAAAACTTGAGCGTAGAATTTAACAGGTACCTAAATGCAAATGGGGTACCTACTGTCACTAACAATTTTAAAAACTAGAAGCGTTTCGCATTTCCCACAAAACGTCTGTGTCGTTTTTTTGAAAATAACACTACACTACATCTGGGGAGCGGTGGACCGGTCGGTGTACCGGGGTGGGCCCGTCTGGCGCGTACGAGGGGTTGGAATCTCCCCTATCGGAATCTATATACCCTGCATTTTCTATGATACGACATCGCGACGTGTCAGTTTCTCGTTCTACGTACAGCAGCTTGGCAGGTCGGCCCCCGAGACTGGACAGTGCACTTGGAGCGCTGGACCGCGTGATAGAACCTTCTCGAAGGGCGACGGAACATCTTTTCCTCTCTGGTGCCGGGGATCCTCTATATTCCGAAGAGTCTGGTCGTTTGCACCGCAGTAGTTTAGCGAAAGCTGCACGGAATCCTGCGTTCTTCCATGCGTATATCAATGGGTTGATGCCGGAGTTGGACATAGCCAGCGAGGATGTCAATCGATACGCAATAGGGTTGTGAAACGGTTTTATCGGTACGGTTTGCGCGCACGCCACCACGACGAATGGCATCCAGCATATGGAGAAGGAACCCAGCACTAACAGCACCACCTGTAATTATAAAATGATTACCGTTAATATTATTATTATTTATGTGTACAATATATACATTATTACTATTAGTACTTCACAAACTTTTGATTTCATAAGATAAGCAAGAAGGAGTGCAGAAAGTTTAATTAATTTCATGAGAATATGTAATATTCACAAATATTTACGACGGTTTTAACTGATTTTAAATTTACGCCATTTTCTGCAGGCAATCACTATATCAGCTATGTTGCTTATACGTTTAACAAGAAGCCGTGCATATGTATCATAGTTTTATTATTTATTCTTTTTTATACATATTTGATTAAAAGAAAAAAAAAAGTAAATATAGACACAGCACTATGGAGTCTCAAAGTAAACAGATCTTGTACTATTGGTACTTAAACTGATGTATGTATTAAAAAAAAAGCTAGTCTATCTATTTATATTTTTTCAAGTACATAGTATACACAAATATTTTGACTAATACAAACAGTCATATTCACAAATGTTTAAACTGTGTGGGGATCGAACTTGCCACCATCGAAAATCGACGTAGTAATAAGTTAAGCTTCTAAGCCATCAATGTCAATATATTTTAACGATATTCTGATGTTATTTTGCAGCCATCTACTTTCTTACTTAGTCCATTTATAATATTTTGTGAAATTCCGTTACCATGATCATTTGTGAGACTAAAAATATTTAGTACGGAAACTTGACCACTGCTACTAGAAACGTCATTATCTTCCATATCGGTGATCAAATAAGAGTCTGAATCGGATGTAGTAACAAATACTTACCTGTATACTCTTCCAATCGTTGCCTCCTGATGGGCAGCAGGTGTTCGCTCTCATCCTCCTCGCGTGGCAGGTCGCCTCGCGCCAAATTCTCCAGTATAAGATGAACATCACCATCCAAATGAGCGAGAACATGGGTGCCAGGATGCTTGTAGTATACGCTTTAGGTACCACCTGTAAATTAGATGGTAATTTATAATTAATGTTTTTTCAAGAAGGGTATCCGTGATGTTTCTGGCGTCCATAGGCTACAGTAACCGTTTACCGTCAGTTGGGCATTTTTGCTTGTTTGCACCCATTGTAATATAAAAAAATGTGGTTTGTCTTCCGTTAAATTTTATTTTGTGCCATATTTCTTTACATTTTAACTACGTATTCACCAATTAAAAACTGCTGGAGAAATTTATATGAATTTTGTTACACAGGAAGATAATATTCTAGTATTAGATAATATTTAGTTATTGTAAGTAGAATACTTTTTACTATAGTTTAGTTTACAAGATATAGCTAGTAAAATGTTTCCATAACATTTTCTTAAGTGTTTGGATCAAGAATGAAAACTTCATGGTAGATTTAGTATAATATGATATCTCAGGACAATTCATCAAAGCATCTAAGCAACGACATAAAAAAGTATCTATGTATTTACATAGATACTTTTTTATCTAATACATATATAATATACATAGAAAATTCCCAGTTTGATACAAACAATCATACGCATGAATGTAAATGTGTGTACAGTGTAAGAAATCGAATCCGGTTCCATTGGAAATAGCTAAACCGCTCGACCACTGAGGTCGTCAGAAGTGCAATGTTTATTTTCAGATTTCCACATTGCTTTCTGATGATAATTCTGCAATTTTGTTATTAGTGCTATAAACCATAGCACATTTGATCCTGTAAATAAGTTGCATATTTTTATACTTCTTATTGTCGGTTTTTGTTCGGATTCGTATTGTGTTAGTGAAAACTTACCTAACAATTCAACGTGCCATGGTCCGTGGTACCATGACCCTGACCATACCTATATTTAGCCCTCATTATATTGAAATGTGACCTTAATACGGTTACCCAATAAACTACATGATATAAACGAAAACGGCGTCCTCAGTGGTCTTTCGATGGTCACATGTTCGATTCTTCGCACGATCGTCTTTACAAATCACCTCTTCGAACCATCATTACAAATGTTTACCATTTGTAATGATGGTTATGCTTGTTTGGATTAGTCTGGGTTAATTATGTATATATTTACAAAAAAAATGTATTTATATCAGTACTCATAACACAAGCTCTGCTTAGCTTGACACTAGATGGCGCTGTGTGAATTGTCTCGGGTTATTATTATTATTATTGTTGTCTTCATTCGTTGAATATTTTGAATTATCACTACGATGATGTTTTTTTTGAAATTTTGAGAATTATCCGTCAATAGCTATTTTAAAGGTCTGAAGGTTGTCCAAAGGTTATTTTTCGTAGGATACATACCTTTCCTCGTGTTACTTATAAATCTAATATTGTTCATTTCTATACGCGACAGAATAGAAAGGGAAAAAAATATTATTGAAATACACTCAATTTTAGCACTTACGAATAGTAATTTCTTTATTCTACGGACATATTCTGAATGCAGAGGCGGTGGAGAAAAATGGATCGATGAAATACGGCTACACTTTCTTTAAACAGAAGTTATATACTATTTTAAATTTATACTAATATAAAATAAAATAAAAACAACTAAGTGGTTAAACAAATCGTAATGGAATTTGACTTAAAGGTAGATTGTATCAAGAGGATCAACCAAAGTAACCAAACAAGCTCAGTCAGTGGTATCAAACAGCTATTTGATACCACTTATATCATACCAGCTGTTACCTGCGACTTGAACAGCTGTTCTAATTGATCAAGCACGCTGTGTAAAATTTACAGCAACTGGTATGAAATATTTTATTTCTATTTAGTAATTTAATACACATACACAGTACACAGATAAAAATGATACGAACAAAGATAACAGTGATAATAATATACACAGATAATCAAAAATATTAAGGTGTTCACTTACCAAATTCATCTCGCAGGCCACGCCGTCGTGCCAGTCGTTCCAGAATATCGGTATACAGCTTATACACACCGCTACAGACCAGGTGGCGCTCATCAGCAGCCTGGTCACCACTTTCGTCATGTACCGGCTGTAATGCAGCGGGTGTACTATAGCTATGTACCTGCAATTTGATGTGCATGTATTAGTTTGAAAGCGACGTGGTCTAGTGGTTCACAACCCGACTTTTACCCAAAAGTGGAGAATTTTAATAGAGTATGTCCATTCATTTTTGGGACTGATTCTTCGGTGATGGACACATCGATATTAAAAAGGATAGATGGAATGTATTCAGCGAAATGTAGGCATATTAAGTGTTGTGGTCATTACGGCGTCGACAGTTAACAATGCCTCTGATTACCCCATCTGGGATTACAGTTATGAAGGTATTTATATATGTATGTATTTGTTGGTACCCTCTTTACAAGAGTACACTATAGAATTCAATTTTGTGATAAAATTGAATGCAACACAATATTCTGAAGCTATTTTTAGTTTGATTTCGCAGACTTCATCGCTGTGCGACCGTAAACGATATTGTAAAAGAATGTGACGTGAACACACGGAACCCACCTGTCTACAGCTATCGCGATGATATTGTATATAGAGGCTAGGCACGCCAATATTATCAATATGAATCTCAACAAGCACGACCACTTTATCTTGCAGAAATCTGGATCCAAGTAGAAGACGAGGTGGTACGGCAACGTCAAACCCACCATTAGGTCGGATATAGCCAAGTTGAGTACGAACTGATTGGACACGAGCGATGACAAACGTCTACTGAGGGTCACTGCTAGGATCGTGAGAGTATTTCCGCTGATGATGAGCACCATCAATGCTCCGTCGATGATGCTCCATGCCCAATAGTTGTATAGATCCTCACTCGCCCTCTCCGCGGTCTCGTTCCACCCCCCCTCGCTTTCATTGCTAAATACAACGTCCATACCATCGCTGGCTGCGGTCGCCAGCGCCCCCCACTCCGAATAATTCGACGTCGTGGTCGAACTTAGTCGCTCATTATCTTAACTATTACCATCACTAGTCACCCGCGATATGTCCGCGCGCACATTTAAAGTCTTTTGTTTCCTGGACAGTTGACACATTGTCCTAGTTTCACTTGCACAGATGCAAACACCTGCAATAGAGAACAATTTTCGTGAGAATGTAAACAGAGCTGATGGTCGTGTACATATGTTTACTGTTGCACTGTCCTTGTAAATGCATAGCGTGCACAAGTGGCGCAATGGGGATGTATATTTCGATTCAGTATGCGGGGACGCGTACAGCCCGTAAATTACTTCGCATTGAGAAGTTTCGCTCGTTCGTTCTAGTCCACGTTCAGGCGTGTCTCTAAATCACATTATCAACTTTTTCAAGGGACCCGCAGCTAGCTTCAGTGGTCCCACTGTCGTTTATGAATTATTTATGTTCCATAACATGAGAGGAGCTTTGTCTGACTGTTCCTAATCGATAGCACGGCCGCAATAAATGAATTATTTTCAGACTTCGAAGGCCGCGTTGCCGTTCATAAAGTTACTCTGTTTTATAACAAATTATTAATGAATAACGGGAAATCCTTGAGGAATTTACGCATCCGTTATTTATTAGTTATTACTAGAGGCTGGTATTATAAAAGATTAACATTTGTTTGTACAGAAATCTATTGCTCTCAGACTGAGTTACGTTCAGGATAATTATGAAAGTTTAATGCCATTGTGAATTAGTCAGATGTCTGTAAAAATAGAAATGCAAATAATCTTTATTAAAAGAAAATTTATTTAGGGAGCTGAGTAAAGGTACATTATATTCTGGTTTTAATTAAAATTAATTTTTATTTACTTTAAATACATACTTATGCAGTGACAACATTAGTGATAAGTAAATATTACATCTAAACACTACATTGTGGTTTATCCATGATATAGGAGCTACACAGTCCTTTTTGCCTAATGGCAAATATTAATCAATGGCAGGTAAAATTATCACTATTGTAAAACGCAGTATAATGTCAATAGAAATACCCAATGAAGTCGTTAATGAAGTCATTGGTGTTAATGTATTCCGAAGGCGTATTGTTTGGCGATGAAATATTTAGCCAGGCTGGAACTGACAAAGTCAATTATATCGGCCTCATCTTCGCGGACCGACTGCCGGCTGCCTTCTCTATCTGAATTTCAAATATGCACAGACAGATCAAAGATTCAACAACGGACTTCCTTAATTTTAATTTATTAACACCACTTTGCTTATGCTGTTTTAATAGATCTTTGTTAGAACTGTAATGGTTTATATTTCAACTTAAGTGCTGGGAGGGCTTTCAAAAATGCTTTTTTTTGGAGAGCCCACTTCAATTAGGCAAAGGAAATAAAATCTTAGCGGGTCATTTGCCTCTTCTCCATCCGTATGGAAATGTCTGTCTATTTAATGTTAATTTATGTTCATCAAGTAGAAGTGTTGCGATAAATACGTTCCGATACGCAAACGATGCGGAAATGTGTCGATTCCGTGACTCTTTATTATGTGGGTGGGTTCGATACCCTGGTAATTGTAATTCAAATTCTACAAAACGGTAACATATACAGCTATAGCTATATGTTATATTTTTATTGAAAGTTTATTAATTATAAAGATGTTGGAAAATTAATGTACTGGAAAATTAGTCTCTCAACGGATGTGTGCGGTGCATTGTGAATGGCGTGTTTTTGACAATGACTCTAGCATTATTGTATTAACGATGATGGATGAAACGTCAGATGCGTGAATCGTGGATGCATTTGTTATGTAGCGGAAAATTGCAATTCGCATTGATATAGATTAATGCTATTTGGTGTTCTATATAAGTTGGATCAATCTCGTGCCAATATTAGAAATATCTATAAGTTATACAATTGGCACGTGTATGCTAGTTGTTGCGTTGATTTCGTTCATATAATATTTGGTATTTCTATTGCTTTTCAGATCTTATGTGATTCTAAAGGTTCTAAGTTTAATATAAACATCATAATAACAAAATGAACATTACAAAGTTGTTAATGACGCTAATACTGACGACAATTAGACATAATTGAGAAATAATAAAAAAAAAAATTACGTGAATAATAAGTACTAAGTTTTGATGCAAAAACTTTGACATGTCAATGTCAATGAAACACGTAGTTAATATTTATAAAAGTTCAAATCTAACAATAACACTAGACATCCGATCTGGCTTCGCACGTATGTACTGGAAAGAAACATCAATAATAATGTAAGAAATTTATTCTATTGAACGTAATTTTTTTGCATTGATATGTTTAAGCAATACAAACCTTGTTCTCACAATTACAAATCTAACGAAAAAAGATTTGCCAAATAATTGCAGCCGTTCCGACATCCCTCGCTTATTCAGAAAAAGTTGTTTATTTATATGAATAGATATATCTACGTAATGGAATGGCAAGAAGAATGGTATCAATATAGGTAGAGTCAGTCGTTAATAGAATACTAGAAACGTGGCGTGTCTGAGCGATATAAATGCAAGACCTCAGTGTTAGTGGCAGGGTTAGAGCAAATGCCCTTTGCACAAACAGTGCCGAGGACTGAGGTTGCCTCATCAATATTCATTGATGGTGTCCAATCGATGTACTTAATTCTGTTTGTCGTGTCATCTCAACACTCAATTTCAACGCAAAATTGTATAAATTGTTCGATGAAGACTATCTAGTTTGTAGAATGCACGTGGTCACATATCAAATTTGGCTACAAACATTTTAAGTGGACAGCCTTTGATTAATATTGCTTTGGTTGGCCAAAGTCTTCGTGAATTCTACGCAAAGTGTAACCTTCTACATTATTAAGGAAATATAAATATACATGTACTAGTATTAATATCTTATTACCTTATTATATTATTAATATTTTTGTAAGTAATTCTTACACATCAACTCCAATCTTATATAGTCTAAAAAAATATTAAAATTGATATACTAGATAATATATCGCTTAACACATTAATATCATATTGTCCAAATTAGAAATATCATGGATTTGGTCAAAAATTTGAAGTAATTTCAAAATGCAACATTTTGAAATAGCTTTAAATTTTTGACAGATACATGTATTTGACATTTACTTTTTTAGCAATTTAAACGAATAAGATAAGAAAATGTTTTAATTTGTTATAGTTTTGGTAACAGATGAGCTTTTATAATTTGCTATGCTAGCTTCTCTTGGATATACAATACATTTCTTGGTTCGTTGTACTAGTAGGGCTTTGAACTCTTTATTATAAGAAAATGAGAACTTTAACAATTCTTATTTTTCCATATTGGGCGTCATTTACGACCGAATGGACTTGATGGCGTGACTCTGTGTGACCTCAACGACTATTCAATTAAAGCACTTATTCGAGTCTACCGAATACGACGAGCGTGCACGAAAATACGTCACGTAGTATTAGTCTTAGATATAAATAAACGGCGAATTTGGGAGCCAGCCATTTTGGACGATTTAGAAAACGATAAATTCATAACACCTATGAAATATGAATTAGTCACAAAATGATTTCCTTGAAATGGCTTTAAATTACAGGGTACGGTATTACATCTTAGTTTTCCGGAATGATAAAGTATGAGGAATATTACGGGCGTCACATGACGATGTGATGTCAGGCAATGGTCGTCACTTATTACCCGTTAAGCCATCAGTTAGCTTGCCACTCCAGTCATGTTAAAAAATAATACGTATATGTCAAAAATAATAGATTGTAGATTAGGAGCCTATTTAGGACATTGAAATTGCAATTTATGAAATTTGATTTGAATAAACGATTGATATTAAAAAAGACAATCGTCTCGTTAACTATCTTTAAAAAGAAATATTACATTTGAATCTGCTGAATTTACTGAATGTATAATATGTTTTTATATAGTATGTACAGAGACCAAGCTTACAAGCCTTGTGGTTAGCGGTATTAAACTCTTAGATACGCCCACATTGCCCGCGTTCATAATAACCATTAAGACGGTCATAAAATCAACCAATCCCTCTGCTAACTATATTACAAGAACAACATTATTGTATGTTTCTATAAAGCGGAAGTCGTTCCGAGAAAATTCTCGCAATTTACTACATCTTTACCACAGGTTGCAGACGCATCTCCATACCTATTATGTGGTTAAATAGGCCTGACAGTCAATGTAGAGTCGTTTGTTTAGTGGACAGGCTCATTATCTTTGACAGGCATTTCTTTTTTACAGAAGACATATTAAATTGTTTTGATACAGGTTATATCAAAACAATTTACTAATATGTATTCTATTAGCATTTGTTTGCTACTGTCACGGGTATCTTATCAACGATTGAGTTATTCTCGTTCCTCGAATCATGTACAGTGTTATTTATATGTATTACAAATCTAATTATTATACAGCAAGTCTAATAATTATCTGTAGATGAGTATCTGTTTATGCATGTCAATACTGAGCTATGGATGTAATTTTTATTGTCAAGATACGGTTATAGTCAATTGTGGAAATGCATTTGATGAAATTGGAATAGCAGACAAGTTGTAGTTCCACTTAATAGAAAATGATAATCGTTGTATATAGATATCATGGTTTTCACAGAATAATTTACGACATCCGTGGTACCACTCGCTTCTTGCTATTCCTGCGGACTAAGGCATGCCTACATACTCTGAAATTTCACTGCCCTACCTCACCTTTTACACCCTAATAGGAGAAATCATATTGAGCTGTCTAAATTAATCTAAATGTGATTAGATATCTTCTGGGTAAGCGCGCTACATCCTAGTTCTTGCCATTATTTACCATCAGATGAGGTAAGACCAAGCGCAATCCCATTATTAATAAAAAAAAAATTGCGGTAAAATTAAATGAGTAACTGAGACGAAATGTACTTAGTATAGTTTCAACGAAACATCAACAGAGCAAAACAAATGTGGAGACCGCAGACTATTAAAAACGAGACTACTGTCTATGATATTCATGTACATTATAATGAACATTATTATCTACGAGCTAATGTTTAACATGCTTTTAATGTGTAATCACATAATTACAATCTTGCGCTTGGCCTATTTCGTTGCGATATAGAAATAATTTGTTTACATCGATCAATAATCCATCACACCAA